GTGTGGTCAGTTTTAACAAGTAATTCTTCCTCTGAAGAGGTGCTTGGTTTAAAAAAAAAAAAAAAAAAGACTTTCTAGGACGATTTAGGTGGTGAGATTTAAGCCAGGCAAAACATTCTGAAATCACCAGGTCTAATGCCCACAGGATAACACTGTTCAATGTCTTTTTTTTTTTTTTTTTTTTTTAATGATCATGCCACTCTCTCGGAGAGCTTTTTTATTTATTTATTTATTTATACAAGCACTGGGTACAGTCAGAGGCGTGGGAGGGTGAGAGAATTCACCAGAGCCAGAGCGGGGAGCAGAACAGGCAGAAGCACCGAAGTACACTGCTGAGGGGAGCAGCGGGCGGCAGGAGAGGTCTGCGCGCCATGCGGGACCCTCCTCCAGTGGCAGGGGAGCAGCCGGGGATTGAACCGGCGCTGCAGAGGCTGCAGGCAGCTTCGCAACCCAGCGCTCAACCGCTGCGCCACTGGGGAGGCCCTGTTCGAAGTCATTTTACGGCACCACATAATTTATCCTTGAACATACAAGTTCCTGATAAAGATCTAGTGCCCAGCACAGACCCTTGCACCTGACTTCAAGCCTTTGTGCATGCATTCATTGAGTCATTCATTCAACTAACATTAGCCCTCCTTCAACAGATCCTTACAGGAGATGAAGAATGTGCCAAATATTATGGTAGGTTTTGAGAATAGAATGATGGGCAAAAATAAGCATGATCCCTGCCCTGATAGAGGAAGATTCATGAATTAGTTGTATTGTTGCAAGTATAGAGTGAGGAGAGTGGTCTGGAGGAAAGAAATACTGTTTTATGAGAACATAGAAGAAAGGATCCTGATATATTATTGGGGTGGGGCCAGGATAGACCTTCTGAGAAAGTATAGTTCAAACTAAGATCTGAAGGATGCCCAGGATATGGCTAGAGGAAGAGGGACTGGGGAGGGAAAAGTTATCCAAATTGGAAGGATAATAATGTGCAAAGGTCTTGTGGTAGGAGGCAGCATGGCAGGTTTAAGGAACTGAGTGAAGACCAGAGGGGTTAGGAGTGCAAGCGGGGAGAGCAAGGAAAGGGGGATTCATCATGAGGCTGGGACAAAATGTCTAACAGCCCTGTCATCCTTGTTATTTTGATTTTTAAACTAAGAGCATTAAGATGCTATCAAAGGGTTTTAAAAAGTGGAATGATGGGATCAGAGTTAATATTTTGAAAAGTTCCTTTTGCTGCTGTTGTCTGCAGAATGGACAAGACTATAAAGTACAAGGCTGTTGGAATAGTCCAGAAGACAGCTATGGTATTTTGGACAAGGGTGAGAGTAGTGGAACCAGAGAAAAATAGATGGAGTTAAGAAAATGTCAGCAAGTAAACTGCTAATAGCCCTCATACTACATCAGATCCTTTCTTCTAGCAGGTATATTGATAGGTCGTGGTGGTTACTTAAGGGAGAGGGAGGAGTCAAGGGCAAGACTTTGGAACAGCATCTATTTTGAGGAAGATGACATTGAGTTTGCCTTTGAACATGGAAGTGGTGATGTGAAGTAGATCAGGAACTCAAACCCTCTCATCTGGGGGCAGTCATCAAGCATCAGCAAGGTATGTGTGATGGGTGAGGATATCAAGGAAGAAAGCATACTGCCTCCTCAGAAAAGGAAGGGGGTCTCCTTGTACTGTGTCATGAGCCCCTGGAGGATAAGCACTTTAAGAAAGGAGAGTCTGTTCCCACTGACAACCTAAGAGGGTGGTTTCTCTCGCTTATTCTCTTCCTGCTGACCATATCCAGGTTCAGGTCTTATAAAACCATGTCTAGGGGGCCTCCCTGGTAGCACAGGGGATTAAGATGTAGCATTATGAAGCTATCCACAGCCACTGCAGCATGAGTTCGATCCCGGGCAGGTTGCTACCCACATGGTGCAGCAGACCTCTCCTGTCTCTCCTGCTGCTCCCCTCAGCAGTGTGTTTCAGTCAGTCTGCCTTTCTGTTCCCCACTGTCTCTGGAGGATCCTCTCACCCCCCACACACATCTCTGGCCTGTACCCCAGTTCTTGTATGCATAAGTAAATAAATCTTTTTTAAAAAATAAATTAAATAAAATCATGTCTGACCTGGATGCTGCAAGGGCCTGTCGCCCATTCTCAAATTTTAGTGTAAATATGGATCATTTGAGGTGAATATATAGAGAATCTTCCTTCTCTATAAAACGAAGATTCTGATTTAGTAGATGCGGCTGAAGCCTGAGATTCTGAATTTCACAAGCTCCTCGGTGATACAGACCACATTTTGAGCATTGAGGGGAGTTGGTCTCCCTGCTTTTGAAGGTCAGTGCCCTCACACCCAGCTTCCTGATTGGCCTGCCAGGGCTCAGGGGCCCTCTGTCGCCTTCCATGGCTCACCACACAAATGTCCTTTCCAGATCTGCTCCAGCCATCTGTGGCCAGCCTTGTTTCCTCCCTCTGCTTTCCTTCACCTGTCCTTCATTGCCTCAAACCCCTCGCTCTGAATCTGGTCATCTCCTTTTCTTGTAGTTCAGAAAAGGGACTGAGACAACCAGGCCAGCTCCCAAGTGGAGAGGAACTACTGGGTGGTTTTTAAACTTTTCTGCCTAAAATCCCACATAAAAGTATTTTGTAAATCTGTTTACCCCCTCACACATTTTTAAGTTTACATCTACGTTTTTTATCATACGCTTGCAGAAGATGCGATGTCCAGTTTAATGTAAACATCGATATTTTTAAATAAAACTATTACATCACTGTTTATCCAGTGGAATCTAAACACCATAGCAATTTCATACCCACCATCAGCCATTTAAAAAATGCATGAACACATTCTTTGTTAATAGTGTTCCTTTTTTCCTCCTTGAAACTTTATTTGTTTCACTTCCCCCATGGGACTTTATCTTAATGTAATACATGCAATATATCTTTATGCTAGAACTCTTTCATTTGTTTCTGTCATATTTCTCCTTAGCAATTTTTTATGAAATTAAAACTTTTTAATTTCCTGAAATCATAAAGCTCTAAGTATTAGAATTTTCTTCTGGTTGGAGTTATCATTCCAGTTATTAATAGCACATAGTTGATCAAAATAACATAAATGTATTACTAATTTGGATACATAATTAATAAACATAAAAACTCTAATTATATATAAAATGCAACTCTTAGTGAGGGGGTGATGCTGCTGGATGAATTTTTTAAAGATTTATTTATGCGTACAAGAACTGGGGTACAGGCCAGAGGTGTGGGGGGTGTGTGTGAAAGGAGCCACCAGAGGCAGAGTGGGAAGCAAAACAGGCAGATCCACTGAAATGCACTGCTGAGGGGAGCAGTAGGCGAGGCACGAGAGGTCTGCTCCACCATGTGGGTCGCTCCCTGGTTGGGGATCAAACTTGTGCTGCAGTGGCTGCAGATAGCTTCATAGATTGCGTCTTAGCCCCTTGCGCCACAAGGGAGGCCCGATGCTGGATGACTTTTTAGAATACATCTTTTAACTGATGTTCAGCATACTTGAGTTTTCACATAGTGAGCATGCTAGACATTTGCTGGTCCTGGGTTATTTCTTCAATTCGTCTGTTTATCCATGGAATATCATTATTTGCCACTAGCATGAGACAAGGATCAGCACCAATTGTATTTGCAGTTTTCATTTTCTATGTAAGCAGTGAAAACCCTTATTCCCGTGACTGGTAACTAGGAAGACACGCTTTGTTAAAGCAGAGTCTCTCACTTCTTGCTCTGCTTCTGAGTTACATGCCAAAAATCACATAGTGATCTATCACTAACACTTGTATTTTAATTTTAATTACTTCTATTAGGCTTCCTAGTAAAAAGAGAATTGCAAAGAAGATTTACTACTCCTTTATTGCACATTTTCTTGGTTTTTAAATGTCCTCCTATGTGGTGACTAGGAAGAGGGGGAGGTTTTCCCTGGGACAGTAAACCCCATTACTCTACTGGCAGTAAACCCAGTGGAGTGGAGATGGGGGCTCCTTTCTTTTGTAAAGGACAAGGAGGGCTGTTGTGAAAGAGCAAGGTATAAAAGTTCAACTTGCACCTCTATCACCGGTCAGTTCTAGAAAAGAGTTTCTCTGGAGGTTGACGACCTGAAAATTGGTTCTTCTAAAACTGAGTGTGAGTGCAGTCTCGGAGGATCTTCCAGTGTATCCCTCCAAGGCTCACATGCCCTAGTTGAAAGTGCACGAAAGAACCTGGTAGGACTCAGCCCAGATTGGGACACCTTCCAAACTTCCTAGCTCGTGTTTCTAAGAGAAAGTGTCTGATTGACCCAGCCTGTTTGTTCGTGCCAGGCCACATCATAGGTTTTTGGGCTTGGGGTGGTCCCCCAACTCCCCCCACACACAGATGTTTCTCCGAGCAGGGACCACAAGGAAGCAGGTCGCCGTGTTGACCAGGAGGCAAACTAATATGTGCAGTGCTCCTCTTTGAAAGTTTCTCCAGTTCTGTTCTTCTGCTGGAAATATGTTCTCCAGTCTGAGGCCCCTTATCTGTTATTTTCACCTTTTCATTCCATTCAGCTCTTCTCTCCTGATGATGTACTTATGCTAACTATAAGTTCCTCAAGAACCGGCCATGTTTCAATCATTTCCTAGTAGTGTACCTTACACTTAGTAGGTTTCTAAGAAGTACTTGCTGGGCAGAAAAATTGATTAATGCTTGTCTTAAACGTCTCCGAATCCCCACAGTTTCTCGCATAGTGCTGGGTTTTCAATAGCAGGGTCCCAGAAGAGTGGAGCAGTTAATCAGTGAACCAAACAATGAATTAACAAATCAAGCAGCTAATGAGCCATTGAGCTGTGGCTTGAAAGTAAGACTTCTCAACACACATGAGGGTCAGATCTGCAGAATCAGTGTAAAGGGTGTGGAGTACATGAAACTGGCTATTTCTCATCAAGTTTCCTGTCTGGTATTTATGTTTGTAGCTAGCTTGTCACAAAACATCCCAGTAAATCCATCCCTGTCCTTTGCATCTTGTCTTGCAGGTGTGAGCAGCAACTCTTCACCACGGTGGTGTTTGGTCGGGACCTCAGCCCGGGTGAGGATGTAAGAGCCACCGCCCTGCACATGCGCGGTACAAGTCAAGAGGACCATCTGGCTCTAGCCACGCTCACAGACATGTCAGCCGTGGAATAGTGTGGACACTTTCTCTCAGCTTCTCAGGGTTTCAGTCCTTCTGGATTTGTTTCATTTACCTTTTTATATGGTTTTGTGGCTGGACGTTCACCACCCAGGCGGGCATCATGGGGGATCAGCAGCTCTACAAGACCAACCACGTGACTCACGGTGGTGAGAACCTTTTCTACCAACAGCCACCACTAGGCGTCCACAGCGGGCTGAACCACAACTATGGGAATACAGTCACAGGGGCTGGGATGGATGCCTCTCAGGCATCACCCATCTCCCCCCACTTCCCTCAAGATACACGGGATGGTCTAGGCTTGCCTGTTGGCTCCAAAAACCTTGGCCCAGTGGATACCTCCAGGCAGGGAGGGTGGAGTGGCCATGCAGGGCCTGGAAACCATGTTCAGCTACGTGGCAACCTGACCAACTCAAATATGATGTGGGCGGCACCGAGCCAGCCTGAACCCACTGATGGTTACCAGTACACCTACTCCCAGGCTAGCGAGATCCGGACCCAGAAGCTCACCAGTGGTGTCCTGCACAAACTAGACTCCTTCACCCAGGTGTTTGCCAACCAAAACCTGCGAATTCAGGTTAACAATATGGCCCAGGTGCTGCACACCCAGTCAGCAGTGATGGATGGAGCCCCTGACAGTGCCCTCCGCCAGCTGCTGTCCCAGAAGCCCATGGAGCCCCCTGCATCGGCCATACCTTCCCGCTACCAGCAGGTGCCGCAGCAGCCTCACCCTGGTTTCACTGGGGGGCTGTCCAAACCAGCTCTTCAGGTCGGGCAGCACCCTAGCCAAGGACACCTGTATTATGACTACCAGCAGCCACTGGCTCAGATGCCAGTGCAGGGAGGACAGCCACTGCAGGCCCCACAGATGCTGTCCCAGCACATGCAACAGATGCAGCAGCATCAGTATTACCCACAGCAGCAACAGCAGCAAGCTGGCCAGCAGCGGATGTCGATGCAAGAAATGCAGCAGCAGCAGCTTCGCCCACCACAGCCCCAGCAGCAGCAGCAACAGCAGCAGCAGCAGCAGCAGCAGCAGCAACAGCAGCATCTTCAGCTGCAGCAGCGGCAGAGTTCAGTGCAGATACCTCAGTATTACCAGTCCCAACCCATGATGCAGCACTTACAAGAGCAGCAGCAGCAACAGATGCACCTACAGCCCCCTTCTTATCACAGGGACCCCCACCAGTACACTCCGGAGCAGGCCCACGCTGTCCAGCTGATTCAGCTGGGCTCCATGCCCCAGTACTACTACCAGGAGTCCCAGCAGCCCTACAACCACCCCCTCTACCAGCAGAGCCACCTGCCCCAGCACCAGCAGCGTGAGGACAGTCAGCCCAAGACCTACCCGAGCGACAGACAGAGCCAGGCCATGCTGAGCTCCCATGGGGACCTGGGGCCCCCTGATACAGGAATGGCAGACCCAGCAAGCATGGACCTGAATCGGGCCAGCAGTGCCCTGCCACATCGGCCACTCCTGTCCCCCAGTGGAGTCCACCTCAACAACATGGGACCTCAGCACCAGCAGCTGTCTCCCAGTGCCATGTGGCCCCAGGTATTCACATTGTGGAAGTTTTTCCTGGAATCTTAATGTGCTACAGGGGCAGCCAGTGCTGAGTCTGTGTAGTGCCCATTCCTCTCTCCAGCTCCTTCATCCCTTTTGTTCTTTATTCAGTCCATAAATGTTAGCCTACATGGGACAGACACTACCAGTGCCAGGCACTTGGAATCCAAGTCAATTTTTACTGTGTCTTTACTCACTGAGCCTATAATCTCACTAAGAAGATGGTCAAAGTACAATATCAGGTCCTGAATGATGCATGTAATGATCAAGGCCAAAGTCAAGTGTCTAGGGACCACACAGTGGGAATGTCTGGTCCTTCTTGGATCTGTGACTTCAGGGCATTCCCTGTGAAATTCTTTCCCCTTTGGGAGTGAGACCACATTTCTACAACCTTTTTCAAGTATGTTGCTCAGAACAGGAATTGCATAGGATATTTAATGACTATTGCAAGAGGGACACGTGAGTTCTCTGCATAAACTTAGGGTATCTTAAAGTGAAACAGGTTACCATGCTATAGAGCTTCACAGTGACTTTAATATGCTAGTGTGCACAGAAAATCTCCCAAAGGGAATACCAGTTAGAATAGCAAAGATAAAAACCTTAGCTGCCCACAGGATCCAGGCAGGTAAAGTGAATAAGCGAAATGGCTGGATATGAGACAGTAATAGGGAGTGGTGGTGACTGTGGTGGATGGGAGAGCAAAACCCTATCTAATAGAATTCTAAAACGAATATTTAAAAAGTCTAGCCTAACAAAGCATGTCTGCAGGCCAAAATCAGCCTGTGGGCCACCGTTATTAACCCTTGATTATTTCCCAAATGTGCTTGACCACAAAGAAGCTACTGTGTGTTGGGCATTGCTCATACCTTGCCACGTTCCAAGGACTGCATTCATGTGACAAGGTTAGGGAAGGAGGGAACCTTCAATAGGACAAGTTAGATGGAGAGAGGGCTCTGACCAGAGGTGACCTTCTGTTTACTGCGGGCTTGTGCTCAGCAGTAAGTAAGACCTTTTGTGAATATAAGAGCCAGATGACATGGACAAAGCTGAAAAAAGAATTTCAGCTGAATGTGTCCTGCATGGAGCTGGTGTTATGACTCTCCCTGGAATGGAACCTGTTTATACAGAATGGGTGGACTGGAAGAACAGGAAGGAATGAGTTGGGGTTGAGTCCCTGGATCTGTGGCTATTGGCAGCTCCCAGAGGCGGGCTGTGGTCCCACAACAGGGAGCAGTCAAGGAAAGAAGTATCAGGTCCAGAAGAGGGAGAGCGAATGGTGTGCGTGTGATCAGCAGGAGGCAGAGAGCAGGAGGAGCCCTAGAAGTAGCAACCCTGGGGTTCCTGCCCCTCAAGGATGCCTCCCAACAGAAACACATTTTTTTTTTGTTTTCTTTCTTTCGGTGCCTTGCTTCGCTCAAAATTAGATGCACCTACCTGATGACAGAGCCCAGCCAGGGTCCCCTGAGTCAAGGTAAGATGTATGACAGGAGGCTTATTGACATTTTGGGAGGTTTTCCTAAGTTGTCTCTCATAATTTACAATTTCTAAGTCAATTCCTCAGAGGTTTATGGGAATAATAATAGTTATTGTGTTCGAGTATGTACTGTGTGCTAGACACTTTATATTGTGTCTAATAAAGTAAGCTGGTGAGGGTAAGTATGATTGCCATGTGCCCAGTACATAGAAAGCACTCACCCACTGTTTGCTTTTACTGTTACTTTACAAATGAGAAAACTGGGGTTCAGAGAGCTTGAAGTTGCACATCAAGAAAGTTGCAGTGCTGGTAGTGACTCCATAGCACATGTTCTGTCCCAGGTCCATTTATTCAGTCAATATGTACTGAGTACCTGCTGTGTGCCAGGCATACAGCTAAATGCGAGATGCTGCAGTGAATAGTTTAGACTTGGGTCCCCTTGTCATGGGCACTGCAGATAAGGACCTGATAAACTGCTAATACGTGCACCCTAGAGGTGAACCAGAGGACATAGACACGTGACTCTTAAGGGACGGCTTCTGGAAGAGGGGGCCTGAGCGGACCCTACGAGGGTCATAAGCTGTAGGTATGAAAAACCCAGCACCTGAGGGCCTAGAATGAAGCAAGGTGTTTAGTGCAACTCTTACATGACTTCAAGCAAGCCCTTTCCCACTCTGAGCCTCAGTTTTTCAAATCAGTAAATTGGACTTAGTTCTCTGAAGGGAATTGGAGTGATGTGGTGGGGCCGTGGACGTGCGAGCATTGAATGAAAAAAAATGTGTTCATTGTGGGGTGTGAAATCTTGTGCTAAATCACTCTTCCCCTTCAACGTGAATATCATCTCCATTTGGCCCTCCCCTGAGCAGTGGCCAACCGAAAGGCGTGTTTGGGGAGCAGTTTGACGCCAAGAACAAGCTGACATGCTCCATCTGCCTGAAGGAGTTCAAGAGCCTGCCTGCCCTGAACGGCCACATGCGGTCGCACGGGGGAATGAGGGCTTCCCCCAGCCTCAAACAGGTTAGCAGGCGCCAGCTCCGGTCCTTTCCAGGCCATGTGCTATTTGCTTTGCTTTGCTGCCGTCAGACAGTGATGTAAGCCCCATGCAGACAGCTGGGGAGGCACAGTCCCTTCCTGAGGGGTAGCTTGAGCTTTGATGCTAGGAGCCTCAGCTCAAACAGCTCCCACTTCCATTGGCTTTATGAACAAGGATCAAAGCAGAAATATTAGAATTCTTTTAGGGGATCCCAGCCTTCTCATCTCCCAGAGAAGACAGCAAAGAAACCATAGAGGTGCAGTATTATTTTTAGTTTCTGCTGCTTGAAACACCCAAGACCAGGGTCACTTACCCCTTCCAGATCAGGAGTCGATGGCCAGGGGGAGATACTATAACCAATGGACTCCCAGCCAGCATTGTCTATTCACCAGTGCACTAATGTTAGGCTCTAGCATGCAAAAATCTTAAAATACCCTCAGGATTATCCAAGAAGGCTATCCTTGTGTGAACTATCCAGGCAGTTTTAGAGTTAGATTAAAATTCAAAGAATTTCCTCAGAACTCTTTGACTATCGTGGATCTTTATTTAAATCTACAAGATTTAAATAAAATCTCTGTTCACCATAATTTTGGACAATCAGGTTACTCCATCTCCTGACCACTCCAGATAATAGAGCTTTGTCTTCACTATTTAAAAGAAACATGTTTTGTATTTTCAATGTGGTTCCCAACCTGAGTAGAATTTAAGATGGAATGCCTGTCTGCATTTGACAGATAATAAACTGAGGCCCATAGATTCAAAAAGCTCTATACAAAAGCATCCCCCTTTTTTTGGCCTCTTTTCAAGTACATACATACCCTTTGCTTTAAAAGCAATGGCCACGACGCACATACACATTTTTAATAGTTGTTTCCAATATACAAGCTACACAGTCAATTTTTTTAATATAGAAAGCGGTACATGGCCTCGTCCGCCGCCGACTGGCATCCCTTGAAGCCAAGGGACTCAGGGTGGCAGGAAGAAAGCTGCCCTGCAGTGGTTCCCAGTCACCCATGCCTGATGTCCTGGAACCTTTCAGGAAAAGCAGAGTGAGTCCCCCCTTGTAAGTGCTGCCCTCAGCCCAGGATCAAAGCCTTTATTGTCTGTGTAGGAGGAAGGAGAGAAGGCCCCGCCACCTCAGCCACCTCAGCCCCAGCCGCCACTGCCGCCTCCGCCGCCACCGCAACCGCAGCTCCCTCCCGAGGCTGAAAGCCTCACGCCTATGGTCATGCCCGTGTCTGTCCCTGTCAAGCTTCTCCCGCCCAAGCCCAGCTCTCAGGGCTTCGCCAACAGCGTCGTTGCCGCCCCCTCCGCCAGAGACAAGCCAGCCAGCTCGATGTCGGACGACGAGATGCCCGTGCTCGTGAGGATGACCCTCTCTCCCCCACACTCACCCCAAGGGGCTGTCCCCCGCACGCCTGCTGTGAGTTGCTGCTCTGCCCTGCCTGCCTGGGGTGGGGACATCCCTTTGCTTTCTTGGAGAAGGGGACGGCTCCTCCAGGGTCATTGACCTCACTGACCTGACCGCAGATCTGGCCTGACCTCTCAGGTCAAGCCCCCAAGTCACCTTGGGAATAGAGTCCTCATCATCCATACTGCCCACTACCCATTCAACGCCTGTTCCTCTGCCAGGCTAACTTCTGGCTTAGAAACAGAGATAGTAACTCCGCTGGTAGTCACTGATAGAACCGCACGAGTTACTGAACTATAGAAGTACTGCCCCAGATAGTAAATAGCTATTGCTGGGGGGCACTAGCCCCTCTCCCAGGTTCTCCAGATCACCCCAATTCCAGCAACCAAGGATGTAACCACCTCCGGCACAGCAGAGCCTCCAGGCAACAGCCCAGACAGCCATTCCAATGGTCAGCCTTACCAGGTGATTGATATTTCTAATACTACACCTGCTTAACTACCCTTGGAGGACCTCATTCATTAAGGTTCACAAAATAATTCCACTCAAAGGCACCTACCCCCAATCTCAGGAAAGCAAAGAGATTTATGTTTCGCACTCACTGTTAAGTTCTCTTTCTCAAATTCCACGTGCTTCAACCAAGCAGCTTAGCTTGGCTCGGGGACAGAGTTCTCTCCCTCCCCCCTCCCCTCTCTCCCTCTCTCTTATTACTCCTCTCTCTCACTTGCCCACCCTCCCTCAGGAGTCTGTAACGACATCAGATTTGTCCTCTCCCCACAAAGTGTAGCGCGCGTCATATTTGCCCTTAGAACAGGTGACTGCTGCGATTTCAGGAGACACGAAGGTGGGTTTGGGCCAGAAGAGGGGTAGGGACAATAATTAAGAGAACTAGAAAAGTCCAGAAAGACTTTTTTTGGCTCGTGATGTAATATGAAAGCTTCAGAAGGGGAGAGACTGGTGGACAACCCCTGGGGGTAAGGATTTTCTTCAGCTGGCAGGACTTGGAAGCCAGCAGTAGGCAGAAGAGATTAAATAACACAGTCGACCTCCCTCTTTGTCCAGAGAAGTTCCCGATTTGGTGGGCGACACAGTTTCTACCCTTGGAAAAGCTCAGCTTGAAACTGGAGCTACAGTAAGGGGTTCCTAGTCACAGAGGGGTCAGAGCCCCAGGTGCACCCCACCCCATTCAAGAGCATGAGAGAAAGATCAGGGCCGAGGAGAAGTAGTGCTTCCCTGGGTGTTGCTGGGAGGGATACACCTGGTTGCTAAGTAATTTGGAACTCTAATGAGTAATTAGGAGAGGCAAGGGAGTTTGGTTCGAGTTGCTCAGAGGAGATAATCAGGAGGGGATTTATAAGCGGGGTTCTGAAGACAGATATGAATTTGGCTTTGTGGAAGGGGTGAGACCTCATAGGTGGGGAGATAAACTTGAAGAAGCATGTAGGTGGGATTGAGTAAATATGAGCAGTCTTGGCACTTGGTATAAAGAAATTAAAACATCTGGGGAGGAGCCCAGGGTTCTTATCCCCACTGTGCTCCTAGTCAGAGAAAAAGGCAGCTGAGACTGCCTCTCTCAGGCTCAATTTTGCCCTTGACCTTAGGAGGAGTGGACCTTATCAATGGTTCTCACCCTCTGGGGAGCTTTGAAAACCATTCAGTGCTGGGACCTACCCCCGGAGAATCTGAATACCAGGTGAGAGAGGAACAGTGTAAATACTTCCTCTCAAGTGACACCCAGGTCTGATCTTCTGGTTAGCTTCTCCAGCCCTGTGGTTTCAGAGTCTTGCTTGGAGGACCAGGAAATCTGAGGTAGAGGTAGAGTAACAGGACTAGAGGAGACTGGAGCAGATGGAGCCTGACAGGGACCATCGGCCGTGTGATCAGAGGTTTGGATTCCACTGCAGGGTTGAGGTCGCCCAAGATCTGCATGATCTCATCGGTCACCCAGAAACAAAATTTCAGGATTACTCCGAGCTGGGGAGCACCAGTGTCCCCTGCCTATTCTCCTCAGCCCCTTCTCCATCTCTACCTCAGGCAGTGAGGAGCCCTCTGCTGGGGAGAGGAGACAGGCTGGTGCCGTCTGACCCAAGGAGAGCCCCCTGGGGGTGAGATAGGGCTTTCCAGCCTCCACACTGGAGCTGGAGCCTGGAGGGGGGTCCTGTGTCCCTCCACCTTTCCCCACCTCAGGACTGTAGCCTTAGGGGCTAGGAAGGCATTCCAGAAGACAGTGACGCTGAGGAAGAAACAGGAGGGGGCAGCCTCAAGTGCTTCTGAAGGAGGCAGTGGTAGGATGCCAGAGGGCGAGAAGCTTCCTCCCCCCCTCCTCTAGAGGCACTGGAACAGGCCACATGGTGTGGAGGCAGCTGGTCATGTGACCGTGGGCAGCCCTTCCCATCATCCCCTGCTGCCTCCTCCTCAGGCGCCACCCTGGGCACAGGAATTGCCTGGGACTGCAGCTGTGACTGACAGTGGCCTGAAAGGGTACCTCAGACTGCCCCAGCCTTTCTGCAGGTATCCCCTCGCCTCTCCTCCCAACAACCGCTGCCTCTCCAGCCACACCCAGCTCTGGGTTTTTCTGGGCAGATGCTGGCACCAAGTTTGTTTCTGTTTGGCTTTGGCATGCCCTGCTCATCTATTTACGTGCATATGTTTACTTAATAGTATATATGTCTCCATGTGACAGATCTTCCTTCCAGACTATGCTGGGTTCGGCTGCCATAAAATAAACTAACATCGCTGACAGGAAACTGACCTAGGAGAAGGGTTTGCTACAAAATGAGCCACCAGTGCTGGAAGCACTAGTGAGGAGAAGGGAGCAGGGAGGTTAACCAGGTCCATGAAAAGGGCCTTAAAGAGCATAGAGGGCTCTCCCTCAGCCCCAAAGTTACCTCGGAGAGCCCAGTGTGGGTCACTGGCCCTGGGAGCTTTGACTGGCCTGACCCCCTCTTCCTGCCACACAGCCTCTGCCCCACTTCCCTGAGTACATTATTCTGGCCCCTTCTCAGAACATGTGCTGTGTGTCCCTGATGGCTCTCCTCTGGGAGCACTGGGGAATTAAAGGGCCCACTCAGCTGGATTCCACTCAGCAGAAGGGAATGCAGTGATGAGCAATAAAGAATGTGAATTTATTCTTTCTTGCCCACCCACTAATCCTGCCACCCCCATCTCTCTCCAGACATTAAGGAATTCCTCCTAAACCAACGTTCTCTCCCTCGTCAGAACTGGCGTTATCTGAAATGGATGTGGCTTTTTTTTAAGGCAGTGGATGTTGGGGGTCAGACTAGCAAAAGAGGGTCCCCCGGCAGCACAGAAGTCCACCTTCGCTGGACCTGTGGAAACATCCTGTGGAGAAAGCCTGAGCTTTTTAGTCAGATCGTCCCTCCCGTTTTAGGAAATCCCCAGGAAGCATCAGCCCGGCGTTGCCAAGGCTGAGGAAACCCTGAAGACCCTGCCGGAGAAGGAGAAGAAAAAGTTCCGGCACCGGCCTGAGCCGCTCTTCATCCCGCCACCGCCCTCCTACAACCCGAACCCCGCCTCCTCGTACTCGGGCGCCACCCTGTACCAGAGTCAGCTGCGCTCCCCGCGCATCCTAGGGGACCACCTGCTCCTGGACGCCGCCCACGAGCTGCCCCCCTACACGCCCCCGCCCATGCTGAGCCCGGTGCGCCAGGGCTCGGGGCTCTTCAGCAACGTCCTCATCTCGGGGCACGGCCCTGGCGCCCACCCCCAGCTGCCCCTCACGCCGCTGACGCCCACCCCGCGCGTGCTGCTGTGTCGCTCCAGTGAGTACCACTTTTGCCTTTTCCTGAACCCTGAGGTGAGGGTTGGGGGTGTGGGGTGGGTTCACCTCTGGCTGTGCTGGCTTCTGCCCTGGAGGGTCTCGCTTTCTTTAGGTGTCCTGTTTATCCCGCACACTCCAGGGGGCTTGTCACCTATATGTTCTAGGCACCGTGCGAGGTGCTAGAAATACTTAGAATCAGTACAAAATTCTTATCCTTGAGGGAATCATGGGCTAGCTGGGGAAAAGAAGGCATTAGGCCATGACAGCCTCTTAGAGGTAAGGAAACAGTTGACGTGTGCGAACACTAAATAAGGCTATGCTGTGTATAATTGCATCAGACACCCAAAATAAATGTAATAAGTAGATGTACACAAAGGATTAAATACAATATGCAAGGCCAGGCCGCCACATTCTAGCATGTTGTGTAAAGATCAAGCATGGAGAGGCCTATGGTCGGAATCTCTTTCTAGAGCAAGAATAATTTTATAGAAACGATACAGTTTAACTGACCACAGTGGCTTCCCCCTGCCCTGTGTGAGAAATGGGTAAGCCATTTAATATCTTCAGTTCTTTGGAGACTGCTGTGGGTACCCCGGCATGAGTTGGGTAGGAGAGGAGCGCTATTATGACTGCTTGGATAACAGCCCATTTGCTTTAGTTTCTTCAGTACCCCTCCCCTGTTGACCAGTGGCCTCTGGTTTTTGTGCCTTCAGACAGCATCGATGGCAGCAACGTGACAGTCACCCCAGGGCCTGGAGAGCAGACCGTTGATGTTGAACCGTAAGGAAAAGCCAGTCATTCTTGAGTACACAACCCTCAGCTGAGGAAAGGAATCAGGAGCTTTGAAAAGTGCAGTTCGCACTTCTGGGGTCAGAGTGGCCACTGATGGAGAAGTCATAGGAATGGTAGAATCGTGCTACTTCTCGTGAAGCATTGTTTGCCTCTAATTGCCAGTGTTTCGAGGCCTTTACCGAAGACTAAGTACAGAGTTAAAGCATGAAGCCTATACTCACAGAACCTGCTGTTCCCCTCCCTGGCTCTTTGGGCCAGTTTGGTTGTGGCCACATGCTTTCTCATCCCCAGTGGTACTGGGCATCTCTCGCGGGGTTCCCAGCAATCTAGCGGTTTCTTTCCAAACATCCTTGCTTCCCTCATCCTCTAAGATTTTTGGCCAGTCCTCCAAATGGGCTTGAGTGGTAGAGAGGGACATAATGGAAGGGGAAGGTCATTCTTTTCATGAATAAATGCAGAAAAGAGGACAGGTGAGGCACTGGTGAGTAGATTGAGTCAGGAATTAGAAAACCTGAGTTTCAGCACCATTGTTACTTGATCTTGATCAAGTTAACCTTTCTAGGCTTCAGCTAGTTCATCCATTAAGTGGGACTAATTATCACTGCCTTGCTTATGTCACACATCTTTGTGAGGTTCCACTGGGATAATTTATGTGAAAACAGTCTGAAAGAAATAAAAAATGAAATAGGCACTCTGTATTTGTCCCATTTTTCCTGGTTAAATGGTACCAACTGGCCATGCTGGTGCTACCAACCTGGGCAGCTATTCCTTGGAATCTTCACCCTCTTCTCCCAGTTGTAGGGTGCTACAGTCTGCCCAGGCAGACTTCTCCCCTGCTCCCTTCAGTTCTAACCTTAAAGCTGTTACTTATCCCAGTGAAAAGGCCAGGCCTAGAATCTTAGGATCACACTGTGAGGAAATGCCCCCACATTCTTCTTGAAGAAGGAACTGGTTTCATTCTTTTTCAAGTTCCTGACAGTTGCCCTTGGCCTGAAAGTGAAGATCCCATTATTGTTTTTCTTCTTATCATTAAAGACGCATCAACATTGGCTTGAGATTCCAAGCAGAGATCCCAGAACTCCAGGATGTCTCTGCCTTGGCCCAGGACACACACAAGGCCACACTGGTATGGAAGCCCTGGCCAGAGCTGGAAAACCACGACCTCCAGCAAAGAGGTGAGGTGTTGCCAATGGGAAGTCTCCAGAGGGAAAGGCTTGATTCTCTCACCAGGATGTCTGGATCCAGGATCACTGTGCTTTTTCCGTGATACTGGGCTCTCCCTGATGCACTGACTTCTTTGTTCCCAACAGTGGAAAATCTCCTGAATTTGTGCTGTTCAAGTGCATTACCAGGTGGAGGAACCAATTCTGAATTTGCTTTGCACTCTCTCTTCGAGGCCAAAGGTGATGTGATGGTAAGCAGCCATGAAAAGTAGGCTTAGAGTTCATGTTCTTCATGTCAGAATTCTCAGGTTCCTGTGTGTCTTTTCCCACTTAACATACCACCAATTCATAAGATGATGACTAGTCAACACGCCTCCCTGTTCCTTATCTCAGAGAGTAAGTCAGGATTTAAAAGCCTTCAAGAAAGCCTCCAGTTGGAATTCTGTTTACACATATGTTCCTGAGTTACAGCTGTAGGCACAGCTGTCTTGGGAAATTAACATTTCTTCAGCAGTCTTATATTTTACATCAGAAAAGCACATCTCCCGTGGAGGTAGAAGACCTTACTGAAACAAGATGTGGCCTAAACTAGTCTCTTGTGTTCTGCTGATTGTTACCCAATCTAGAAATCAGCCAAAGTTTGATGTTCATATGGAACTCTTTTGGCCCCTAACCAAAATGAACTGTTTGCTATGCACCTACTGGGTGTCATTCTTCTGCCTTTGACTCAGTTCTTTGGTGCCCTCAAACCTCAACACTGGTGCCATCTTCCCAGAATCACCGTTTGCCTGTTCCACTGGACTCCTGGCAAGAGCACTCAATCACTGTCCTCAGTTTCCCCTTTAGTAAATTCATGATTCTTGTGGCAGGTCTAGCTTCCTGCTTTTTGATTTTATAAAATGTGAAAGTAAATGTCTCAAGACTGCTTTCTCAAGAGATAATTGATACCCTTCAAGGCTATTCTAAAACTTTGGGGAACTCTCCTTAACCCTGCGAGGTCAGCCTTGCAGACTGCATTTCTCTAGCTTTCAACATGCAAAACCACCTGGGAATCTTAAAATTCAGGTTCCTAGTCAGCAGTTCTGGAGCGGTACCCAAGGTTCTGCAGTTCTAATCTGCAGCCAGGGTTGACCGTGCTGCTGGTCTGTGGGCCAAAATTGAAGTAACAAGATTCTAGACCTTGCTTTCCACTCACTTCTGCCTGCAGCATTTATTTTTTAAGATTTATTTTTGCGTAGAAGAACTGGGGTATAGGCCAGAGGTGCGGGGTGTGAGAGGATTCACCAGAGGAGACAGTGGGGAACGGAGCATATAGATTGACTGAAATACACAGCTGAAAGGAGCAGCGGGTGAGATAGGAGCGGTCTACGGTGCCATGTTGGGTAGCGCCCTGGCTGGGGATCTAACTCAGGCCCCAGTGGTGATAAGGCTAGGCCACCAGGGAGACCTGCCTGCAACATTTAAAAAAAAAAAAAAAAAAAAAAAGTCAGTGAGGCCAGAAGAGACAGATTTGAAAGGTCTTATTTAACTTACTTCTCTGGAAGGTCAGCATGTGGTACAGTTATTACTAATATAGCTGTTATGTTCAGTGGTAATGAAACGTGGTTTTTCTGCAAAAAGCAGCTACAAGTCACCCACTCATTTCCTTGGAGCCCTTCCCCAGAGACTCAGGCCTTATTCAGTGGAGGCCCCACCTTTTCTCTGAGGCTGGGGCCCTTACCCAGGAACACAGGTCTTGCTGTGTTTTTCTCTGACATGATCACCCACTGCACGCATGGGCTGGGAGGTGTTAGAATCGTGAGTCCTGTTGGGTGCTGACCAGAAAGGAAACCCCAATGAGGGGAGTCTCCTGTGGGTGCTGACCAGAAAGGAAACCCCAATGAGGGGAGTCTCCTGTTGGGTGGTGACCAGAAAGGAAACCCCAATTAGGGAAGTGTCCCACTGGTTTTCCTTCCTGCACCCCCAACACCAGCTGTGCAGTGCCGACCCCTTTTGCCCTTTATAAAGGTAGATGGTCTCCCTAGACCCGTCACTGACTCTCGCCTTTTCTCTCCCATGGGTCTGCAGGCTGCTCTGGAAATGCTGCTGCTGCGGAAGCCAGTCAGGTTAAAATGTCATCCTTTAGCAAATTACCACTATGCCGGTAGGTTGCCAGGAGCCCGTGCCCCTTTGCTTCCTAAGAGTGGGTTGTTTACTTGTCTGGGTGTGTTGCTTTGTAATATAGACGGCACCAGTTCTGTCCTAAATGATTCTCGTGGCCTCAGGGCCTCCTGGGGCGTGGCTGGTGGGGCAGTTTTATCTATTAGCTGGGTGCTGTTGGGTATTTAACTGTGTGGATGCCTGCCCCTCATGGGTATGCCAAGAGCTGAGTGAAGAGGAGGGCTCCTGCAGGAGGAGATGGAGTCCTAGAGACAACAGCACTCAGCAGCATCTCAACTGTGGAATCTGGACATGGGTTCAGATCTTGCCTGCACCCCTCAGTCTTCTGCAGCCTTGATTTCCTTACCTGTGAGATGGGTCTATACTCTGTCCCTTGCAGCATTTTTGTGATTAGAGCTAATATATGTAGCCCAATGCCTGGCATGTCTTCCTAGCTATATTATTCCTTTATAGAACAATTACTTATTGAGCATTTATTGTGTACAAGGGACTAAGCACTAATAGAAAACAGCTATACACACAAGGGCAGACAGAGTCCTACCTCGTGCAGTTTGGAGTCTGAGGAAGATGCATTTATTAAGCAGTGGAGCATACTAATGGCAGGTAAAGACACACATACATAGTACACTTTTGAGTCTGTCTTATGAGGATGTGGCTTAACAGCAGCAGCGCCGACAAGAAGGAATGAGAACAGCTTTAAGAGTTGAATGGCATGAGACTCATGAAGAGAGAAGGAAACAGGTTGGGGAGACAAAGAAGTGACAAAGGAGGTCAAAGTCCACGCTTTTATTTCCATTTAACGGTGTGCACATCCATTCTGAGCGTCTCCACAAACATGCCTTGGTTCTATATCTCAGAGGGGAACAAATCCTCCAGTGCCCTTGGATTGTTAATCAGTTGAAGGTGCCTTTGGTGCCTTGGATAGACCCTCCACAGGTAGGTGCTAACTAGTGGGATTTGGACCTGGAAATCGCTTTTCCAGTTCTTGGTCCAAGTGGCTGGTCCAAGGGAAAGGCTGCCACATTTTCAGTGAACTACCTCCTTCCACTACTGTTGGCCTCACTTAAGGCGCTTTTCTTCTGAGCCGGCCCTCTTGCCTGTCATCACAGGGTAGAAAAACATCAGAAACTGCCATGTGAGCCCAGCAAATCCAGGATGCCTGTCTGTGATCACCTTCAGCACACAGGCCACCACTGCAATGATGCAAGCACAAAATGGACATGTGGCATGAGAAATGCATCATTTAATCCGGCCACAAGGAGCGGTTTCTTATTAATGTTGTCATCATTTCCTGCTATGTGTCTGCCCTGAGTGTGGGTAGAAAGATGTGGGTGTCCTCCCTGATCTGCCATGGAAACAATTCAATCCTCTCTTAATTCTCAGTGTCATCTGCTGCCTGTTAAACCTTGACAGCCTGTCCAGCCTCCCAGAGCCTGTCTCAAGCTTCTTTGCATAGTGGGTGAGGCAGTTGGTAGACATGAAGGCTCTTTCCAATCATCCGCTCTGAGACACAGCTGCCCTTGACCCTTAGGGTGGCTGTGTGGCGGGCGCCTCTGCACTGGTCAGCTCCAGCTGTGAGCAACCTTGTCTGCATCCCAAATCCCCTCCAGTTCTTCCCAGTATGCCAAACATAAAACAAAAACACTAAAATAATACCAAGAACTTTGAAATTAGAGGGTGCCCTAAACTCTGCTAAAATGATCTTTTGGGGTTGGCGGTACCCTAGCTAATCTGTTACCTATCCCCTACCCCCTTTCCTGCACAAGTATACCAGGAAGGACTCTGTTGCCTCCTGGAATTTTCTTCAACCCTTAGAAGCAAGAGAAGTAGAACTGAGGTATGGAGGGTTGGTATCCTGCTTACTGTCACCAAGAAAAGGTGCTCACTTCCATCTGTCAGTCATTTGCCTTCTTCAGGAAATGATCACAGATTGGGCCTCAGAGAATCTTCTAGAATTATGAACAAAAGGGGCAGAGATCACTGATCTCTAAAGTATGACCTGATCCATTTCTATAACAGTTCCCTTCCAAGGCACAGGGGAGATCACCAAGCCTGCCCCTATCATGTGCCTCCACTACCAGCCACCATCTCATCCTCTGGTTTGATTCCAGGGTATCAGTGAATCTCAGTCCCATGCCCCGGCCCTGGTTTCAGGCCTCACCAGGTTGCACTCCAGTAGGACTGTTAGCTCAATTCCAGACTCTCAGAGACACTGTCTTCTGCATCTTCTTTGGCTTCTAGCTCTGGCTGTGGCCAGTGTCACCTCACCCCGATTCCTGATCCTGAAAATGCACTCTAAACTCCCAGTTATCTCAAGAGAAAGATCAAATTTCCCAGACTTGTCCGTGCCCTGGAGGGAAGGCAGAAAGACTGGGCTCGGAGAGGGAGGCTGCAAGTTTGGGAGAAACAGGCACAGGACTGTGAAAATCACTTTCCTTACTTTACTCATGACCTTCCCATTCCATCCCCTCCCAAGAAATTTAGTAAGAAAAGGAAAAAGTGACCAATGCTGGGGCCTTAGAAAAGGTGGGCCATTCACCCAGATCTTGGGGCTGCTTGCCAAAGCCAGAGGAGCCCAGTGGAGGCCTCAGAGGAAGGAGTTTGTGGAGACCCCTAGCTCAGCCCAAAGTGCACCTTCAGCCCTCTCACCGTGCACCCAGGCTTGGATAGCATTTGCTTGCAGAGGCTCCCAGTTAGCCCTGGCACTGGATGGGGAAGACTTGAATGTTAGGAGTCAGGACCAGGAGGAATGGTGGTTGCAATTAGGAGACTTGCAGCGTCCTTGGCATTTCATTGAACTGGTAGTGCCTGCAGATGGGCATGGAGGCACAATCAGAAAAGGCCCTGGGCTTCTTGGCAAAGGTTCAGCTATGCTACTGTGGGTCAGTGAGCACAGCCAAGTGCTCCCTGGGTCCTGAACCCTGACCCAACTCCGGAGATGAGGGAGACCTGGAGGAAATCAATACCCCTTTGGTTGGGAGAGGGCTGGTCTCTGTCTTGGCAGCTGCCCCAGTTTGATGAGACAGAATTACACACTCAAGAGAATACTTTGCAAGAAACACAGCTGTGATGTCATTTGCCAGGCATGCTTAGCCCATGTCTCTGGCTGTGTAGTGGTCCCCCCAAGGGCAGGAACTGAACTCTTGCTTTGCCTGACAGCACTTGTAAAGAGAAAGATTCGCAAACAAGTTCAAGTGCTGGATGCAGATGGAGGCCTTCCTTTCTCCTTCAGAGGGAACGCTGGCAGCAGCGTGCTTCACACTGCCCTCCTAAAAATTTACTCAGCCTCCACCCACCATGGAAAACCATTCAGAGAAGTGATAACCTGATACAAAAACAGTCCGCAATTTTTCTACAATAAATGCGTCTTGTGTAACTGTACTAACAGCATCAATAAAAGTTTCTAACTCTTGAATGGAAGACAAAAAGGCCCTCTTCTGCACTCAGACTTTGTCTCACCTCTCCGTGCCTCTTTTTAATTGCCTAGGTTCACTTTGCATGGCCCCAAATTTAGCCACGGTCCAGAGCTTGTTTCCCAGCAACAGAAGCTCAGAACGTTTTTCCTCTGGATACTGTTCCAGCACCGGTTTCATCCAGCTAATTAGGCGCTTTGTAATTAGCCTTAATCGTCTTGTTAAGGGCCCCTGCTGATAATAGCCCAATAGCCAGGAATCCCCAGGTAGAACAAATGAGCGCTGGGGCGATGTCAACCCACTAACCCTGTGTGCATGCTGAGTGGACAGCAGGGATCCTGGAGAGAAAGGAAGGATAGAGAGGAGGGGAGGGTTTGAGGCAGCATTTTATCCTGGACTTTGTCCAAGATGCAGAGCCCAAGAACGGCTGGCTTAGAACCCTGTCGAAGAATGAAGAAAGTGCCAGTGAGGCCAAGACTCCAGGCAGGAGAGCCACCTGGACCCTTCCTTCCTTTACTCTGGACTACAGGAGGAATACAGGGGCTGGGGATGGAAGACTGGAAATCCTGAGTAGCATGGAGTAAGGCGGTATCATTATCCACACTCAGAACAAGGAAGATTCACGAGTACCACTGACACTTCATGTCAGCAGCGGATAGCTTCTGTATTGGACATGGAATCTGCTCTCTGAATGACAATTAAGGTCTGAGACCTTCACTGTGCACTTACTTCATACAAGACACTGTCAGGGTGACCTTCAGGATCCCCATGTCACAGGAGAGGAGACAGACTCTGAGAAGTAAATTTACCTGGGGCCACAAAAGGAATACGTGGCAGAACCTTTGCCTCCAGACAAAAGACACCCCCTTTTTCTTTTTATCACAGCAGTGATCCTACTGTTTGGGAAGGGCACAGTGGTGTTATTTCTATATATGAGACCTGGGCCTGGGAATTCAGGCTGGGAGCTTGCGATGGATTCTCAGGCCTGTGGGCAATGCAGTGATCAGATGCAGTGAGGATGGAGCCTGCTCCAGTATAATCCTGAGACAGACTTGCTTTACCGACCCTGCTTCTTGCTTCATAGACACCCTTGTTGAACAGACCCGTGCGGGCAGTACTGTTATTTGCACAAAAGCACAGACCTTAGGACTACATCGAGAAGCCATCTTTTACTCTCTGAGCACATGCTCCCTGCGCCGACAACCTTGGCGTAGGAGAAAAGCACCGAGAGGAAAGCAGGAGCGGACAGATTCCTATCCAGATTTGGGAAGACTGAAAACTCATCACAGAGGCTTGGGATTCCCCATAACAGTCCATGAAAAGCTCTTTCTCCCATGGGGTCCCAGCTGGCAAGCCACTTGGGGGCATGAAGGAACATGTGTCTCCAGAATAGGCCTGATACCCTAACACTACTGCTTGAGCAGTAATAAGCTGGTGTGGGGTGAAAGTGCCCACTGTGAAGGCTGCTGGCCTGAGAAGGCTGCATAAGCTGCACTTCAGGAAACGTATGGCCTGTCTGAGGGTGGAAACTGTTCCCATTGATCGAGTTGAGGACTTTCAATAGGAAAATGCCCCCTGATTTCCTGGAACTGCAGACTCTGGACCTGCTGCAGGCAGCACATGAACCGTCTTAGAAGCTTGTCCAGGGACTCAGCTGCTGTGATGGGATCATCTTCCATCATCTTTCAGATCCTTCCTACTTATTTGCTATTTTGGTGCATGCCTAAAAGGAACTGTGACTGCTCTTTGGTCATCTCGTTGGTTAGTCCTCTCTGGCTTTCTCTTTCTGTCTCTGCCCTGGGTAAGGAGAGCATAGGAGTACCAAACCCAGGGCCTTGAATGCTGAACAGAAAGGTAATGGAATCTCCAGAGCCCCAGATGTCACCCACCGGTGCTCACATCCACTCCTGCAAAGTTTCTCCAAACACCCAAGCCCCCTTTAACCCTGTTGCACAGCCAGAGATGTCTCTGCCTCTGGAACCTATGGGAAATGCTTCCTTCTGTTGAGGGTTCATCGAAAAACCATTTTCCTTCTAGGAGTAGAGATAAACTTACAACCAGGTGGTGGCCTTGCTTTTTGAGCTGTCTGAACCAGCCCAACTGTGGAGTCTGAGCCAGCACTCTCGGCTTAAGGACCCGTCAAGAAGTTACCTACTCTCGCAAGGATTCTAGGCTCTCCACCCCCTGCCACCTCCACCCTCCACCTGATTCACTAATTTTGTCTGAACCTTCCAAGGGAGGAAACAATTCCTGTTTCCTGAGTTAGTCAACCATAAAACTGGAAACCTTCCACTTGTCCTGGTTGGATGGGAAAATACTATGGTTTGAGGGATTACAACTCTGAGAAGTAAAGAAATATCAAAAGTTCAGCCATATACCAGCCAAAGAATCAGAGATGGAGAGAGTCCAGAACACCAGAAGAATGAACTACGGACCAGCTACTGTGGACCCCCCAGAAGAAAGTCTCCTCTTAGAAGTAGACCTTATTTCTTGCCCCAAAATAGTAGGCCACCACTGTTCTCTATGATGATCTGCTATTCTGCTGACAGGAACAGCAAAATTTAGCCTGCAGGGCCTCAGTCCCTAGTCAACAAAGCTGGTTCTACTCACTCTCCACACTCATCTGCTTTCCCTCTTCTGGAAGCTTCTAGCTGAACCACACTGGATGACTGCTCATTCTTTGAACACCTTCATTTTCTCAGCTGAAAAATGGGGAACAGTAGTGCCAGTCTGCAGGGTTGTTGGTAGAACCAAATGACTGATATCTATGAAGGCTTAGAACTTACATATAATAAGCACCTAAACACGTTGAGTTTTTCCTTATAGACTGTTAGAAATAGAAATGAATAAATAGCTCTTTGTTTTTAAATGAACATTAAACAGTGATGCTATTTTACTTTTTTTAAGAACAGTTGGATTTTTTGCCCTTAGCATAGCATCTTGCATGTAGCAGACACCTAAAGTGTCTGTTGAGTGGATTAATGAATGAATAAAATGCGTCATCCCACTGCTTGCCTCTGACATTGCACATTTTTCTCTCCCCAGAATTCCCATTCATTTCCTTCTTGCCTGATTTGCTCTCATATCCTTTATAACTCAACTCAGGCGTTTTCTCTACCTGGAAGCCTTCCCAGTTACCCAGGGCCATAACCTGAGTGTGAGGTCCTCCTTTATGCCCCATTGGCTCCTGACCTTCACCTTCCTCATTGCACTTGTCACCTTGAATACAGTACCTGCTGGTTTGCCTCCCCATTGATTGTGACTCCCCACATCTTAAGAACCTTTGCTATATGAACATTGTAATTTGCAAAACCATAGCAAAAATTTGTCGAACCCTCACTATTTCCACTCACTGAGCTGGGCATTTTTTGTGTGTATCTTTAGCCTTCACAAAAATCGTTGGAGGTGGGGACAACTAGAATAGTTCCCATTCGTCAGTAATAAAACTGAGTCTCAGGTTCAGGAATGCCAACGTCAAGGCTGTAACTGGGATTTAAACCCAGGTGTCAGAGCTGCTAAACATTACACTAGTGTTTTGTTCAAAAGGGAGTTTGATGTGTATTGCATCACTTGCTGAACTTTGTATTTTGTAAATGAACCAGCAACTAAAAGTGGAGAGAACTGTGAACTGTTCTTAAGGTGTTTGTATTTTGTTATAGGTTCGGACAAATGGACCTCCCTAGAAAGAAAACTGTTTAATAAAGCACTGGCCACTTACAGCAAAGACTTTATTTTTGTACAGAAGATGGTAAGCATGCTTGTTCCCATTGTTCATTTCAAGTTGGGGAAATTGTACACCTAAAGATGTATAGAAATATTCAGTTACTGGTTTAATCTTCTTATAAGAAAAGAATGTCTTTCACCCTTCACTGGTGATGGATGGCATTTGTTATGGGGTGACAGGACCTCCATATTGGGGATGTGGAGGAAAAGAGGAACATACATTATTTGGACATGGCCATGGTGGGGGTTGTTTACATCTTAATAAAAATGCATAATTTATAAACTCCATCAGAATAAATAGAACCAGGGCTTCTGGTTCACAACTTACATGTTTTATTTCACGTATATTTGACAGATTTATGGTATTTCTGATAGATTTTTTTTTCTGGGAAATTGGAGAAAGGAGGACACATTCCCTCCCCACAGCCAGTAGCAGAGTTTCTGGTATTGGATCCCCAATCATAAGATGTCATAGTTACTAGCACTTCACAGCAAAATATAGTTCTTTCCCATAAATGAAGTAGCATTGTATACAGCAGATAATAAACTTAATAGGCCTTAATTAGTTGAGAGGTAGTTTAGGCCCAAAGTTAAAATGATTCAAAGATAAAGATGATTCAAAGAAAAAGATGATTCAAAGACAAATGATTCAAAGCAAACAGATGAATGATGGAGTAGTGTGAAATCAAACAACAGGTCCCCTATGACAGCCCTCACTGGCTCCAGACTAGGCCAAAGGTCCTCATTGTTATCCTGGGAGCAGGTTACCTGTTTTTAATCCCGGGCCTTTCCTGGACAAGAATCAGAATAGGTGGTTGTTTTCTCCAATTTGCCTTGTCTCTCAAATCTGTATTCACTTCCACCTTGCCCTTCTTTGGAGGCCACATCCCTCCTTGCTGCCCTGATGCCTACTAGCAGCTCAGGAACCCATTCTTTCTTGAGTCCCCCCTCCTCTGAGACTGACCTGTCCCAGGCCTCATGTCAAGGCCCCACTCCTTGGTGACAGGTGATGGTCCCTGTGTCGTACTCACCAGCCATGCAGGCTTTCAAACAAAAGCTCCCTAGGTCATTCCTTACTCCCTGGGCGATTCTGGTATAGGACTTCAAGATTGCAAGTGGATATGAAGGGGCAGCATAGGGAGATAGGACTTCTGGTATGTTCTCCTCATCTTACCATGTAGGTAACTGTGTTCCCACCCCCAAAGGTATGGCCAGCCTTTTATCTGCCTCCAGAAAACCCACATTATTGAACCCCACCTTGAATTTAGAGATATTTGAACTAAACAAAAGAATGTTTTCTCTTTAAAATATATAAAGGGGAATTAAGCCAGGGTGGTCCAGATTTTTTTAAATAAAAAATAAAAATCTGGGGCCTCCCTGGTGGTGCAGGTAGTTGATCGCAGTGCTGTGAAGCTGTCTGCAGCCTCTGCAGTACTGGCTCAATGCCCACCAGCCACGGAGCAACCCACTTGGCGTGGCAGACCTCTCCTGTCTCACCCGCTGCTCCCCTCAGCAGTGTATTTCGGTCATTCTGCCTGTTCTGTGCCCTGCTGTGTCTCTGATGAATCCTCTCACCCTCCTGCACATCTGGCCTGTACCCTGTTTCTTGTATAAAATGAAAAAATCTTAAAAAATATATTTAAAAAAATTAAAATTTAAAAAAAATCTGCCTTTGCCTTTGGGATTGAACATGGCGAATTGGTTTCCTGCAAAAACTACGCTCTTGCCATCATAATTTTCCCCTTACATTCCTTGTTCGATTTTTTTTTTTTAAGATTTATTTATGCATACAAGAACTTGGGTGTGAGCCAGAGGTGGGGGGTGGTGAGGATTCAGCAGAGAGAGTGGGAGCAGAACAGGCAGATCTATTGAAATACACTGCTGAGGGGAACAGCAGGCAAGGCAGAAGAGGTCTGCTGCGCCATGTAGCTCCCTGGCCGGCTGGGATCGAACTCATGCTGCAGTGTCTGGAGCTAGCTTGATAACACTGTCTTTAACCCCTGCACCACCAGGGAGGCCCTCCTTCTTCGATTATTAAGGAACATTTTTCACAAATAGCTTTTCAAAGTCAGCAAGTCAGATAGCCAAACATATTCATGCATGTTAAGTGAAAAAAGCAGGCTGCATTATGGGTTTAAAAAAAAAAAATAATGAGCTCTCTATGCATTGCCTGAAAATATCTCCAGGCTTTCACGTGGAAAAAAATCAAGCTGTAAAACAATACATAGAACATTCCACCTTTTGTGAGGGGAAAAAAAGAAAAGGGATATATTTTCACATTTGTTGGTCTATGTACTAAGACATTCTGGAATAAGACCCAAGAAATGAATATGAGGGGCCAGCTGTAGCAGGGTGGGGAGTAAGAACTGGATGAATGGAGAACAGGCACGCAAAGGAGGCTGTTCAATTTTTTATTGAACTGCGTAAGCCTATTACCTATGACAAAATTACATTTTCAAAAAAACATGCTGCTTTGCATACTGCCTGCTGCTGGAGCTGATCTCTGCATGGCTTTCCCGGCAGGTGAAGTCTAAGACGGTGGCCCAGTGCGTGGAATACTACTATACGTGGAAAAAAATAATGCGGTTAGGGCGGAAACACCGGACACGCCTCGCGGAAATCATTGACGATTGTGTGGTGAGTGAAGCTAAGTCGCTGCTTATGCTGGCCCCACTCCCACGCCACACCCAGGTTAGTAAGTGGCTGGTGTTTGGTTTGGCTTTGCTGCCGCAGTGGCAGCCGTGAGTGGGTGTCAGAGGAGTTCCCTGGTGGGATTCAGGCCTTGACTTCCTGGTATAGCTAGGCAGGGGGCAGGTCACTGTGGATCTGACCTGTAGCTCAACATCCACTTAAGGAGGTGAGGGCTGGCCTGTGTTCCAAGGCGGGTAAGAGCCAGGGGAGTTAAGCCAGCGTGGGCTAGCCTTGACTTGGGTGGCTTATAAAGGGGTAACCTCTGGCCCCTTAGGATAGCCCTTCTTGATCCTTCCACATCACAGAAAACCAGAGAACATTTGTGCCTTAAAAAGATGAAAGAGCCCTCAGATTTGACCACAGCTGCCGAAAAGCATGAGTAATGAGGAACTTTGACCTCCAGATAGGTAGGGCAGAAACTCTCAATTATTGAGGACCTGGTTAGTAGGATGTAGACTATTCCAATCCTGATTATCACCACTTATCCCTAATAGTGATTTTCTTCATTTGCAAACAATCCAAAGTCTGCATATTAAGATTACATTTTTACTAAAGATGTAACAAGATCAAAATCTTCTCTGAAGCCCTTATGTGTGGCTTTGGTAATTACTGCTGCTTTCATCCTCGTGGTTAACACTCTTCTCGGCGTCCATTGTCAGGGGAAAGTTCCTTTTCGCTCTGTGGAAAGCATTACCTACCATGTATATGTATGTCAGAATTACACATCTTACAACAAATTATTAAAAACCAGCCTCTGTTGCCATCAGGGGGCGTGTTTGGGATTCATGAATGGTGTGCATATTAGCGGTTATACTTCCTTCCCAGTTGTGCCCCAGTTGTGTTAGCACATAGGTGGGTTATTTTCTTTAACAGGTGCTTCATAGCCCTTTCTATGTGCCAGGCATTGTGCTAGGCATTTTACAAATAGTAACTCACTTAACAGCCTCATACCAAACAGCTGTTGAGAATGTTGACTGGGCCTGAGTCCCTTGTGTAATATTTAAGAGCAGTCACATGCAGATTCTCAGAGAAAGATGTAAAAATGTTTGCTCTTCAACACCCAAGTTCCTTGCTAAGAATTGAGCCTATCTATGAAATGTATGTACATATATATATGGATTTGGGTCCAACTATATATATATATATAAAGGAAGACATCCACAGAATAGAATGGTATTTCCATTCTCTCTTTCAGAGATGGCAGTATTCTGTATACAAGATTTCCTGTGACCGAGGCATTTGTTTGATTGATTTAAATAATGATGTCTTGTATCAAAATTGGCTTTTGCTCATCTGTTGCCTAATGTTTAAAAAAGCAACATCACCTCCTCGGGCTCAGTCAACTAAAAGCAAGCTCCTACAATGTAGACAGCATTATATATGTAATGCTACAATTGATCCAGAGGTGTTCAGTGTCCTCTCTCTGCCCTGCCCCAATTCCCTCCGCCCCCAGCGCATATTCTGGTTGGAAAGATATGACACACACAAATGGAAAGTTGACCGTGAACCCCAAGAGTATTTAAAAGAGATATGAAAGGAGGACCAGAAAATCATAGATACTGCCTTAGGGACTCCCTCCCTTCCAATGCCACCATTCACAGGCAGAAAGTTGAAGCCTGGAGAGGGGAAGGGACTTGCCCAAGATCACACAGAGCAAGTGAGTAGAATAGATAGTAACAAGGGAGCACAAAGAATCCTGGACTTGGAGACCTAGAAACCTGGCTTGTAGGCTTGTTGACATGTGAAATGGGACAGATGGTTTAAATGATTTGGAAAGTCCCTTCCAATTCTGTAATGTTCTGAGCTCTGGAAGAGAGCAAAATCAGAGTGTATGGTTTCCTAAGGCAAATCAATATCTCTTAGGTTTAGGTGTTACCCAGTGCCTATGACAGTGCCTGGCTTATTGGCCCTCAATAAATATTTGGTGAATGAAAGTGTATGCATTTTCTGAGGTAGGAGTCACTCTGGGTCACAGCTGTGCAGTCCCTCTGTAAACTCATTGGAGGGAGACGCCAGAACTGGACATTCTGAGCAGAGGCGTGCTGCTAAGGAAATGCTACTATAAGTGGCGGGGCTGCCATCTCAGGCCAGTGGGGCTTTGGATGTGATGGTTAGGAAGGGCCAGGCCAACGTACAGCCTTACATTAAAGAGGGAAGTTTACAACAAGATGGCCGAGGGGGCCACACCATCTTGGGCTTAATCACCAGGGGCCAGAATTAGGCTGGGTCAGGAGCATGCACACTCTGGTAACCTGTATGCTTAGCGAGAACAAAAGCTCTGTGCTGAGATGACTCAGGACCATAAAAACAAGAAAATCTTGATTGAAGGCCAGCATGGCGCTCACAGCTCCCTTATGGGCACTGTGAAGGCACACTCAGCCATCTAAGGAGAGCTTGCCAAGTGGATGAGAAATTGGGCTCATGTAAAGACTTGGAGAGTACAATGGGTATCCTCCCAGGTCAGGGTGTCCCCAAAGTCCCAGGACAGGGGTGTCCTGTTCTCTGTCCTTCAGCCCTGCTGGGATACTTGGGCCAGTCTCCTGATCACGTGTCCTCAGTGTTTTCTTAAAGCTGCAGGTGATATTCCCCCTAGGTGGAACACAGACGAACCCTCTCTGGAAGATCAGGGACTTTGGGGAGTGGGAGGAGAATAGGAGAGTTTGTGAGGAATGACTACTCTTTGGAGAGCAAGAAGATTCAGCAGAGCACATTCACTCACTCAGGAGGGCTGAGGTCACCACAGCTGGAAGAAGGTAACAAGGGAGCAAGATCAGCTCTGTTAAGGAGGTGAGAGGACCTTCCTGTCCCCTGCCCACGCTCATGGTCCCACACAGGGAAAATCCGTAGGTCTGGCTGTGACCAAAGTTCAGCACAATTCAAGAAACCGACTGAGGCAGTCAACTGACTTTAGGAGGATAGCAGTCAGGGCTCCTGGGCAAAGGACAAACTCACCCCTGGCCTAAGCACACAGGTCACCCTACAGCACAGTCCATTGACAAGGGGCTTGTGGAACAACCTCCTCCCCTTTGACATGTTCAAGCAGTTGGTTCCAGTGGTTTTGAGAAGTTCACGATCTCTGTGTTTAAGCTGAAAAACCTAAGGCGTTGGCAGATAGAAGTTCACGGGGACATTCGCGCCAGGCCCACCATAGAGTATAGGTTTTAAATCTCAGTTCAGCTTCTTCATCAGCTCTGTGACCTTTGGAGAAAATAATTCTTTAGGTAGTTACCTTGTTTGCTTAAAAAGGAAATGTGTGTGTGTGTGTTTGTGTGTATGTGTGTAATGCCTGACTCGTGGCAGGCATTCAGTATGTTGTCATCATCTTTAGTGACTCAGATTTGTGTTTTAAGTATAATTTGCGTTGTTGATCACTTGTATTTTAATTTACAAATTTCTCATAATATGAATTCAATTTGTATGTCTGAGAAATAAAAATATCTTCTTCCAGAAATGCTTATTGTGCACACTCAAGGTTCTGAGCACCATGTTAAGTCTGTAACCAGCTCCCACCCTGTATTTGCCCACCTTCTACCAATTTAGGAGTATTACTGAATGTTTCATTTCACAATACATCATAAAGTGGCCAACATGTTGATACAAAGTTCTACGTGTTGGGATGTTTGTCCTATCTTTGTATCTCTTAGTCACTTTGGTGAGCCATAGACCTTGATAATAAATCATTTCGTGAGCAAGTATAGATTGCCAATTAAAATAAAAGCTAGCTAAATTCCTGAGACAGACATAATCACAGTACAGTATGTACTGTGTAATGTAATCTGTAATTTTGTGGCTATCTGGAGCATTTCTTCTAAGTTTTTAAGCCAAAGAATGGCATTGTAAGAAAACTATAATTATAACAAATACCAGATGCCATTGTTATTAGAAGTTATTGTATAATTTATTGTAAATACCAAGTTGGAGGCCATGATCTACTTAATTACTGATATTTGAGACCATAAGCTTCCAGTTCTGTAAAGGAATGAAGGGAACCCTGGGAGTTTGACATTAACATGATTTTACTTAAAACTCCTTGAAATTGAAAGATGGTAGATTCACATGAGAATAAGATCATTTAAGTGAAATCAGCCTAAATATTCTCTATTAATAAGAAACCTGCAACTTACATCACAATTCACTCTGTAAGATGTATTAGGCCTGCATCTGTATTCGTTGAAGTCATTCAGCAAATGTAATCATTACTGATTAACCCACTGGAAATTGGGATCCTTTGTTAAATCTGCGCTGTTACTGTATTGTCTCTAATATGCATAAACATGATACTGAGTACAGACAGTTCTCAATCAGTGAGGGGAGTGCTTAGTACCCCGTATTTACTGACATGGTCTTTTTCCCCTCACCCCAATCCAAACTGGAGAGGAAGCTTGTGGCTTCGGGACCCGGGGTACCACTACTCTCAGAAATCTGTGTTATTCTTGGAAATTCTTGCTTCTGGGTTGTAAGATTCATGGTCTCACCCTGAGTTACATCACTGTCTTGAGTAAACCAGACTGAGCCCATGTGCTTTCATCGCGGGTGTGCGGAGAGCCTGGCAGGGGCAGGTGTCAGGGTTAGGTGCAGAGGACCATTTCTTTCTTTCCTTATCTGTAAAATAGGAGGACTGTTCACAGCCTGTTCGGTAACAGAGTGAGTATAAAAGTGCTTTGTAAATTGTAAAGTGCTGTAAAGCATAAGCTGCAATGGGTTGATATAACATAGAACCCCTTTCCCTGATGTTCTCTGTCCTTTCTGGGCCCAGAGGGGCCAGCCACCCTCTCCAACCTGGGGAGGATAGAGCAGAAAAAGGTGGTTCAATAGGAAGCCTCTGAGATCCCTGCCCTCCATCCCAGCCCACCCTGGTACCTTCTCCATCCACTCCAGTAACCTGCTATTTTGTTAATGTTGAGATATGTATAAGAACCTTCTGCTAAATTCTCCACCTGTAGCTGGTGGAGGATATGGTAGCAGAGAGAATAATTATTCATAGAAAACATTTTTCTTTCTCTTTTTCATAAAATGCCTCTAGAAGGCATTTCTCCAAGTCCATGTTCAGGTACAAAAAGCAAACAAATACTTAATAAAAGGAAATAGCCTCTTCTATTTTCTCTCCCTTTTTTAAAGATTTACTTATTTATTTATGCAAGCACTGGGTACTGTCAGAAGTGCAGGAGGGTGAGACAATTCACCAGAGCCAGAGCGGGGAGCAGAGCAGGCAGAAGGACCAAAGTACACTGCTGAGGGGAGCAGCGGGCGGCAGGAGAGGTCTGCGCACCATGCGGGACCCTCCTCCAGTGGCCGGGGAGCAGCCGGGGATCGAACCAGCGCTGCAGAGGCTGCGGGCAGCTTCGCAACCCAGCGCTCAACCGCTGCGCCACCGGATTTTCACTCCTTTTCGAAGACATTTTGGTTCACCCTGTCATTCTGTTTGTGCACAAGCAGAGCAGGAGCACATCAGGATGCTCCATGTCCTGAGCTTACCTCAGCCTTGGGTCAGATCTGACATGTCAGTCATCTCACAGGGGAGTGTGTTACGAGGCCTGTAAAACAAATCCCGATAGACCTTGAGCCCGTCTCCGGGGGTTTCCGCAATGAGAGGCCCACAAGCAGGGCAGCCTGCCTGCGTTTCGATCAGTTTCAAGGTCTACTGGTCTTCACCATGGGGGGAGCTGGGCAGCTTTCCCTATGGAAATGTCTCCTCCCAGTCAGCACACTTTTATATAAGTGATAAGGGGACCCAGAAAGAGGCAGGGGGCTCCCTGAACCTCAGAATTCCAAGTGACCCACCTTTTATAGACCGCGTTCCTTCCCCAGGGTCTCTTCACTACTCCTTAGGCAAATAGTAACCAACACAGCCCTCCTCTCCTCTCCCGGCCTGTGGATTCTGTTCATCAACTAAAAATGCCATTTGGGGACTTCCCCTTTTGCTTTTATTGCCTTAATACCAGACAAGTGAAGAAGAAGAGGAATTAGAGGAGGAGGAGGAGGACCCTGAAGAAGATAGGAAATCCACTAGAGAAGAGGAGAGCGAAGTGCCGAAGTCCCCAGAGCCTCCCCCAGGGCCTGCCCTGGCTCCCACCGAAGGGCCCCCGCTGCAGGCCCTCTGCCAGCCCTCAGGCTCCTTCATCTGTGAAATGCCCAACTGCGGGGCTGTAAGTGTCTTTGCGTCCTCCGGGGACCCGGGACTGCTGGGGGCCATACGACTGTGCCTGGCTTTAAGAGACGTTGTGTTTTAGAAAGGGTGCGCTTCCAGCCATGAAGATTTGGCAGCGGGACCGTGTGGTGTCCTTTCTTTCATTCCATTTACTTATTCATTTGACCAGTGGATATTTCTGGAGCGTGATGTGTCAGGCACTTGGCTGCGTGCTTGGAGGACACAGAGGCTCCCTGCCCTCAGGCAGCTGCCTCTCCAGTCCTGTGGACTGTGTCACACCAGGTTGTGCCCTGTAGACATGCATCTGGCAGCACTGGGGGAGCCCACAGAGGATTGTCTGTCCTCTGACATAATCCCTTGCCCCTGCATTGCCTGCAGTTTTACCTGTCTGGAAGGTTTTGCATTTCATATTCCATATTGTATCAGCAGTTCAAGTGTCCCTGAAATTGATCCTTGAATAATTTGGGGGTTCAGGGCACTGACCCTCCTCCACATTAAAAATCCACGTAAGACTTGTGACTTCCCAAAACTTAACTCACAATACCCCACTGTTGACTGGAAGCTTTGTGACGGGATGACATAAACAGTCAATTGACACATATTTTGAATGTCACACACTGTATTCTTACATTAGAGTAAGCCAGAGAAAAGAAAATGTTATAAGGAAAATAATAAGGGAGAGAAAATACATTGGCACGGTGTGCACAGTCGTTAGCCACACTGTAAGTTTTCATCGTCTGCTCACAAGGAAATCCAAGTGTAAGTGGACCTACATAGTTCAAGCCTGTGTTTTCAAGGGTCAACTGTAATTTGAAACCTGAGTTCATTGTTACAAAAATTGAGTCAAAAAATTTTTTTTTACTTTTTTTGAGGGGGCGGGGAGATTTACTAAGTGAATTAATCTTATAAACTGACTGAAAGGCAGTCTGTGTAATGACTTAACCCGGTATTCAGATCCATTTGAAGCATCCTTAGGTCAAAATAAAAGGAATTCACTATTTGCGAGTTGTTAGCATTAAAGGAAGGCCTGCCTGACTCTGTACTGGCCTTGTCTAAGCCTCCCTGTTCATTTTAGAGGCTATTTTATAAGTTGTTTACTTTAGACTCTCAGCCCCCACTGATCCCCTACGCGTCTGAATAGTTGAGCTTTACCCTGAAAGGTTTCTTAAAGCCGGGCACACCTGTATAGGCACGTTCTAAAGGTATTACTCAAAAAATAAGAATGTTGCTCTTTTCACTGAAAGTCCTGTTTTACTCAAGTTAGCACTTACCTTTGCTTGTCCATTATGTAGGACAATACTCTTTTCCAGAGTGTTCTGAATGCTGCTTATTAAGTCTGTCACTTAGATGAAGAGAGCAACCGCCTTTGAAATATTTAGATCCTGAAGCAGACATGAACTTGATTTACATGTAAGAAAAAAATGAAAAAGTGGAAAGAGAAAAGGTTCTGTACATATTGCATTAGCTTTGAAGAGAACATAAGAAATTGCTAGCTTGTTGCTGCCTTTGATGACTGATGGCCGGACGCCCTACTCCTTCATTGCCATTTTGTATAGAGGGCACCCACTCAGAGGTGATTAAGATGTGACTTTAAATGACAGTATTTCCTTATTTTGTTTAGAAACTGGATGCTTCCTCAAGGCCATGTTTGGTATCCAGTAAATTCCTTACTGAGTGGGAAATCATCTTACTTGTCCCAGTCAGAAATGCTCAACAAGAGGGATTTTTTTTTTAATGACTTTTAAAACCACAGAGGAAACCATTGTGTGGGTTTTACTCTTTGCCTAAACCTGGGGGGGAAAGAAATGTAGCTCTGGATGGGGTAGAGGAATAATTTCTGGCTTAAAAAAAATTTCAAAAGCTGATTCAACCCCTTTCTCATTTTATAAATGGAAAAAAATAAGGGTGAGAGGGAAAGGATCTTAGACAGAGGCGATAGATCTGGCCCCAGTCTCCTGGCCTCCACATGGTGACTTTGTCCTTGACCTCCCTGCTACATCGCCTCTTGTCTTCTGATCTTAACAACCGTGGGGGTTTTTATTGGCAAGTGTTTGTGGTTGTGGTATTCGATCTCTGTTTTCTGAGACATCTGCCCAAAATTGGCATGTATAAAACCCCTGTGCTCTGTCATTAGACACTTGTTTCTAATATGCCATGTTTTGCCACTAAGTAACTAATAACCCTAATTTCCTTTTCAGGACTGTAGATGTCATGTCACTCCCTTTCTTCCCCAGGTGTTCAGCTCCCGACAGGCACTGAATGGCCACGCCCGTATCCACGGTGGCACCAACCAGGTGACCAAAGCCCGGGGTGCTGTCCCCTCTGGGAAGCAGAAGCCTGGCAGTGCCCAGAGCGGGTACTGCTCAGTGAAGAGCTCGCCCTCCCACAGCACCACCAGCGGCGAGACAGACCCCACCACCATCTTCCCCTGCAAGGAGTGTGGCAAGTAGGTGGAGCTGGACCAGGGAGTGAATCTAAGTTTGTGACGGGTATTCTCGTGAGGGCTAGACCGAGGTAGTCTGAGGTTTCCCCAGCTAGCAAAGGGACCCACACTCTCCTAATGCCATCCTTGGGTTTTGGTACCTCAGGGTGAGTGGACCTTGTCTGTCACTGAGAACATGATCATGCTGATGTCCTAAAGCCTAATAAGAAGGCATTTTCAGAGAGTAAGGGAGTCTGTGTAATGAAAGGGAGTCTGACAGAATTCATTCTTAGTAGGTACACAATGGAGGTGTGAAGTTGTACTCCCAAAGTTATATAGTTATATAAACAAATGACAATTTAATTTTTTAAAAGTTTAAGAAACTCGACAGTTTTCCAGAAATGATGAATGGGATTCTGATTCCCTACTTCTTCCCTTCACTCCCAGACCATATTCAATACTGTCACCCTCTCTGTATCCTGGCTGAGTGATTTGAGAATGGCTCTAAAACACCTAATCAGGAACTATCTGTAGCAGAGATGGCTTATCTGCCACTACTACTCATTCCTGCTCCCAGGGCAGACATCACTAATCAATTACTAAAAACTGTTATCATATTAAAATTAAACCTTGAATACTTTCTATTGCAATGCTTCAAATTAGAACAACCAATTGAGCAAAGTTGACTCATGAGATATATCCCATTTGTCATTCCCCTGCCCTTCTGACAGTGCATTGTAATAACAATGGCTGACATTTACAGAGCACTTACTTTGTTCTATACTTTAAGTGCATGAACTCATTTAACCCACACAAAAACTCCATGTGGTTCAGATACAGTTTTTATTCCTTGTTTTACAAATAAGGATTGGAAAATTACGTGAAATGGCCCCAAGTCACACCATCACTAGACGCAGAACTGAGATCCGAAACTGACTGTGCTCAATTGCAGAGCCTGGGCTTCTGACCACTGCTCCTTCCTGTTGGTTTGCTTTGTTTCTTTATTTACTTTTGGTAGAAAATATATTGGTAAGGCCCACATGGTTCCCTACCCACAGCATCTAGTATAGAATTACAGTTTTCTCAGTGAGTGCCTGACATGGAAGGCCTTCAGGAGCTATGCTTCCTATAATCTCTAATGCTTCAGATGTAAAGAGAAGTGTTACCTGGAGAGAGGCCAACAAGGAAGCTGCTAAAACTCTTCCAAGTTTTACTTGGTAAACTCTACCAACATCCCCAGTGTTATTAACAGGGTGCTTGGAACCTCTGTTTACAATACCACCTTTATAGACTATTTCAGGCAACTTAATAATAGCTGCCATTTATCAGGTACTCACTGTTCAGTACTGTCTTAAAGGATTCTTACATATATTGATTAATTCCATCTTTAAAACAAAATCTTTAAATACTCCAATGAGTCGGTACTTCTAGTAGTTTCTTTTTTATGAGCAGGGAAACTGAGGTTAAGCTGCTTGTGTGGTGCTCAGCTGAATGGGGATTCAGGTGATGCAGACTGGCCTTGGCTGCGTCCTTAGCTTCTGAGTGAACTTGACTCAGTATGGTGGCACCTACCACAATGAATTAGAGCTGGTGACTCTCCCTCTCCTTTGTGAAGTACAAAGAGCAGGGAGAAAATTTAGGTGTTGGTCTCCTCTGCTGTGCTCTGATGTCCTTCAGAGCCTGGACATGATACATCTTCATGGCACCGTGGAAGAAACAAGCGCCTGATTGATCATTAGACGTAGTTACTTGAAGTAAGAATACCTTCTCTAATATCTCTCATTTGATGGCCCTGGGCTGGAAGTGTGGGCAACTTGAGGTCTTGTCAGTTCCTCTGAGAGAAGCCAGCACCTTCCACTTACTCTGTTCAAACATTCTGTGACTCTTTGTTCCACCAGGTGGAGACAAAGGACCTTTAACAAAGATAAGTTTTTCAAGCGTTCTGGCTCTTTTCAGTGGCACCCATTAAATGTTTTCCTTGTCTTGTTTTTATGGACCTTTTTTTCTACCATAACTCTAGTCTAACGATTTTATGGAAAATAGCGATGTTTTCTGTGGGTTTCCACACTAGGAACAACATTAGGCAAACATTCTGAGTGCCTCTTGTGGTTGCTGAGATGATGTTCATTGCATTAAACAATTTTCAGTATGTCCAGTGCTGTTTGGCGTGGGTCTGAAAATCAATTTTTTTCCTCAATCAGCACAGGAATGAATATAAAGTGCTATGCCCACCCCTTTCCAAAATAAGGCAGTCTCACATCTGGGCAAACTTCCTGCAAAAGGCCCAGGTAGAATATTCCAAAATGTAGGCCTACTCTCATTCCTCAGCTCTGCCTTGTAGTGCAAAGGCAGCCATAGACATTGTGAACAAATAGACATGGCCACATTACTATAAAACTTTATTTATAAAAACAGGTAGGGGTCTGGATTTGACCCACTGACCTTAGTTTGCAGACCCTTTATTCTAGGGATTCTCAATGTCAGCACTGACATTTTGGGTCTGATAATTCCTTGTTTGGGGAAGCGGAGCTGCCCTCTGCATTGTAGGCTCTTTAGCAGCATCCCTGGCCTCTGCTCACTCATTTCCGAAAGTATCACCTCCACTGCCTCCAGTTGTGACAATTAACAATGTCTCCACACTTTGCTAGATGTTTTCTGAGGAAGGCAATATCACCCCTAGATGAGAACCACTATTTCATGATAAAGCAATAGTAGGAGATGCTGGTGATAGGATAGCCCACAAGAAAGAGACTTGGGTGAAAAGAGGAGTAGTTGCAGCTCAGAAGACAAGTACAATAATAAGAGAGGAGGGCCCACCCAGAGTGACTGGTGCCCTTGAGAAAAGCATTCGGTGCAAGTAGAGGGGACAAGAGTTTGGTTGGAGGCGCTGAGGAAAGAGAAGCCACACCAAGTGTGTGTGGGGAAAGCCTCAAGAATTTTGACTGTAGGCCAGAGTTGGAGGATGGGCTTCTTATGAGGGGGACTGTCAGACCTCATTCACATGATTTGGGGATTCTCCTGTTGGTCAAGAGGACTTGGTTAGTGTTAACAAGAAAAAAGGGGAAGCTGAGGAGGAGAAGGAATGTGTTCCAGGCCAAAGATGGACAGGAAGGCCTTTGAGGATTCACTCTCCATTGATGGTCACACGGAGAAGCCTGACGCCCCATGTGTGTTTCTCTTACCTCCCTTTCCTTGTAATGCTTGGAGAAGGAAGAGGGGAGGTGATGGGTCACCAGTGGAACAGGTCCTAGGAGCAAAGGAGCCACCTTGTCAAAGCTACCAGATGCCACGCCACACATCTGGATGTCCGGATTTCTACCCTCAGATCTCCTTCCAAATTTCACATGTCTCTTCTTTATTTTCAGAGTTTTCTTCAAGATCAAAAGCCGAAATGCACACATGAAGACTCATAGGCAACAGGAGGAACAGCAGAGGCAAAAGGCCCAGAAGGCAGCCTTTGCTGCTGAAATGGCAGCCACGATCGAGAGGACTACGGGGCCGGTGGGGGCGCCCGGGCTGCTGCCCCTGGACCAGCTGAATCTGATCAAACCTATCAAGGATGTGGACATCCTCGATGACGACGTTGTCCAGCAGTTAGGCGGCGTCATGGAAGGGGCTGAGGTCGTGGACACTGATCTCCTCTTGGATGATCAAGATTCAGTCTTGCTTCGGGGTGACACAGAACTATAAAGCCCTGCTTGTCCTTAGAGACAGCGAAAACCCACAACCTCCATCTTCATTAATCAGGAAACCAGACTGCCTGCTTGTTTGTATTCATTTTAAACTACCTGTCTAAAAAGTGGTCATTTTATTCAGGTTTAGAAAAAAAATTTCCAGTTCTGTTCCTTTTATTTAAAAAAAATGTTTTTGTGGGAGGTTGGGGGGAATAAATAATTGGCACAACTCTATTTAAGAGGTGTTTCATATGGGCTACATTCCCATGAACTCATTCCTGGCAGGGAATGAATCTGAGGTTCATGTTCTTTTGCTTTCAGATGCCAACCATCGTGGTTGCCTTTTATCCCAAAGCTTGCTGTGAGTGTGTATGTGTTTGTGTGTATGAAGCAGGCTACCCTCTTCATGCTGGGGTCTTGGGCCATCCTTTCCTACCCAGAGGTATTTCTGTTCTGTCCTGACCTTACTCTGCAATTTGCAGTGAACTTAGTATCTTTGCCAAGCAAGCCCCTGTGTCCCACGGCTTTCCTCAAGCACACATGTTGTTTGAAGAGTTGACCAAATGTGAAAATAAGTTTTCTCCCTGCCTTGCCTGTCACTCATTGGCCTGTTTCTAGGAACTAAGTACTGTATAATTTCAGGTTTTCACTCCTAGGCAGTGATTTGCTAAGGACCCAGATCATAGAACAAGTGTGTCTTCTTCTGTGATCCCTGCAGGCCAGTTGGCTCCCATTCAACCCGCGTTGGCTGGCAGAGCTATGTTTCGCGGGACAGACTGGAGACCCTCTAAAGGAAGATCACTCAAACTGTGAGGTTGCCAGAGCTGTTTTTAGGAAGGACACACATTCAAGTACTTGGAATGCCAAGCAGTGTTCTTTTGCCCAAAAACTACATTGGAAGAGCCCGTTTTTTTTTTTTTTTTTTTTTTTTTTTTTTGGCAACACCATTAATGGTCAGAGGAGTTCTGAAAAATTACTCTGTGCCACGTGGAAATACTGTGAAACCTCACTCACTGGGTTTTTGCTATAATTCACCTATGCTGGACTGAAATTTACCTTGACGCTAACTATGTGGGAAAGGGTTACCTAATACATCTGATAACAAATACAAAACAAATAGCATTCAAGGCAACAAAAGTGGTTTCAGATACCACTTTAGCTATCATGTTTGCATTCAAACAATGAATGTATTCATGAAAGTCATTTACCAAAGCACTCTTAGAAATCTCCTAGCCACATAACTTTGCTCTGCCTCTTCCTGTCCCTGTCAGCCGGGTTGCTGTTGGTACTTGAAGGTAATAAAGCTGTAATTCTGCAAAAATGGCATTAAGCTCAGGCTTTTGAGCTCTGTCAGATTGACCCATCCCACTATGAAGGCAAATAAGTGAGTGTGGCCTTTAGACAGGGCCTGGCCCCAGCAGATGGCCACTTGTGGTCACTTTAAGCATTAAAGTATTGTGACTTTCCAAGCAGGGCATTCAGGCCTCTTTCCCCCAAGCAGCCTTGTTCCTCAGCTCCATGTCAAGGTGGCGATTGTGCCACGTCATTTGCTGGCATGCTGGTAGCTTGACATTAGAAAGAATGTGAGCAGAAAACTGAGGATAGGACAGGAGCACCTTTTAAGTTGGACTGAAAAAACATGCAGCACACATGCATGGCCCACAGAGGCCTCACACAGGCAGTGTTCTCTGAATCTCAGGAAAGTCATGGATAGAAGATAAATACAAGCGTACTTTTTATTTCCATCCTGTTTTCACAAAGAGGTCTTGGAAGTTTCCTTTATCTCTTCTTTAGGGGCAAAAAAAAAAAAAAAAAAAGGCTTTATTTGCTGCCATTTAGGAACAGTTTATTGTGTCCTGGGCAGTGTGCATCAGCTTTGCAACAGAACTATTCCAGAACATTCCAACTATAATAGCAGCTGATCCTGTATGTTTCTCTCCAAGTGCAGGATCTGAGAGTGATTCTGGAATACTGCTGTTGGGTCTATGAAAGCTTATTATCAAAGGAGCAAACACCCAGAAAAATGTTTCTGAAGCAAATTTATTCCTCTGTTTGGAGACTTGCCCAGCCGTTCTAGTTTTAAACTTTAGGAATAAACTGAATTGCCAAGGCAAAACTACAATGCACAATCGATTTACCATGCAGTATAGTGTGAGCATCTTTGACTTGAAGTAACCAAAGAACTCCTCCATAATGAGACAGTTCAAATTTCCGAATTAGTATCTCTTATTAATATCAACTTAAAGAATTGACTTCATCGTAAAAGATTGCACTTCACTTTTTTTCTGAAATGATTCTGCCTGCATGTGTGTGTTGTGTTCTAGCTTCCCGGCCTCCCCACCCCAAAGAGCTTTCTTCCCCAATGGTTAATGTCAACTCAGTTACTGTTTACTACCAGATGGTTTTTCATTAGTGAATTTAGACCTCTTTGAGAAAGCTTGTATATAAAAGTTAACAGATATATTTTATGGAAAAACCCATCTTATTTTCAAATATATTTAACTGCTGTTATATTTTATTAGAGGAAGGTTGTAAATATTTTCTAGGAGTTCTATTGTAAAGAAAAGTATTTTTGAAAAAAATTAATGTAATAAAAATGAAAACATTTTTAAATAGTGGTTGTGATTGCTTCCTGTTCTGGCTTCATTATTCTCAGCAAATGACTTGCATGCCTCCCATTTCAGGATGTAATTTATTCAGGTTTGCACTATTATAAGTTGACATCATAATATCTAGTGTGCTTAACTGTATTTTTCCCCGGAATGCAGGTCTCTTGGTCCATATCAGAAGCACTATGTATAGCATATTCATACTTTTTCTTTTGTAATGTGTGTATTTTTAATAAGGATTTTATGTAACATTTTGGCAAAAAGAGGACAGTATTTTCTAGTGAATTTTATAATACATTTTGCTAAAAATGTTTCTTCCTAGGTCAGTTTTTGTTAAGGTGAACCAAAAGTCTTATTTTACCAGGGGTTAAAATAAAGTTTGAAGCTTGAAAGCAAAGTTATATTTAAACATCATATGTAACAAATAAATAAAGATGTTTTATAGACTTGTCCTAAAAAGGTGCATTCCTTAAAAAACTAACAGAACCAACTGGGGCATTCTAGGTTGTTTTCTCCCCCTGAGTGATAAGCATTTTTTTTTTTAATTATCATAATACTTTTCTCAGAAAGAGTGCCAGGAGAATTTTACTTGAAAGGTTCCAGTCATTAGCCTTCTTGGAAATTTATTACAGTTCCTATCTAAAAGCATTCTTCAAACAGAGATGTAACCAAACAGACACTGTCATATTTATTTGTGAAAACCTGATTCAATATTGCATCAGCTGCTCTGATAATAAAATGTTTCTTTTTGAGTTTCATTTGGCTTAAACATTCCTTCTTTCTAGTCACTGAAATAACTTGTAGCTGCTGAATAAATGTTAATTTTCCTCCTAGACAGTTTCTGTAGACCTGGTTAAGTGTCTGCTGGTCAGATTTGGTGTTCATTAAAGTGTTCACACACACATACACACGTCCTAAGACTTGTGTTCCTGCTACTGAAGCTACCACGGGGTTCTGGAAGAGTTGGTGGTCTCTCAACATAATACTCAAACTGGTTTAGGGGGATTCAGTAGCCCATACTGTGAGCTCTCCACACAGTCCAGCCGACCTTGGTTTGTATGCATGGCTCATGTGGATTTCCAAATTCTAAAAGTGTTTTTACTTTTTAATGGCCAACAACAAACTTCAAGAGAATGGCGAAATTCTGGAATTTATATAGAACTTGTTTTAAATAAAGTGGGACACACCAGTTCTAGATTTTGACCTTCCAGTTTTGATTTTTTTTTTTACATAAGTTATTCAGTTTAAACAATCCTGTATCAAATAAGATAACTGCTTCTCTGAAAGCAGTGTGGATTTAGCCAGTGTTGTAAATTTAAATTCTGCTTCCAGGGACGTGGGTATCCAATCTGAAGACTCTTTGCTTGTTCATTCATTCACTGTTGATGAACCTCATATGCTAGACATCATCCCACAGTGCATTATACCTGGAGGAGGGTATAGAGAGATGACTGACATGATTCCTTTCTGCCAAGGAGTTTATGACTTAGAACCCATGGGGACCTGGGACCTGATCCAATGCTTTTCATTAGGAAGAGTTCCCTCCCTTACCACCACCCACACATACATACACAGTAATTTACAGCCGGTGCCCAGCAAATATTTGTTAAATTAATTAACTCTAACCTTCCAAGTATGCATTCTTATCTGTGTGTGTGTGTGAATAAAACTTCGAGTTAGCCTAAAGTCTATTCTGCATTCTACAAGCTCTCACTCTACAAGCTCAGCCAACCCTAGAAATGAGGATGAGTTTTTGACATAAACAAAACATAATTAGGAAAACATTAAAAAATTGAGTAACATATTCTACAATGTCTGTAGTGATCATTTATCTTTGTGTAAAGCAGGCAAAATGGCTATTTCCTTTATATAAGAGAATCTTTGAAAAGGGCCGTCCTATCACCTACACCCCCCACACCCACCCTAGGAAAATGTTTAGCATTTTTGTTTGAGTTGTACATGTTTTGCATTCCAACACACATATAATGTACAACACTGATGTTGATTTGGGCTGCTTTGGGACATAATTTCTTCTGCTAGTATGATTTTATTTTTGACAGTGTTGCTATTTCTTTTTTAAAAAAACACTATATTGAGATATGATTAACATATAAAAAGCTATACGTATTTATTGTATACAACATGAGAGTTTGTTTATATAGTTTAGTTAACTATATAAACATGAACTCATCACAATGAAGGGGAAAGAGATGGCTTTTAAAAGAGAACAACTGGTGCCATCAAAATATGATTTAACTTAGAAATAATTGCTGCATAGACTTTATTTTTTTCAGGTCATAGAGCAGAAAAATATACTGATGTCAGTTAGTGCAAATCATTTGGCCTCCTGCTCATCTACATTGGGTCAGATGTTTGAAAGTTTAGGTCTTAGGCAAGACATCCATAATGGGCAGGCCAAGCTTCAAAACAATGTCCATGCCCACACATCATGCCAAAAACAGCCCTGCCCACAGCCACACTGTTGGCAAAACCTAACTTCACCTCTCTCGATGATTCCCACCTTGTTCCCAGCTATTTGGATGAGGGTTGGCACCTGATCCAAAACTACTAGGCCATTTGGTGATAAACGACATGGCTTAATTCTGGAAAATGAGGGGACCAAATAGAATAACCACATTTGAGAATGTGGAATGGAGAAACCTGATGAGCCAAAGGCAGCAAACAGTGGCTACATGCAAGGCAGAGCTCTATTTGTAAGCAAAGAAAGCTCATTAGTAAAAAAGCCATGTCTGGCTGCTGAGGAATGGAGAGGCATCTGGTCCCTAAAGCTGTGTCGAGCCTACTTTTACAGTGCCAGGAACAGCCCACATGTATCTTTAAAAAAAAAAAAAATAAACCCCTTTTCTTGCAGGGGCTTAGGGGAGTGAGGATCTCCATCCCTCACCTCTGAAAGATACTTAAGTAGAACTGGACTTCATCACAGACTCAGGACCAGTCCACTTCAGGGGCAGAAAAGGCAATAAACTAGGATTTTGAAGATGGTTATTCATTCCAATTTTTTTTAAAGATTTATTTATTTATACAAGAACTGGGGTACAGGCCAGATGCGCGGCACAGGAGGGTGAGAGGATTCACCAGAGACAGAGTGTGGAACAGAATAGACAGACTGACGAAATACACTGCTGAGGGGAGCAGAGGGCGACACAGGAGAGGTCTACTGCGCCATGTGAGTTGCTCCCTGGCGGGGGATTGAACTTGTGCTGTAGTGGCTGTGGATAGCTGGTGGATCTTAACCCCTTGCGCCACCAGGGAGGCCCCCTCTGGTCTAGATCTTTCATTAATTTGTGTGATTATGGAAAATTACTCTACCCCTTCCTAAGTTCTCTTGCCTGCAAAATAGGGTAGAACTTACGTGGGGGGGGGGGGGCAAAGAATTCACGTAGTTAGGTGCTACAAAATGTTCTCACAAACTTGACCTTTTCATTTTTTGACTTCTCAACAACCTCATGAGGCAGTTAAATGACTCTGTTACCAATAGCAGGTGAAATTGATTTTGCATATTATGTACCAAACGTTGTACTAAACATCATTTATCAATATCCCATTTAACTCTCAAGGCAACTCTTTGAAGTAGGAACTATTATTATCATCTCTAGTAGACATATGAAAAAATTGAGGGTCGGGGTTGAGAAATAAATTGCCCAAAGTCATTGAGCGAAGTGATAAACTTGGGTTTAGTACCCAGATTTCCCAATTATAAGTCTAGAGTTTTCTATTATGCTAAATTGCCTATTGAAATCACTCAGGAAAAATAAAGCTTAGACAATTGAAGGAAATTTTTTTATTATGGCAAATTCCACTTACAAGCCTTTTTAGATGAATCTAAATTATGGTGGACATTTATAATCAGACATTATTGGTTTATTCTACTTTTTAGCTAGCAGTAATAGGTGAAGGCAGTCACATAGAAACTCTGAGTAGCTTAAGGAAGTGAAGATTTAGCAAGATTAGTAGTACAGTGGTGTACCACCTGGCTGAAGAACAGAATCTCGAAGAGCAGAATCTCTCTCTCTCTCTCTCTCTCTCTCTCTCTCTCTCTCTCACACACACACACACACACACACACACACTTATTCATGCATACAAAAGCCGGGCTACAGGCCAGGTGTGCCAGATGTGCGGGTGGGTGAGACAGGAGAGGTCTGCCGTGCCATGTGGGTATATCGCAGGCTGGTCGGGATCGAACCCACACTGGAGACGCTGCAGACAGCTTCACAGCGCTGCACTCAACCGCCTGAGCCCAGAGGGGAGGCCCTGGACTTACTCTCTTTTCGCGAAATACAGATGTTGTTAAAGTTTGAAAGACACGGAAATAGGAAAATAAATCAACCATTAGTCCACTAGCCAAAGATTACTAATACCAATATATTAATTTTTTTCCTACCATGTGTTTTGTTAAACAGGAACCTCTTAGAACAGACACGACTTGAAGGGTAAAATACTGATTGTACTTGGTAACCACTGACACAATTTTATTAAGACCTGGTATGGGGCTGCCAGTCACCCCCAGGAAAGCAGCCGCGCTGTGCGTCCCATACTCGAAACGCACGGAACCACCTCGCTGTGGTTGCTCCCGCGCCGGAACACTAAGCTACAGGATCGCTCTTTGCGGAAGTCTAAGACCCGAGGAAGCCGCTGTGACCCCGGAAGCAATCTTGGGAGGCCGGGGCGGCAAGATGGCGGCGCGCGCGGCGCGGGCGGCGCTCGGTACTGTGTGCGGGCGCCTCTGGCAGGTACCGGGCGGGCTGGGCGAACCACGCTGGCAGACGGGGAGAGTTGCCGCGTGTTCTGGCTGCCTACGTCGTTTTGTCAATCATGATCCTTTCTCGATATGTACTCCGAACCTCTGCTCATTGCTTGTAGGAAAGTGAGCAGAAAGGGGCAGCTTCACCTTGAATTCTCATAGAATGAAACAAGTTAATGAGTCGGGACAAAGATAGGAGCAAGAAGATTCGTAGAATGTTACAATTGGGAGGATAGTGAACGTTGCATGCCCCAAGCCCCATCTTTCACGTTTGCAAACTAAACCTAAGCTCAAAGAAGGCAGGCGTTTGCCCCCGCGAAAATTGGGGACTGAGCTGGAACGAGATCTCAGGGACTTTGCAGGCGTCCGGGGGTTCTGAGATTTACGGAATAGCACTGAAGTCGAAACTTGTCTTAGATTTTCTCTGCTCTGTTCTTTGGAGGAAAAGCAGTAATTTAGGCAGCGGTTCTCAAGGGTTTTTTTTGGCTTCAATACCCCTTTACATTCTAAATATTAGGACTCTGAAAGAGCTTTTTGGATTTTGTGGGTTTATTCGAAAATAAAGCAATCTTAAAAGTACTTACTCATTTAAGAATCAACTCGTAAATTCATTTGCTGGTAACATAATTAAGATTTTAATGGAAAAGAACTAGGATTTCCGAAACAAAATTAGTGAGAAATTAACATTTTTGCAAATTTTATTAATGTCTGGTTTAGTCAAAAACAGGCGTATACTATTAGCTGTTTCTGCATACATCACCTGTAAAGCTGCTGGAACACACGAGTATACACCGGTGAGATCTGAGCGTAGATGTTTGATCAAATAACATCTGATGAAAATAGTTTAAATCTTCCAGGCCCCCTGAAAATGTTTCAGAGGCCCTCCAGAGGTCCTTCGACTACACTTTGAAAACCAGTGTTCATACTGGGAGTGGTCCTTTTACACAACTGGATTTGTAGAGTCACTGGCACATGTATGTAGAAGGAGATTCCTGTGTGATTGTGTGTGGAGAATGACCCTTACTACCTTGTATTATGTCTTTGTTTTTTTCCATTGACACAAGGGAGAATATGAAAGTTTTGACTTGCATCCATCTTGAGTAAAGAGGGGAATTAGGACAATAAGCTAAAAATAGGCTTTTTAAACGTAATTAGATGATCCTCAGTTGTTTTACTTGATGAGCTTCACTTGTACTAAATTATTCTCATCTATAAAGTATTTTTAAGGAGCTTATTGTGCTTCTACTTTCTCATATTACCCTTTTAAATATCAAGAAAGCATAAAGGAAAAGTAGATAACAATTACATGTTATGCATTAAGTCCCCACTTAACATCATCACTACATTATGGGAAACAATGACTGAGCAAAATGACCAAATAACAAAACCAGGCCCCCAAATAAAATCAGTGTCAGTTGATTCTCACAGCTATGTTATAATGACTGAAAGCATGTTATTTAAGGATCATAGGTGTCCTAAAATTAGAATTTTTATTCCACTAGGGGGAGCTGACAATAAAGGATTTGGAATATTTCGATATAAGTGTCAGTAGTGGTATTAAGATGGTGTAAGTTCTTGTATATTTCAGTTTATTTCTAATACATAATACATATGCTCAAACAGATGTATGAAAACTTCAGAAGAAGGGTACAATAGAATTCTTATTCCAGCTGTTAATAAATTATGAAGACTTATTGTTCAAAAATATTCAGGCAAAAGAAGTATTAAAGTACATTTATTATTATTTATTTCAATTGAGATAACATCGGCTGACATTATTGTTGGTATTTTGCAAGTATAGGATCAACTCCCCTCACCACTGCCATGCACCTGCCACCAGATCACCCATGGTCCATCACCAAAGTGCATTGTGCTCCCTTCCCTCTTGTTCTCACACCTCCCTAAAGTATAATTAATCTGTAATTTAAAAAAATGGGAAAATGTCATATTTTTCCCCTAATATCCACATATTTCATTGCTATTGTTATAAGAATTGCTTTTTAAAATTCTTGCTCCTGACTTTTAAAAGATAGAGGCTCTCTTGTGTTTTGAGAGTACATTTTAATGATACTCTTGCATTCTTTTTTTTAAAATATATATATATTTTTAAAGATTTATTTATTTATTTATGCAAGCACTGGGTACAGTCAGAAGCACGGGAGGGTGAGAGAATTCACCAGAGCCAGAGCAGGGAGCAGAGCAGGCAGAAGGACCGAAATACACTGCTGAGGGGAGCAGCGGGCAGCAGGAGAGGTCTGCGCACCATGTGGGACCCTCCTCCAGTGGCCGGGGAGCAGCCGGGGATGGAACCGGTGCTGCAGAGGCTGCGGGCAGCTTTGCAACCCAGCGCTCAACCGCTGCGCCACCAGGGAGGCCCATGCATTCTTTTTTTTTAAAGATTTATTTATGCATATAAGAGCTGGGGTACAGGCTAGAGGTTCAGGGGGTGGAGGCAGTGAGAGGATTCACCAGACACAGAGTGGGGAGCAGAACAGGCAGACTGACTGAAACACACTGCTGAGGGGAGCAGTGGGCGAAACAGGAGAAGTCTGCCTCACCAATGTGGGTAGCTCCCTGCCTGGGGATCAAACTCGTGCTGCAGAGGCTGCAGACTGCTTCATAATGTGTTACTTAACCCCTTATGCTACCAGGGAGGCCCTCTTGCATTCTTTTTTTTAGTGAAACCTAATGCAGTCTTTTAATTACCCTTGATACTTCCATTTGGAATAATGAGATAGCCTCTAATTTGCAGCATTACACATTTTTTTATTTTTTATGGAGACTATGAATGGCTTGGGGGTTGACTTTAATTCTAACATGTGTCTTTTTTTTTTTTTTTTTGGAAGGGTTCAAGGAATTTTTCTGTAAACAGTTCTATGGGCAGTAGTGCCAAAAATGGTGGCTTTCTTCTGTAAGTATACAGTTGGATGGTCTAAATGGAACCCAAAAAATGGGCTCTTGTGCTGTTTTACTCAGGTTTCTTTTTGTTTCCACACATAGCAGTACCAACATGAAGTGGGTACAGTTTTCAAACCTACACGTTGATGTTCCCAAGGATGTGACTAAGCCTACGGTACGTGCTACCTATTTCTTGGCATAAGGAGCTACAGTGAGAATAAATGTTCTTAATTACTCCATTTGGGGTTGTTTACCAAACACTTCATGAATAAAAGAGTTTTGAGATGCTGGTAAATGTACAGTGTCCCTGAGTATTCTCTAGTGTCTCCTGGGTGCTCCTATTATTCAGTATATGAAGGCAACTTCTGAAGCAATGAATTATTTACCTTGAGTAACTCTGAGAACGAGCAGTCTTTTACTTTTAACTCAGCCTAATATGAAGATAGTCATCATTATGATGTGGAATACTTGATACTAGGTTATGGAAAAAAACTTTTTTTCTTACAATCATCAAGGCTCAATTTTCATTTTGAAACGTTCGGCCTGGGCCTGGACAATGCTTTATTGTGCACAGGGAGAAAGAACATTAGCATAAGTAAAGAAAATCCAGAAGTAGCTGGGCAGCCTTGTTTAAGTAAAAGCCATGATTCCATCAACCTTTTTTTTTTTTTTTTTGGTCATTTTGTAAAAATCTTATAACTTCCAAATCCTTCCATTTCTGCCCCTCAAAGTATAATCCCCTTTAAGATTTTAGTGTACATCCTTCTAGACAGCTGTCTGTTATGCAGTTCTGTCTATGTACATACACATCAAAAGGTACTGTTGGTTTTTGTTTTTCACTTAATTGATAATGGATCTATTTCCATGACATCACGTATATACCTCAGATGTCCAATTCAGATGCCGATGTGGATGGACCAGGCCAGTAAGGAAAAGTGGCAGGGTGGGCACAGAGGCAGGCTGTACTTTTTATAAGCAGGGCAGCTGCTCCTTTAGCCAATTATTGGGAAATCAGATACAGTGTTTCCAGATTACATAAATTTCCCAAACTGAAATCATAATTATTGCATGAAATCTCCTAATTTCTTATAACACAGTCAAAATATCTTTAAAGTCCTGTAGCAACCAGTCAAAATATACCTTTCTTTTTTTTTTTTTTTAATTAATTTATTTATTTATACAAGCACTGGGTACAGTCAGAAGCGCAGGAGGGTGAGAGAATTCACCAGAGCCAGAGCAGAGAGCACAACAGGCAGAAGGACCGAAGTACACTGCTGAGGGGAGCAGCGGGCGCGGCTGGAGAGGTCTGCCGTGCCATGTGGGAACCTCGCCTGGTGGCCGGGGATCGAACCGATGCTGCAGAGGCCACGGGCAGCTTCGCAGCCCAGCGCTCAACCGCTGCGCCACCAGGGGAGGCCCCAAAATATACCTTTCAACTATATTTCTCCTCCTTTGTCCCCAAGCCTATAACAAAGAATACCAGTATATTCAGCTTTTCCAGCAACTCTATTTGGGGTGATGGAGAGTAAATGTCTAGCTTCCTGATTAGTAAGTAGATCTTCTTTCAGGGGTAAAGTAATTTAACTCTGAATCATTGGATTAGTAATATAAATTACTGGTTTATTGGATGAATGAAGTGAAGGTAATTTGCCTCTTGGAAGAAAGTCTGAAATGTCAAACCCATTATTTCTAAGATCTTTAAGTATTAGGGTGGAAGAGGTAGAAGTTATATGTACAGTTGGTGTTGTAACATTTAAATTAGAAATGAGTAATTTTTCTTGTAAGCAATACATACATGAATAAAACCTAATAAAGTATATGTATGGCAGTAGCTCACCCTTGTATAACTGTTTTATGATTTAGAAACACTTTAATTCTTTGTTTTTCTTATTTGTTCCTACAGCAATGCTGTGAGCTATAGCATAGGTATTATCTTGTTTTTTACAAAAGAAAACTAAAGTGCAGTAAATTTATGTCTTGTCCATCGTCCACAAACTCAGCTAGAAGTAGTAGAGTTTAATTCTCAATCTGTGTCTTCTGACCAGGAACTTTTGTTGACAGATCAAAAAATTCTTTCCTGTTATGTGTTTGCGGCTCAATTACTATTAAGTTAGCAAGTCCCATTAGTAGTTTTGTAGGTTGCCTTGACAGTCCTTTTGATTTAAACTGTATTTTAACAGATTTTAAGGGCCATTGTAGAGATCTGAATGTGATAGCATCTAGTCACTTTAGGCTAACAGTGTTAAGATGTCAAGCCATTTTTCTCCCCCTTTATTAGTAAATAAAATTAGCTGAAGTGTCCAACTGAGTGTTATATGTTAAATTTTAATAGTTATAAATATTAGAAGAATCATTACTGAAACTTGTTTTTGATTTTAAAATTGTAGATCACCATTTCTGATGAACCAGACACATTATATAAGCGCCTGTCCATTTTAGTAAAAGGCCATGATAAGGCTGTATTAGACAGTTATGAATATTTTGCTGTGCTTGCTGCCAAAGAACTTGGTATCTCTATTAAAGTGTAAGTATGATCCTTCCTAACTTGATCTGTTACTGTAACAATCAACCAAGAAAATGATGCTGGTCCCATCTAGGTCTGAGTTCCTCAAATGGGATAGACACTTACGATGGGTAGAAGTTGGGTTTGTCATATCCTAAGCAGGACTATCCTTTCCTGTCTACCAGCATGTTTAAAGATCAGAATGTGTAAACATGGAAAATGGAGGAAATCCTTCTCATGTCTGGGATCTCCAAGCAGCAGGGAAGTAGATTAGGTAAACAAGGAGTCCTTTTAGATCCTTTGGATTTGATGATCTTTGGCTAACACAGCCAGGTTTTAAAAATGCATTGAGAAACTCCACTTGCCCTGTAATCTCATGCATGAGCAAGGCAAGCTTCACCTGGCCCTGAAGTCAATGGGTCCAGTATAACCACATCTTTTATCTTGTCATCTATTCCTTCTGGTATTGAACACAGCTCATTTGGGGCTTTGCCAGTCTTCTGACAAAACAGATGGAATCCACATGTTTACCCTAACAGACTGTAGTTTTGTGGTTGTCACCATATCGGTAGATTTTTCTAAAGCAGTATCCTTATAGCAAACATCACAGCTGTGTCCAGCACACTGGCGCTGTTTTTCACAGTTCATGTGTTTGGTCAATAAGAGACTTCAAAGCTGTAAAAGCCAAAGGCATATGTCTGTGTGCACTTGCATGCCAAGCTCATTTTTGGATCTGTGGAGAAATGTTTCTGTTGCTGTCTGCAGTGTTTATTTTGGCCTAAGCTTTATGACAGCAGTTGTTAAAGATGATACTCTTGACAAATGGAAGTCAGTAAATGGTAGTTAATGCCTGTAATTGAGTGTGAGCCCGACCTACAAAGCTGTGGAATCATGCTTTGATATCAGTGACTCAGGTTTTAATATCCCTTAGCTTGAGTATTTTGTTTTGCCCATTAATTTTCAGGCATGAACCTCCAAGGAAAATAGAGCGATTTACTCTTCTCAAATCAGTGCATATTTTCAAGAAGCATAGAGTTCAGTATGAAATGAGGACACTTTACAGATGTTTAGAGGTGAGTTTATTTCAGATATTCTGGTGTTTTTGAAATGCCCAAAATTTTAAACTCCCATGTCATAACTGCTTTAACATTAACTGGGTCGACTTCCTTTTAGTCAACCTACACCTGGTAGTTCTACTTGTCTTTTTTGTGTTTATGTGGGCAGCATGACATGAGAATCAAACTCAAAGCCATCCTGTAGAGTAATTCAAACTGTAATACAGTATTACAGATTATGCTAATATACAGTATATTCAGCTTTTATACAATAAGATAGCATTGGAATAATTTTGCCTATATGTCAAAAATGGTAGTTTTCACAGTTCTAATAATTCTTTCTACATGCTAACTGGATTCTCCAGGTCCTTGATTGTAGCATTAAGGTGTTTCATTTATTACATTAGTGTTTCTATCACATATTACATGATAAATATTCAAACAAGTGCTTGTGCATCTTTTTTGTTGTGGCACTGCAGTAGGTATTGAGAGTACAAACATGGTTGATTAGACATAGCGCTACCCTTCATTGAAAAATTAAATCCAGGGCCTCCCCAGTGGCGCAGCGGTTGAGAGCTGGGTTGCGAAGCTGCCCGCAGCCTCTGCAGCGCCGTTTCAATCCCCGGCTGCTCCCGGGCCACCAGAGGAGGGTCCCACATGGTGTGCAGACCATTCCTGCCACCTGCTGCTCCCCTCAGCAGTGTGCTTCAGTCCTTCTGCCTGCTCTGCTCCCCGCTCTGGCTCTGGTGAATTCTCTCACCCTCCCACACTTCTGACTATACCCAGTGCTTGTATAAATAAGTAAATAAATCTTTAAAAAAGGAAAAAAAGAAAAATTAAATCCAAAATTTTATCTGCCTATGTCTGACAGAAACACCTTTCCCTGGAGCACATGGAAAATCTTGTACTAACACTCTTAAATCTAGTCCGTATTTCCTCTTGTAAGTTAGCTTGTGAAACTTATGTGCATGTACTGCTTTGATGCCATGTTTGCCAGTCAGGTTCCATGAAACCCTGGCTTTATGGCAGTTGAGAGGAAAGGGGACTTAACACCTATGCTCCTTGCATCCAGTCCAGACAGAGGAAACACCTTTTTTCTTTTAAGTTAGGATTCTGTGTAAGAGTTCAGAGAAGAAAAGAATTTACCCAGTTCTCCCCTCTGTTTCGCATTTTAAGCTTTTACCAAAAAAACTTGGAAATATCTGCTTTAGCAGCATAGTCTGAACCAATTTCATATTTGAAATTTTAGTTAGAGCATCTAACTGGAAGTACAGCTGATGTCTACTTGGAATATATTCAGCGAAACTTACCTGAAGGAGTTGCCATGGAAGTTACAAAGGTATGACTTTGTGTTGGGGGGATCTGTTTGATGCATTGCTGCCAGGCCTGGCACACTGAGTAGAGAGAGGGCAGAGGCAGAGTTCCCACAGTGATGGGGGTTTCCCCGCTCCTTGTGCAGTGGGGCAGCTCAGCAGACTCCTGCCACTGCTGCCCATGTCATCCCCAGGCAGTCTGCTCCCTCTCAGTGGTTGTCTAGATGTGGAGACCACATTAAGTGGCAGTCCCTGGGTACCACAGATGTCAAATAGATTATTATGTAAGAGTGCTGTGTAAACCATCAAGTTTCCTTCTGTCTATGTCAGAGTCCTACAGAAAAGATAAGAGGGGTTAAAGGAAAGTCAGGATTTGAAGAAACAAAATTAATAAATCCTACTGTGTCCACAGTTCATTGAAGTCCATATTGAAGTGTTGTTTTTCTCTTTTTTAGACAAAATTAGAACAGTTACCAGAACATATCAAGGAACCAATCTGGGAAACACCACCAAAGGAAAAAGAAGAAAAATCATAAGTCTCAGAGAGATCGCCTGTGCCAGCATTGAAAGTGGGAGTGGGCCAGATATGTATTGAAATGGAGGGTGCTTCTGGGTGAGATGATTTTTGAATTCCCCTAGCTGCTCTGTTGAGTCCACATGCCCTGAACAATTGAAAGAGGAAATAGGACTTAATAATACACTGGACTGTGGAGAAAGAACCACTTTCTCTGTGCTTCTATACATGTCATTCTTCCTGTTCTTCTCCTAACCAGTGTGAGCAAGCCATTTTGACTACTGTATACCAAAAAAGTCAAATTTATCTTTTGTTATTCTGCTATGGTTGAGTTATTCATTTGTACTGGTTTTTTTTTTTTTTTAAATATTTATTTATGCACTCAAGAGCTGGGGTACAGGCCAGAGATACGGTGGGAGTGAGAGGATTCACCATAGGCAGAGTAGGGAACAGAACAGGCAGACTGAGGGGAACAGTGAACGAGTCAGGATAGGTCTGCTGTGCCATGTGGGTAGCTCCCTGGCCGGCCAGGGCATCAAACTCATGCTACAGAGGCTGCAGATTACTTCATAGTGCGGTGCTTAACCCCTTGTGCCACCAGGGAGGCCCATTTGTACTGATTTTAATTGATACCATTTCACTCATATAAAACTGAAATATTCATCACATGCATTTTTTTCTTTTGAGATACCTTGAAAGAACCTTTGTTTGAGTTGGTTGATTTAATCTTGAACAGCTCAGGTTTCTAATATTTACCTGAGTGCAGGCTGATACATGCTAGCTTGGGGTGGTTACCTCTAAATTTTGCCCAATTTAAGCATTACATTCTTGAAAATGAATGTACTTTGCAGAAGCTCATGCACATTTGTGGCCTGCATGGAACTCTTTTTGCAGCTCAGAGCCTTAGGCCTGCCTGAAAGGGTCACTGTAATGGAATTGGAACTCTCAAGAAATTCCTGCCTCTGTCATTCACAGAATGCCATTCATTCTGTGATTCATTCATTCAACAAGCTTTATTTTGTTAACTTTGCATCCACACTGTAGTGAATACCCAAAATTGAATAGAAATTTTTTGCTTTTTCTTACTAAGTTCCTTACTAATAAGAAGGCCTCTTACTTTGCTAAATGGAACTTTTTGTCTGAAGATGTCTACTTTTCGATGAAATTAAATAGTAGTTAAAACCCTGAAAAAGGCAAGCCTATAATGGCCTGAAATTGTTGGTGTCTCGGTCCCAAGGGAGTGATTGGTTTCCTTTTCACAGCAGACTCGGGTCCATGTCTTTTGTGGTTTCCTTCACATCTTTGGGCTAATTATGACTTCTCAGTTTTAACCCCCTTAAACTGGACCCTGTTCTCTTTTCCTGTCCTACTATCTGGTGTCAGTGTTTTGAATGCATTCTGCTTATGTAGCAGACTTACGTTACTGTCATTAACATGGAAAGAATTACAGCCTTGTGCCCCATGACCTCATTGTACTTACAGCTCAGTTGACTGTGTCATTCACAAACACCTAAAGCATGCTTCTCCCAGATAGAAACCTTGGGATTAAGATGTAGTCAGTAAAACAAGAGCAGCGCAATAGTGCCTATGTCTAGCAAAGCAGCAGTTGTGATCTTTTTTTTTTTTTTAAGTATTTATTTTTATACAAGAGCTGGAGTACAGGCCAGAGGTACAGGAGAGTGAGAGTATTCATCAGAGGCAGAGCAGGGAGCAGAACAAGCAGATGACAGAAATACACTACTGAGGGGAGCAGCAGGCATGACAGGAGAGGTCTGCCATACCATGTGGCAATCTTGCCGGCCGGCCACAATCAAACCTGCACTACAGAGGCTGCGGGCAGTGCAGAGCTCAGCCTGCTGTGCCACCATGGAGGCCCTGATCATCTTTACTTTAAAAGAAAGAATTAATTAGAAGTAGATGTAGATGCATACCTAAGCTTCTTTGTGCTTATTTTACGAACTATTAGTCCATGTAGTATAAAGGAAGAGCTATGCATACTTACCTCCAGTGACTGTGTGAACTCCTTTAAAGGTATACACCCACTTGTAGCTGTTTTCAGAATAAATTAATCTGTAAGCCAGGTGACTTAGCACTTCAAATTATATACAATGCAAGTAAACTGCACAAAATAACAAAAACTAGTGGTATTTGACAAGTGTTTGGCAAATTGGAAGCCTGCTTCTTGATAGAAGCAAGGTAATTGCATCTCCTGATAATGGGTTTTTTTTTTAATTGGGTCTCCCAAGTAAAATTCATATTCCAAAACTTGGAATGAATGCCCAAGCCTCACTGTGTGCCCTTGTCTGTTCTGTAGTGAGAGAATAATGGCCCCAATGATAAAATGAATGTGAAGGTAGGTGGGAAGTGAGGAAATTTTTTTTGTGGGGGGTGTAGCCCTGAGTTCATTGTTGCTTTTTTTAATCCGAAGTATGTTCCTCTTTCAAATTAAAAAATGTTATGGTGTATTTAAAACTATACTGTATATTACAGATCTTTGATAAGACTAAAATTACTTCTGTGTTCCTCTGGCCATCTAAACATGCTACAGTAACTATGAAGCAGTTTTTTATAAACCAGTTGTCTGGTTTTTTAACATTTCCACTTGTCGGGAGCATTCCTCCTTTATGACATTATATTATTAAATTAGTTGTCCCACAACATGAATGAGGAGCAGAGCAGAGCAGAGCAAACATGGACTTTGGAGTCAGACAGACTTGAGTCCGATAAGAGTTAGTCCCACTAACTGTGATAAACTTGCACAAGATATTTAACCCTGCCAGAGCCTCAGTTTATTCATTAATAAGATGTAGGAAATAATACCTGCTCATCAAGGTTGGAGTATTAAATAACTAATAAAGCAACTGACACAGTGGCAGGCAGGTGATAGACATTCAATAAATAATGACTATTACTGGATGGCAGTACAAATTTGATGATACTTCAGATGCTTGTGTGCTGTACTATTTAAAAACCAGCTGAAAAGGACCTCAAAATATCTCCAAGGTGAGGATAATGTTTGAGAGTGGCTGTGAAGCTTGATTTAGATGAGAAAACATGGAATGTGCTTATTTTAGTCCCCACCATGCACAATGCCAAGCATTTTACATAGGCAGTCATCTGTAGATACTATCTTTTTTCATATTAATTTTTTAAATTTTTTACATCATTGTTCATTTTTAAACAATATTTGCTTCCCCCTACCCCCTCAGGTGTAGTTCCCATAGAGTTTCCTTCCCTAAGGCACCCATGTACCATCACCTCAGTCCCCTATGCTCCTCCCTCCCTCCCTCTGATCCTACTCCCTCCACCTCCCCTGCAGTATGTCTCTGATTTGTAATTGTCCTTTTTTGCTTTGTTGTGTTTTGTACTGTTGTTTTTTTTTTTTTTTTACACTGATGTCTTATTTGGTTCCCCTATGCTCCTGCTATAGGTGAAACCATCTGATATTTTTCTTTTTCCTTCTGGCTTATTTCACTGAGCATCATTCCTTCTAGTTCCGTCCACATTGCTGCGAATGGCATGAGTTTATCTTTTTTGATTGCTGAATAATATTCCATTGTGTATATATACCACATCTTCTCTTGATCCAGTCATCTATTTGGGGGCATTTGGGTTGTTTCCAGGTTTTACCTTGTAAACAGTGCTGCAGTAAACATAGGGGTACAGGTGTTCTTTTGAATCACTGTTTTTGTGTCCTTTGGGTAGATTCCTAGGAGTGGAATTGCCAGATCGTATGGTAGCTCCATTTTTAGTAGACTGAGGAACCTCCAGACAGCTTTCCATGGTGGTTGGGCGGGTTTGCACTCCCACCAGCAGTGTAGGAGAGTTCCTTTTTCCCCACATCCTCGCCAACATTTGTTGTAGCTGTTTTTTTTGACACGTGCCATTCTTACTGGTGTAAGGTGGTATCTCAATGTGGTTTTAATTTGCATTTCCCCAATTATAAGTGATGTTGAACATTTTTTCATATGCCTGTTGGCCATTTGCATTTCCTCTTTGGTTCTTCTGCCCATTTCTTGACTGGATTGTTTATTTTGTTTTTGTTGAGTCATGTGAGTTCTTTGTATATCTTTGTGATCAGTCCCTTTGTAGATACTATCTTATTTAATCTTTATGACTATCAAATAAAGTAGTTACTATTATTATCCTCATTCTGCAGGAGAGAAAACCATGTTATGACTTGTCCACTCAATCACCCTTTCAGTTTACAGATGAAACTGAGACAAAAAGGATGAAACTGATCTGTTTGCAGTCAGGTTAGTGACTAGCAACTAATTTTTAGGGGCAACTAATTTTTAGGACACTAATTCAGGTGTCCACTTAATGCAGAATAGTCCAACATAAAATCTAGGGTTTTTTTCCCCTTTCACATTAGTAAAATGTACTCATGACCCCTAAAACTTAGAAGGAGGAGACTGATGAGGTGGAAGAAAAATCTAAGGAAAAAAGATGTCGGTGTGTGTAATATAAAGGCAAGAAGCATAACAGTATGATCCCTGTGGTCTCAAAGCTGACCCTGGCCTGAGCGACTGAGGGGCAGAGAGCGTGGGCTTCTGCAAGGAGGGTCCTACTGGGTCACAAGAACATGAGGAGACTGTCCAGCAGGGCTGTGCGCCAGGCCTGTCCCGGGCATCAGTAGGCACACTGGTTTGTTGCTCCCAAGCAGTTCTTCATTCCTGAAGCAGGGTTTATGGCTGACTGCCTGCGATCCCCAGGGTTCTCTTTGCAAATCCCCACTCAATTCCTAACCCTGCCCTCCTTAAATCCTTAGTATTGTTGCTCACTTCAGGCTATCATTTCTCTGTGTGGAGTCCTAATCCTCTTTAAAATGATATTTATACCTCAACAGCTCAGCAGTATTTATAGGTCAGGTAATGGGCAACTGACCCACAGGAAAACCAATGGAATTTTAGATTTCCCCAGCCTGAGCTAAATCAAGTAACATTTCATCTTATAATTTTTTTCTTTTTTTTTAAAAAAGATTTATTTATTTTTATACAAGAACCGGGGTACGGGCCAGATGCGCGGAATGGCAAGAGGATTCACCAGGAGACAGAGCAGGGAACAGAACTGGAGGACTGATGAAATACACTGCTGAGGGGAGCAGCGGGTGAGACAGGAGAGGTCTGCCATGCCTTGTGGGATTCTCCCTGGCCGAACAGGATTGAACCCGCGGTGCAGAGGCTGCGGACAGCTTCACAGTGTGGTGCTCAACTGCCTGCGCCACCAGGGAGGCCCTCATCTGACAATTTCTTAATTTGAGCTCAGATATCATTCTTTACACTATTCAGTGTTGCTTAGACATCAATAAATATGAAGAAATGGACAGGAGTGATACCACCCTCACACCAAAGCTGTTGAGGTGTTGCTGGTACAGAACCACAGTGACTCAGGAGGATATGTTGTGTTCAGGTGTGATGAAATGGGGAAAGGTTGGAAATCACTGAGCTAGATGATCTTCAACACCTCTTTCAACTCTAAAATCGCATTATTTTTTTCATGTCAAATACCTGCTAACCCAGGCATGCTCAAAGGACTGGAGCAATTGTTTTACAAAATTAAAAAGTAGTATCTCCCATTAAGTCAACACTCACTGTATGCCCTGCCCTTGCTCAGTTACTCAATAAATACTTGAATTCCTTGTGTGTTCCAAGCACTGGTCTAGCTACTGAGAACCCTGTAGTTTATGTAGTAAAGACCCTTAGATCTTAGATTCATGTGGGGAAGACCAAAAATAGGGGAGAGATGTGATAGTTTCAGATGCAGTTAAGCACTGTGAAGAAAGTAAAATCAGATGTTAGAATTTCTTGAGTGGCTATTTGAGGGAGGGCTGAGAAGGTTCCTGAGGAGGAGAGAATGTAGAGAAGAAGACAGCCATGTGGAGATCCGGGGGACGAGCAGTCCTAGCAACAGGGACAATTAATAGTAAAGCCTATTTGGCTTGGTGTGTCTGCAGCCAAGGCCAGAGGGACATGAAGATGGAGTAGGTATCATGACTAAAGCATCATTACTGCGTAGGAGTGTAGGTTTTATTGAGTGTAGATGAGAAGCTATAGGAGGGATTTGAGCAGCAGAGTGACTGGATCTGATTTATGCTTTAGGACACACTACTGTGACTGCTAAGTATAGACTATAAGGAGGGGGATGGCCAGAGGGGCAAGGAGACGTTTAGGACCTACTGCACAGAATAGCTGAGAGGACATGGTAGGGACTAGAGTTGCATCCATGCAGTGAAGAGCAGTAGTTGAATTCAGAATCTAGTTTGGAGATGGAGTTGAGGAATGACCTGCTAATAGAGTGACATGTGATCTCATGAAATGTAATCTTAGAAAAAGAGGATTCTAGATGACTGCTACTGGGGCCTCCCCGGTAGCCTAGGGGTTAAGTCTCAGAACTATCACTGCTATGGTCTGAGTTCGATACCCAGCCAGGGAGGTGACCCACATGGTGCAGCAGACCTTTCCTGTCTTGCCCACTGCTCCCCTCAGCAGTGTATTTCAGTAGATCTGCCTGTCCCGCTCCCCACTCTCTCTAATGAATCCTCTTACCCCCACACCTCTGGCCTACATGCCAGTTCTTGTATGCATAAATAAATAAATCTTTAAAAAGAAAACACCCACCAAAATGACCTTTATTTACGCACAAATCCACAGTTTGGCTTGGGCTCTGTGGGTACATCGTCTACTCCGTTCAGTGCCAGCTGGGTGTGTGGAAGACTGGAATCATCTGCAGTTTACTCAGTCAACAGCACATCTGGTGATAGAGGCTAGAACCCATGTGCTCTAGGCTTCTTACAACTGGGCCCTGGGTTCCAAGGACAAAATCCTGAGAGAGAATGAGGTGGAAAATTATCACCTTAGAAGTCACATAGCCATAGAGAGATGGCCACAAAGTCCAATCCAAGTTGAAGAGATAGAGAAATGGATCCTTCCCTGGACGGGAGGAACATGATAGACCAGATCTACTGTGTTATTTTTGGAAAGTACTTCTGCCACAAGTATTTTGTAGGGGCATCTGGCCATGGGCTCTGTTCTCAGTTCCTTCTCTCGAATGTGGACGATCTGGCTCTAGATCTTGGGACCAGGATGTTGGAAGGAAGCACTTGTACTTTAAGTTGGAAAACAGAAAACTTCCAAGACTCGAAGGTGTGACCTGTAATGGAGCATCAGATATGGGGATGACTTAGCTTGGGGATTCTTCCTCTCCTAGAACCCGTCACATCACAGATTCTCTGCTTCCCCCTAGACTGAGTGGAGAGGTGAGCCCCAGAGTCTCTTCTGTGGGCGAGGGGTTGACTTTGCTGCCTCTCTGGACTTCAGTCTCTCGTGTCTCCAGGATGGGCTTCTCTGGAGCAGCATGGTGAAAGGAGCGTGTAGGATGGGAGGGTCTCAGCCTATCTACCCAACCTGGCTTCAGTCAACCTTCCCCCTGCCTCCCTCCCAACTTCCTGTCTTCCTCCCATGTCATCATCTGCTGAGCTGGCTTAGGGGAGTGGTTGGCAAGACTAGGGGAGGGCTAAAACTGGAGGTCTGACCTTCCAGGAGAATCTTCTAATGTTCTTAGGGCAGCTTAGCTGGCCTGGCCCCATCCCCCACCCCCACCTTCACCTGCCCCCTCTGTTGCCCATCACATTCAGTTGCCCAGGAGATGATGAAGACCTGGCTAAGCTGAGGAAAGGGAGGAAGAGGGGCCTAGCCTTCAGAAATCAATCAGCAGAAGCCTGGAGGAGACTCACCTCACTCCCTGACATTCCTGGTGGCCAGGATGGGGCAGCAGTTCAGCTGGGAAGAGGCAGAGGCAGCGGGCGAGATGGATGTGGCCGAGCTCCAGGAGTGGTACAAGAAGTTTGTGGTGGAGTGCCCCAGTGGCACACTCTTCATGCACGAGTTTAAGAGCTTCTTCAAAGTCACTGGCAACGAGGAGGCCACCCAGTATGTAGAGCGCATGTTCCGTGCCTTCGACAAAAATGGGGTAAGGCGCTCTGAAGGGGAGGGTGAGGAGCTACGTTTTTTCATCCTTAAGCTAAAGGCACATCCTGAGTGGCGGCTCCCAGTTCCCCTGTCCTCCTGCGCTTCTTCCTGTCTGCTCTTCTTAAATCTCCATTCCTCCATCATTGTTCTGTCTCTTCCCCCAAAACTCCTCTTTCCCTCATTCTGTCCCTTTCCATCTTTCTTTCCTCATCTTTGCCTCTCTCCTGTCTCTCCACTTTCACTGACTCTCCCTCTATTCAGTTTCTTTCTTTTGTGTTGGTATGGATAAAATATTACAGATTTTATTTTTATCAAAATAGCATTGTGACATTACATAGGTCTCAGGTGTACACTCGTTGCCACACATCTAGCTTCCATCCACACAATGGGCCCCTTGTACCCAGTTTACCTCTTCCCTTCTGGTAACCACTGTTTTGTTCGTGTGTCTGAGTTTAATTCGCTTTTGTTCGTTCATTTTTTGTATTGAGAGCTCCAAGGCACACAGCCCAGTCCTCTTTGTGTATATTTGGCCAGGGCTCTGCACCCAAAGGGCTCACAGAGCCCCTGGCATTCTAGAGATGAGGGGGCTAAAGAGTCGTCACCAAAGGAACAAGATGTCGTGGCATAGGCCGTGAGCTCCCCCTTGCTAGGGTCCCTTGAGTTGAGACTGGTGGGCCCTCCCCACTGAGATTGTTGGGGGCTGCGTGGACTGGGTGATGCATGGATTATGAAAAAGTTCCTTCCAGCTCTTCAAGTCGTGGAAGATTTCCTTTGTACAGGGGAGTTACTTACACATTCTTGCACTGTTGTGTAAAGTTGAAATCCTATCAAAATTGAAAAGTTGTGAAGAAAGGAAATAAACAATGGTGACTGTGATATGCTGATTTGTTAGAAATAAGGTGTAAAGAGGAACAGCCCAAGGATTTAATAATCCCTTTTGGATCTTGAATTGCTGTGTGGTATGTGTGTTTTAGAGAAAGTTGGTGATATCACACCCTTTCGAAAACCCCTAAGTATTTCAGTGTATTTTTCGTAAGAACAAGGGCATTCTCTTAAATAACCTAACACACTTACCAAAATGAGGACATTTAACATTGATACCATCTAATTCACATTCACATTCAGTCCACTAGCCCTGATAATGGGTATTTCATGGCTTTTTTGGTTTTGAATTTGGTCTGCTCACCCATCACATTTACTTGTCCTGTCTCCTTAGTCTTTAATTTGGACCCTTGAATCTCAGTGTTTCTTATTTGACCCATCATTTTAAAGATCACAGGCCAAATATTTTGTGGGCTACCCACAGATGGGGTTTACCAGTGTCTCTGTGTCAGATTGAGTTTTACACCCTGGCTGCAACGCTGCATTCTTCTCCGTGCATCACGCCAGTGACCACAGTGTTGGTTTGTCCCAAGACTGGACGGTTAATTTCCACCATTTGGTTTACATGTTACCTCCATGTTTCTTCATGTAAAGTTGCTATTTTCCCTTTGTAATCAATAAGCATGTTGAGATCAATAATACGTAATCAATGTAATCAATAATATGTGGAGACTAAGTAAATACCCTATTACGTACATTTTCACCTGCAGTCATGTGTCGCTTTACAGAAGTGATATGTTCTGAGAGGTGTGTCATTAGGCCATTTCCTCATTCTGCAAAAGTAGGTTTGTAGCTACACATCTGGGTTATATACAGGGGCCACCATAGTGTGGTCAGCTGTCGCTGACCAAAACATCGCGCATGGCACAACTGTGCTAGGGATGGTATCCACTGATAATTTTCTAACTTCTGTGTTTATTAGTTGACATTCTACTTTCCCAGAAGACCCCAGAGGTCATTCTATCAGGGACTGAGCCTTCTTTCTTTTCTTTTCCCATTTACTCTCTATCGCCAAACCTACATCCAACTCCACTTCCCTTGGCACAATCGTTATGAACAGGTCTCATTCTGGACAATCAATCTAAGATTTCTGGGGCAAATAAATTTAAAAAGTTCATTGATCTAGCTCACATGCCAAAATATGGGGTGATAAAAGCAGGGTTTTGTTGGAGGCAAGAAGGTAGGAGCACCCTGTCTCTGCTGTTCCTTGGTACATTCTTCTCTCTGGTGGTTACCCTGTCATGTACTAGAGTAGAAGGAAAGGGAGGATGAGATCAAACATCATTTGGGATTTTTTTTTTTTAAGATTTTATTTATTTATTTATACATGCACCGGGTACAGTCAGAAGCACGGGAGGGTGAGAGGATTCACCAGAGCCAGAGCGGGGAGCAGAACAGGCAGACCGATGAAATACACTACTAAGGGGAGCAGCGGGTGTGGCAGGAGAGGTCTGCGCGCCATGTGGGACCCTTGTCGGTGGCCGGGGATCAAACTGGCGCTGCAGAGGCTGTGGGCAGCTTCGCAGCCCAGTGCTCAACCGCTACACCATCAGGAGAGGCCCCGTCATTTGGGATTCTTATGTAACAACATTAGGGGTCACGGCTGGTCCACAAATTCAGCCAATTCAGGGGTAAATGGGGCAGATAACCCCACAGAGCAGATCACACACCGGTCACTAGACAGGCATTTCCATCATTTCAGTCACCTACATTGGCCTCTGTAGGTAAATTGAAGCTGTGGAAGGCCCGTGTACAGAAGATGAGATTAGTTCCAGCTGGAAACTTCCTCCAAATGGTCCTGGAGCTGGAAGTAACCTGCAGCTTAGGTTTCTGTCAGGAGGGTCTGTGCTAGCATGTGCCTCTTGTAAAGCATGAGCCCACTGTTGAAACCCTAGCATGCAGAGAGAAGATGTTGGGCTGACAGAAGTTTCTAGAAAAAGAATTGGAAGAATTTAGAGATCTGGAGAGTAGCATTTTGTTTTTGTTTTGCTCTCCTTGGTACTAGGCAGCAGGCCCATTTTTTTAGATAGTAATAGACTGAATGGAGTAAGAAAGTTTTCCCAACTTAAGAACTGCAGAAGACATGTAGTTTGAAAGACTCTGCCACTCACTGCCTGGGTATTTCTTGGGCAACTTATTCAGCCTGAGTCTCAGGTTTCTCATGCATAAAATGGAAATAATGGACCAGACATTTTGCATACATTTTCATACTCAATTCCTGTTTTAAAAGGACCATAAGTTCTATTTTAGTAAGTTTTATAAATAATAATTAGTAATGAAAGTAGTCTTTTAAAGAACAAGCAATCACTACTAGGAATCTACCCTAAAGAACTGGCAAAAAAAAAAAAAAGTAAGAATGTACATGTGCAAAGATGCCCACTGTGTAATGTAAAATATTAAACAAGAGGTGCTACCCAATACCTCTCAAAAAAAATAAATAAAAGGTATGATTTTAAATAATGTTAAAGACATGGAAAATTTTTAAATTAAAATCCAAGAAATAAAACTACTATAATTACAGCCTGACCTTAATTTGGTAGCTACATGGGGGGTGTGGAGAAGGACCAGAAGCAGTTATGTACAAGAGTTGAGTAACACGCCAGGTGTTGAGGTTGGCACATTTTCTTTCCTTTCTGCTTTTTCCTTAGGCTTTTCACTATTTGCCTCATTTTTCCTCTGTGTGCCACTGTTGCTCAAACCTTGCTCACCAAGGCACCCCTTCATTTGGGGTTGGGCTTCTGAGGCCTTCTGAGGCCAGTGGAACAGATGTGCGCTGCATCAGTGATGTTGCTGATTACAGAGTCCTGTTAGTGACAGACATTCAGGCCTGGGGCTGTTGATGACTCAGGAGCTTGTTTTGAAAAACTAAGATCCCCACCCTGGAACACGTGAGCTCCTGTGTGGAGAACACTGTGGTGCTCAGCCTCAGACCCTGGCCCCACCAACTCGCTGCAGACACCACCTCCACTAGCCTTTCTCCTCAGGCTCATTCGGAGTAGAAAAGCAAGTAGCATTCCTCTCCTCCTTGGCTACTGCTTTTGGAAGGCTGCTGACACACTTCTGTTATAAGAACTGCGTCCTCCTCCTTCCTCTGCTCAGTTAGCAACTGATCTCTGTCTCCCTCCCCCCACCCCATATGCTTCCTGGGTGCCGGTAGGATGCAGGCCTGTCCTTTGGTGTAATGTCCACCTGGGCCTGGAGGTGAGCAGGGGCTGGAGCTTCCCTCAGGCTCAGAGTGAATGAACGGGCTATTCCATGTGAGTGCGGCTTTCTAATCGCCTTTCAAAACCACTTTAGTCCCAAGTCCAAATTAAGTCAATCATATATTTATCAGTTCATAAATATTTAGGAGACCTCTGAAACGGGGCCTAGGTGGCACTGTGCTCGACATGGAGGAGAAACAGAAGCAATGTAAACCCTCTCTTTTTTCCAGGAGCACATCATGCTGTCAGAGTATGAGACATACTTAGGACAAAGAGTTCAGTGACAATGCCAGAGGAAGCCCTGACCTGTAGAACAGATTGCAGGTGCTGTGAATGTTAGAGCACAGAGAGAGAGATCACTGCATCTGACGTGGTCCAGGAAGAAAGAATTCCTGGAGGAGAAGAACTTGGGCTTTAAAGAATGGGCAGGGTTGGTGATCATGGACACTGAGAAGGGACCCCAGGGGGAGAAGAGCATGCACTCTGATGCAGGGACTGCACGGATGGCATGAGACAAAGTCCTGAGTCTGCAGGGATGGTTGGCCCAGAAGAGGGCTCCTCCTGGCAGCACTTGGGGAGGTGGGCTGTGGCAGGAAGGGACTCACAGCTCCCACCCCCAATGTAGGACAACACCATTGACTTCTTGGAATACGTGGCAGCCCTGAACCTTGTGCTGAGGGGCACACTGGAGCACAAACTAAAGTGGACCTTCAAGATCTACGACAAGGACCGAAATGGCTGCATTGACCGACTGGAGCTACTCGATATTGTAGAGGTCAGTGCCAGCCTGGGCTGAGGGCACTGGTGCATGGGCACTTTGGACTCCACTGCAGCTGGTGGCTGCAGTGGGGTCCTGTGGGGTGGGGCTGGGGAAGAGGCTCTGGGTCATGCAGAGTGTGCTTTCTGATCACAGTGGAATTAAACTAAAGACCAGTTAGACAGAGAACCGGAAAATCCCCACCTGTTGGAAATCAGGCAACTCTAAGTACACCATGAATCTAAGAAATAGTGTCACACATGCCCCCGTGCACGTATTTTGAACTGAATAATAATACAACCATAAAATTTGTGGAACACAGCTAAAACCAGACTTGCAGAAATACTCATAACCTCAAAATGTGTGTTAGAAAATAAGATGCTAAAAATCAATCATCTTAGACATCATCTCAAGAAATTAGAAGAGTAAACACAAAGGAAATAGAAGAAAAAAATAAGAAAAGAAATTAATGAAATAGAAATGCACAAGAGGGGGAGTAAGTCCACAAAACCAAAAGCTGGCTTTGAACAAACCAACAAAGCTGACACACTAGCATGACTGGCGGGGCAGGCAGCCTCCCTGCTTCAGCACAGGCTCTGACACTCAGCTGCACTGGCCTGTGACCCCTAGAGCTGCTCTGTGAGGTGGGGATTGTCAGCCCATTTCACAGATAAAGAAACTGCCTCCCAGAAGTTCTGAGCTTACCCACGTTCACCATCCAGGAGATGCTGTAACCTCTGGGGCTCCGAGAACTCGAGTGTGGGGCCTGCATTGTGCCTGGCAAGAAGGGCCTAGGGATCCACATACTTCTGCCTTCAGAACTACACATAATCCTCATGTTTGTCCTTTTCTTCCCCAATTCACTGGGAGAAGACAGAGGACAAAGGGGAAACCTGTTCTCTCCCTCCACCCAGGTTCAAACACCCCGATCTCCCATCATGCTATGTGCACATGGAGTCACGTAGCCACACAATATGTGAAATTTGCTTTCCCTCTCTGAATCTCCATTTCTTCCTGTGTAAAGTGGAGTTTAAACCATCGCCGTGATGCTACACCCTGCAAGAGAGGTTTTGGGTTTAGCTTTGACTCCCAAAGTGAACATGCAAATGACTTCAGGGTGAGGGGGCAGAGCTTGCTGGGCCCTTGTCAATGCCCTGGGTTTTCTCTGACAGGCAATTTACAAGCTGAAGAAAGCCTGCAGGCTGGAGATAGGCGCTGAACAGCAAAGCCAGCTGCTCACACCCGAGGAGGTTGTGGACAGAATCTTCCTTCTGGTGGATGACAATGGCGATGGTAATGGGGTAGAGGTGGGAGGGCTAAGGGAAGTGCTGCCCACTCAGCAGCTCGCCTACTTTCTCACCATGTGGTCTTAAGCAGACCCTTCACCTCAGTTGATTTCCTCCTCTGTGAAATGGGTGTGGGGATAGTTACATGAAATAACAAAGCACATGATGTTTATAAAAGTGACTGAACAGATGAGGTCTGGCAAGAGGAGCCAAGAATAGGAGCTCCAGGTCAGGCAGACTGATGATAAGCTCTCAGTCTGGTCTCACTTTTCCCACCTGGGAAGTGGGAATAGTAATGGTTGACAGGAGTAAATGGAACAATGTGTTTAAAAACCAAGCACAGGGCCTCCCCGGTGGCGCAGCGGTTGAGCGCTGGGTTGCGAAGCGGCCTGCAGCCTCTGCAGCGCCGGTTCGATCCCCGGCTGCTCCCCGGCCACCAGAGGAGGGTCCCACATGGCGCGCAGACCTCTCCTGCCGCCCGCTGCTCCCCTCAGCAGTGTACTTCGGTCCTTCTGCCTGCTCTGCTCCCCGCTCTGGCTCTGGTGAATTCTCTCACCCTCCTGCGCTTCTGACTGTACCCAGTGCATGTATAAATAAATAAAAATAAATCTTTAAACAAACAAACGAACAAACCAAGCACAGGGGGCCTCCCCTGGTGGCGCAGCGGCCCGCAGCCTCTGTAGCGCTGGTTCGTTCCCAGCCGCCGGCGAGGGTCCCACAAAAAAATGAAAAACCAAGCACAGGGCGGCCTCCACTAAGGCTACTTGGGCTCTTCTATCTCAGTGCTGCAGCCTATGCCTGTGCAGGGAGGGGGCTGGCTAGGAACATAACGCTGGGGACCCTCAAGACCACTTCAGGGTATGATGGGCAAAAGTAAAACTTCATTTACAAAGAAGACTCTTAGAAAAACCCTGGACGATTCCAAGAGATTCCTGGACAACCCAAGAACTGAGAGTCCCTGACCAGTCCCTAACTAGGCCTTGTTTGTTCAGGTGGTTCAGAGCACCCTGGGACAAAGGGACTGTAACCCTAACCCCATTTCTTCCCTCTCCCATCTCCCCTCCCCCTTGCTCAGGCCAGCTGTCTCTGAATGAGTTCATTGAAGGTGCCCGTCGAGACAAGTGGGTGATGAAGATGCTGCAGATGGATGTGAACCCTGGTGGCTGGATCTCTCAGCAGAGGCGGAAAAGTGCCATGTTATGAGGGGTCTGGGGACCTGGGGGCCCAGTAGGTGTCCACAGGACCCTCAAAGATAGCCCGCTCGCCCAGATTTTTTGAGGAGTGGGAGGGACCCTGACTTAGCCTGCTGATGTCCACTCATCCTGGCTTGGATGCCCAGGTACGCCCTCAGTAGGGGGGTTTGGGGGACTGTAGAGAGGAGGTGCTATTGGTCTGAAGTAGCCAACAGGGTGACGTCTATTCAAGAGGGTTTACTGGGGTGATGAAGGGAACTGCCTTACCCTCACCCTTCAGAGGCTCCTAGAAGAACTAGGCCTTGGCTGGCTGGCTGTGGGGCTCCCACAAATTCCTATGTAATTCTCAACTGGAAGCAGAGGTAGACTGAGGGGGTGTGGTCCCAGAGCCCACATTAGCAATGAGAATGCCCATTCAGTATGAAGGGAAGTCTGATAGAAGGAAGGGACAGGAGTTGTGTCTGAAGAAACAGTAATAATTACACCGTCCCCAGGATCCTGAGGAGTGCGCATGGGGAAGATTCTTGCTCCTCTTCCCCAGGTTGTCCTCAGTAGGCGTGTCAACAGGAAAAGCTGCTGCAAGTAATGCTGTGGTGTCCCCGCCCTTGAGGTCCAGCTGTGCTTACAGGGGCTATTTTAGCTCTGCCCTGGAGCTGCTCCCAGCCCTGGCTGCCAGTCCCCCCACCATCACCCTCTTCTCCCAACTCCTCAGCACTACCTGCCCCCCCCCCCCATGCTCTTCAACACCTCCTCTCACTCCCTAGCTTGGGCCTACTGTTATTCCCAGTCACCAATCTGGGATAGAGAAACCTCCTGTCTCTGGGGGAGAATTGGGAGCCTGCTGACCTGGGTGTAGGCCAGGCTTTGCCTCCAACTGCTATGTGACCCACGCGGGCCCAGCTCTTCCACGACCTCCGCTACCTCATCTGCACGGTGAGCAGGCTGGGCTAGATGAGCAGGTTTCAGATGATTATTTTTTTAGATGTGGAATTCTTTTTGTTATATAAATTGTAAGTGCAACCCCAATATGGATCTAGATTAAAAGGGGGCCATTCACTCTGGTTGACGGGAGGGTGAGGAACTCATTTGAATAGACATGTTTTTATGTTGGTATATAAAAAATAAAACTCATTGAACCTGTAATATTTTACATATGATGTTCCTTTAAAGTTTCTTTTAGAAATACATTTTAGGTAAAGAATAGTTAATTAAAAAACTATCACCCAGGTGGGGCACAGTTAGGGCCCAGATCATGATGGTGGTATGTGAAAGAGGTTGGGAAAGGTCCTGATTCTGACCAAATACCCTCCCAACTCTGACTTTCTGGGTGTCCCAACAGACAGCTGCCAAGTGAATGAGCAAAAATGTCAACTCCCCGTTTTTCCAAGCTGCCCCTGGCATTGACCGCCAACTTCCCTCCATGCCTGTGCTCAGGCCCTGCTGACTTTCAGTCTGGGGAGCTCCAAGTAAAAGGATGGATGTGAGTGAAATGTACTCTCTTCTCCCCCAGTGGGTTCTCTATAACCAGGGATTTCAGTTCCCAGCACCCCCCCATGTTTCCTCCCTCCCACCTCTGGATTTTTATTCCTCCCAGTACTTCCACACACCCAGCTGGATGGACAACTCAAAACCCAGAAGAAAGAGTATCTTTACCAAAAAAATGGTCACAACTGCTCCAGTCTGTCTTTCCCCAGGTTCTTGGACAGGTAGATTTTTGAGGGTGTTCCCAAAGTTGGGGTGAGCAGAGAATGGGGATGGGTTCCACCTGCAACAGACTGCCCATTCCCCAACTGGTGTCAGGTGTCACTGACCTGAGGGGAAGCATACCCCAAGGGATGGAGGGGGGGAAGGGAGGTAACAGAAGAAAGAGGGTCCTTTGCTGTCACTTCTCAACAAATATGGATTTTCCCTGATAAATAGACTCCATAGCTCCACCCTCACCTTTCACTTTTCGGCCAGTATCCAAATTGAGCAGATGTTCCCAGGTTGTCTGGATGTTCAAGCACACACACACACACACACAGACACACGCAAGCGTGCACACATGCGCATACGCACCCCCTATGCCCAGTTGTTTGGTCACAAGTCAGATCTGTATTGTCATCCAAACACTCCACCCTGTCTCCTTGGTAAGGGTGTTGTAAACTTCTTGAAGGAGGTTTTTAGTTTAGTTTTGTCTTGTTTTGACCTATTACTGGGACCTCAGGAGATTCTTCCTAAAAATGGGCATGATGACTCCTTATTTCAAATTTGGCAAACTGTAAATTCTAAACGGTACCCCCAATTTACATGTAAGAAAGCACCCCACATCACACAGTGCCCAAGTGTACACACATACATCTCACAGACGGTACCTCCTGCCAACCCCGCACCATCAGCTTCTCCAAGGGCACACCCAGCAACTCTTTCACGTGCAGCCCTGTGAGGTGGTCTCTGATTCAGGCTCGCTCACAGTCCCTGTGCTTCTGCAGGAACTGTTCCAGCTCCTCAGGATATTTTATTATAATGATGTTTGTCTACATGTCTCCCCATTACCCTGGGAGTCCCCTGAGGATGAAAACTGTCCTCTTCTTTGCACAAATAACATCTAGCATTATTAGCACACAGTAGGTGCTCAATAGATGCCTTTGAAGGAAGGAATGAACGCAGGAAAAAACACCCAAGTAGACTCCAGGGCCCTGGAGGCGGGAGGGGGTGTGAGTGCGGTGCTCCCATGGAGACTGCAGCCCCCCTCTGTAGGGGCAGAGCCCAGCTCAGCCCAGAAGCGTCCTTGTCTGAAGAGGATGAGGGAGGCTCAGTGGGTGAGGAAAGCTAGGGAACACTAGGGAAGGTGCCAGAAGGGGCAAGGGAGGAATCTGAGAACAGAGGGGTATTGAGGAGCCCCCCCCCCCCCAGGGAGCGGTTACCACCAGCTAAGTCACCCAGGGGCTTCAGGAACCGTCCTTCATGGTCTTCTGCTCAGGATCCCCCGCTGCCCCTCTGCTACCATTGTGCACCCCGAAGAGGTGAGCTGAGCCGTTAAGTTCAATGAATTTTAGCTAGTGTAAAAAACAGTGCCGCCTCCAGGCACCACCACACGCCCCCTCCGCAGAAGCAGCAGGTGCGGGTTCACCCCGCGGCCTCCGCCCCCGGCTCCCAGGCGCGCGCCCCCTCCTCGGGGTCTCCCGCGCCGCCCTGGAGCCTGCGCACGATGCGGGAGAGGTCCAGGCTCCGCGTCAGCGTGTCCAGGAGCACCCGGTCCTTCTGCACGCCCTCCAGCAACTCTTCCAGGGACAGCTCCCCTGGGGCCGGAGAAAGTGGGGAGGAGGGAGCTTAGTCTGCTCCCCGGAGCTCAAGAGGAATCCTGCAGGGGCCGCGGCGACAACGCTGTGGGGAGTGACTGCGCGGAGCAGGCCGGGGGAGTCAGAGACCAGAGTCTGGGGTCGGGATCCCTGAGAGCCAGCTCTGCGCCGCCGGCCCCTTCTGCCTCTCTCCCTTGGCAACCCCGCCCCCGTCTCCTCACCATCCCCATTGAGGTCGATCCTGGCGAACACGGTGTCGGTGAACTCCTCCGCGCTCATGGTCGGGTCGCTGCAGGGGTTGATGGCTCGGATGGCCTAGGAGGGAAGAGGCAGAGTGAGAAAACCCCACCCTGATGCTGGCTCAGGCGTGGGGTGGGCGCGGCAACTGTGTCCGAGAAGCAGGGCGGGCAGCAGAGGCAGAGGGGAGTCTGCGGCGCTTCCACAGTCTCCTGGTACAGATTAGAGCTGGGCCCAGAGTGGGGAGGTTGGCGCCCCAAGCACGCGCCGGTGAAGGCCACCTGATCCTCAGTCCCCATCCTGTGCCCCTCGGAGGAGACCGCATGTCTGCGGGCTGAAGACCCCACCCAGCTCCGGGCTCTGGTCCCCCCTGGGGCCGCTGGCCTGCTGCGGCAGCCCCTGTGCCCCTAGAGTTACCCGGATGATGGTGAGCAGCTCCTCACGGTCGATGCATCCATTGCCATCAACGTCGTAGAGCTTGAAGTACCAGCGCAGCTTCTGTTCCACCTTCCCTTTGAGCGCCAGGCTGAGCGCCGCCACGTACTCCATGAAGTCAATGTAGCCGTCCTAGGCAAAGGGTATGGCCGTTGTGAGCCCCCCACCCAGGGCAGGCCCTTCCCCATCCCCCCCGCAGAGCCCACCTTCCCCGGGAAATTCTGAGCCTCACCTTACCCCATACCTTCCCCTTGGGGCCCACCTTGGACACCCTGCATAGCCTACCCTGCCTGCCCCATGCTATTTCTTCATGAGCATTTTGGTTGCTGGCTGCTTCCCTGTGACTTTCATATTTGAGCCCTTCCAGTTGCCAGGTGTGTGTAGGTGGGAGGAAGAGAAAGCAAACCCCTGGAAACAGGGGTGTGGTTTAGAGCAACTCGTCTGAGCTGGAGCAAGGGCAGGAGGTAGATCTGGAGGCAGCGCTTGCCAATCTTATCTTTCCAACTTTACTGAGCACCTATTACGTGCTGTGACAAACTGAGGAGTCAAAACTCAGTAAGATATGACCCTGCTCTGATGGGAGCGCAGTTAGAAGGCACAGGGACCTGCCTCCACTCTCTCAAAGCTGTGGGAGCTGGCCCTCTCTCACCTCATCTACTATAGTTATAATAATAACCATCTCCTGAATTGTTGTGGAATGAAATGGGGTCATGGATGTAAAGCGTTCAACACTGCCAGTGCGCAGCAAGCATGCAATAATGTTAACTGTCATTATTATAAAGCAATCACTATGCCATGTGATACATGTTTCCTGATAGCACAGCTGAACTGGATATTGGAATCACAGGATAGGAGCCCCTGACTCTGCTGGGGTGTGGGTGGGAAAAGAGGGCCTCAGAAAGGCTTCCTGGGGGGAGGTCATACCCTCCTGGAATCTTGCAGGAGTTGGTCGTAGGAGAGGGTGGCACAAGACATCCCAGTGGATATTTCTTCAGGGTCCCCCAAATGTCTAGCAGCTGACACTGCCTGGCTCTTCCAGCCCTACCAATGGGGTGAGGGAAGCTGGGTGCACAGGCTGCCTCCCTCTAAGCCAAGGAATGCTGGGAGAGGGAAGCGCATCTTGAAGAGAAGCTGAGTGCTTTCAGGAAAGGAGCACTGGATTCAGACCATATGAACTTGAATTCCAGCTCCTGTTCCTCCACTTGCAACCATGAGTCCTGGAACCAAAAGTTACCAAGAGGCAGCTTTGGGGCCAATATGAAGAGCTCTTTAACAGGAAAGGTCGCCCATGGTCCAAGAGAGAGCCTTGTGCAATCATGAGCCCCCTGTCACTGAAAGTCAGCAACAGAACCTAGAGCACCGCTACTGGGGATGTGGCAAAGGGTGGGCAGGATGGTCTCTGAAACCTTCTGGTTCTGTGCGGATCTTTGGCTGCACGTTAATCACCCTGAGCCTGCCTCGAGGACCCGTGGCCCCACAGTGGGTATTGTGATCCCACAGTATTGTGATCATAGTGACCACTTAGGGGCACTTTCCCATATTCGAGGGCTTTCACACACATCCTGGCTCCTTCATTCCTTGCCCACCCCACCTCCCAGGATGAGCGTTAGAATGGAGTGAGGGTCATGGGCAGGAATGCTTGGAAAAGCAAGAGACTGCCAAGGAGGTGACCTCTGTTCGGTCAAGGAGTCACTGAGTGAAAATATTTTGCTTTTCCTTTTTTATCTTTTGATATTGCTGGAAAAGTTTACAGTGCTTGCTATAGCAATAGCAGCAGCAATAATAACAACACAGTGACTAAACAGGAACAATAATGAGAAATACATGAGCTTTTGTGTCAGGCGACCTAAACTACCTCTCAGGAGGTATGACCTTGGACAAGTCACATGATTTCTTTGTGACAGTAAGTACTTTTCAAGACTGTGGTCCGGACTAGATTCAGTAATAGTATTACAAACCCGTTAACTTTTTGTCGTGCATCTGTGCTGAGTGTTTTACTCACTTCCCTCATTTAATCTCACAACCATCCCTGGGTGGTGGGTACACAGTACCCAAGGACAAAACTGTCTTCTAATTTAGGGGCTAGCAAACATTTTTAAAAAAGATTTTTTTATACAAGAGCTGGGGTACAAGCCAGAGGCTCGGGAGGGTGAGAGAATTCACCAGAGACAGAGTGGGGAACAGAACAGGCAGACTCACTGAAGACACTGCTGAGGGGAACAGCGGGCGCGATAGGAGCAGGAGAGGTCTGCTGTGCCATGTGGGTATCTCCCTGGCCAGCTGGCAAACTTTTTACGTAAAGGGTCTCAGCATATTTTCAGCTTGGACAATATGTACTTGAATGGGTACAGTGTGTTCTAATGAAACATTCACAAAATGGGCGACAGGCCGTCATTTTCACACCGCTGTCTTATTGCCTCTGTGTCAGACTCCCCAGCCAGTGGCCCCTCTCCTAACCAGTCCTGTCCCCTGCACTCTGTTCTTGACAGTTGGTGGAGGTAGCGTTGCCCCCAAGTGTGATTTGTGCCCTATTGTTATATACAAAGCACTTCAGATGCTGCAAAGCTGCTGTTGGTTTTAATAATTACGTATTCAAATTTATGTGTATTATAAAATAAATCACTAGATCATAAAAAATCATAATTTCTCATATATTCATTAACTTGAATACAAACATTAAGCAACACTGTGTTCCATGTGCTGTTCTAGATGCTGGGGATACAGCAACGAACATGACAAAGTCCTTGCCCTTATGCAGCTCCCCTCCCAGCAGGGGAGACAATAAACATAGATGCTAAATTTTCTTCAGTAGCAGGTTTTAGGAGATGAGTCAGTTCTGGGGGGAGAGGGGTGCTGGGAGTACGGGGAGGGGCTAGTTCCAGTTAAATGGGATTTAGCCTGGGATTAATGCGGTGTCAGCGAGAAGGATACAGTGGAGCAGGGGGGATGTGAGCCAGAGGATTCTGGAAGAAGAGGGTCGCGGACAGCACCGAGGCTCTAAGGGGGCTGGGCATAGCGTTACAGAGAAACCAGGTTTGGGACAGGACAGGTGGTGCTTGACTGTGACAAAAATTGAAGAGAAGGCATATGAAACTCCTGTCAGGCCAACACGGCGTTGATGGCTGCCCCTCCCTTGTGTCATATGTGTGATTTCAAGGGGTTGTTCTGGAGATGTATCTTGGCCCAGACAGTTTCCCTAGCAGGCAAGACGACAACACATTTCAGTGCATTTGGGTGTCATGTGTTGAGACTCATCTGTTAACATCCTGCTCCTGCTCAGGAATTATTGCTTCTTCTGGAGCATTTGGGGAGTCCCGCATGACACCACCATTCCTTCTGGTGTCCCGTACTCTGCCTCCCCACACCCCCAACAGGAAAGCCTCCTAGCCCAGGATCCTGCCCTTGACACAGAAGTCAAAACCCATAATCTGCTTTGGCTCTTGACCCTAAATACTATTAGTGAGTTTTAAATAGCCTCTGAGCCATTTGCCCTAGCAGTCCCCCCACCACCACAATGTTGCTTGGACCCTCTGGGCAGCAAGGGAGCCAGGAAAGCTCTGGACTGCCTCTCCCCAGCGTGTGGTGGAGATTTGGGAGTTCATCACCGCCTCCTTTGAGTGCGTGCCAATGGGATGCAGAGAGGGGATGGAGCTGTGCATGTAGATTTGGGTTCTTCTAACACTACATCTTGACTGAATTGCTCCAAATAAATGGAAGATTCGATATGGAAAACCAGCAAACATCCTAAGGAACGCTCCCGACACCCGTGGCAGATACAGGAGAATAAGCAAGGCTGAGAGGGGAGCTCAGGGAGCTAATGGGCTCAAGGTCACCTTGCCAATGAAAACTGAGGGCCTAAACTCACAATACCTGACTCCTCTTTCAGTACCCCCTCTGGCTTATCTGGAAGGCCTCACCCAATACATCCAGGTGATCACTTGGGGAGACGCACCATTGAACCCCTGCCCAGACCTGAACTGAGGTAAATGAGTATTTTGGAAGAGGGAATAGTCTGGATCCCCCAGTGACCAGGCAGCCCTGCTCCCCACCCGGACCCCCACTCACTTTGTTGAAGTCGAAGGTCTCAAACATCTGCTCCACATACTGGCTGGCCCATGGGCTCAGGTTCTTGAGGCCGAAGAACTGGCGGAACTCATAGAGGGTGAGCTGGCCGGAGGGGCACTCGGTCATGAACTTCTTGTACCACTGGTGGCATTCTGTGCTGCTCAGCTCCTCCACCGACTTGCCCTCCATCACGTTGCCCATCGTGGGAGGCCAGCAGGAGGCCAACACCAGATGGACAGGTCCTGTTCTCTACAGCTCCCTGCACAGGGGCAACTTGCTTTTTTGAAGCTGGGCCCTGCTTGCTCATAGGCCTGAGTCCCCCAGATCTGTGCAAAAGCGGGCCTGATGAATCAGATAGTGCAGGGAAATATCTTGAAGTGGACAGAGGGAAAGGTAGTGGGGGACCCTGCAAGTCCACACTCAAGTCCAGGGGATGCCAGAGTGTTAAAGTGCCCCGCTGAATCTGTGTAGCTAATGGGGACTGCTCCCTGGGAAAGAGGAGTAAAAATAGAACAAAGCTCAGAGGAGCAGAGGCTGGGATTACAGGTTCAGCTGATAGAAGGGAGGATTTTCTTACCCAGTTTGCAAGCTCCTTATCCCTTCTTACCAGGAAAGAATGGGTGGTCGGTCAGGACTGTTCTGGTCCTGTGATCTCTGCCTGCCTATTTTGAATGGGTTCTCTGTATTTTTGGTTCCTGCCTTCAGACATGGAATGAAAGTGGCATTGAGATAGAACCTCTTCCAGAGCTGGGCCAACTGTGGGCTCTTGACAGAACTGCTGTGTAGTTACCCAGGTGTGCGCTACCTTGGCCTTCATAACTTAGGGGCTCCAATCACAACATGGATATGAGAACATTTGACAGCACCTGAATAATGTGGAGTTTGTAGATTTCCCGGATGAGTCCTGAGCAGCTGGAGGGAAACCCTCCCACAGAAACTTGTGCAAGTAGACACACACACACACATACACACACACACACACACACACACACACACACACGTCTTATTTTGACCATTTTCTCACATTCCCAATGGTTGCATCTTTCCCAGTTCAAGAAGCCTGAATTCAGTGTTCCATCTGCTCTGAAGCTGACACAGGGGCATGAGGATAAGGGACATTAAGTCTGCTCTATGTGTCTGCTGGCCTGAGGGGTGCGTGCGCGTGCGCGTGTGTGTGTGTGTGTGTGTGTGTGTGTGTGAGAGAGAGAGAGAGGGAGAGAGAGAGAGAGAGAGAGAATGCCACACACAGGTACACAGTAAACTGTTACCTATTGATTCTGGAAAGCTCCTAGTGGGATGCCTGTTCTCAGGTGGCAGACTGTAAAGTTGGTTCATAAATGGACCCAACATTTGAATGCACTTAAGCATTGATGCTGGGAAAACCCTGAGCCAGCACCCACCTCACCCGCCCTCTTCCATTTCCTTCCCCCCTTTACACAGACCAGACTGTGGGCCCCCACCCCGGCCAGAGGGGAGCACTGCCCACATTGCTGCTTTCCCCAGCAGGACCTTGAATACTTGTTCAAGTTATAACTGACTAAAGAGCATAAAGTGTCTTTTATACTTGAAGAAGGGGTGATTTTGGGGTGGGGTGGGGTTTGTTACCACAACTAACTGACTGAGGCAATTTTAAGTATTGCACAAAATGTCCTGCATCTTTCCTGCAGCACCAAGATTGCTGAGCTACCCAGAACCCCAACTACGTGTCTACGGGTCCCTCTCAGAATGCAAGGTTGCAAGGAGAGGTTTCCTCACTCCAGGCTGCAAAGTTTTGAGAGTAAAGACTAAGGAAGATTTGTATACACCTATTGTAATATGAATGTATTTATGTTTCCATAAAATGCATAATTATAAATATATATTTACATAAAATTAACTTATGTAAATATATTATGTGATTTATATGAACTATGACATATATTAGACATCAGAGCACACACACATATATGTCAAGAGTTGGCTGGTAATATGCTGCGGTGATACAATCTCAGTTACTTAAAGCAAAATGAGTTTATTTTTTTTTAATATTTTATTTTATATAATTCTTACATCATTTTTCATTTTTGTACAATGTATGCATTTTCATTTTGGTTATATTCCCCATACAATTGCACCCCCCTTATTTTGACCCTAATCTTTCCTCTCCCTGCCCCACACCCCATAGTGTGTTTCTGGTTTATAGTTGCTTGTTGATTTTGATTTTTGCTTTGTATTAATTAGTCTTTTTCCTGGTCCCTTATTTAGGTTTTCTAAATTCCTGCTATGAGTGAGACCATCCAGTATTTTCCTTTTTCTTTCTGACTTATTTCGCTGAGCATGATCCCTTCCAGCTCCATCCATGTTGCTGCAAACTGCATGGCGACACAAGTTTATTTCTGTTCATACTACTGGCTGGGTGACCATGAATAAGTACCTTAACTTCTTTGGGTCTCAGTTTCCTTACCCGTAAAATGGGGGTAATGATATCTACCTCACAGAGTTGTAAGAGGATTAAATGGATGAATATTAATATATCTTTTGATATATTTAGATCAGGCCTGGCAGAGTAAGTAGCCCATCAACATTAGTTACCACTGTATCATCTTGTATGTTACAACAGCACATCTGGCCTGCTTTCAACTTTAGAATCTAAGTGCAGTTATATTACATCACAGCAGTGTCCCTAGATTAGAGCCCAATCATGGCTCCTGTCCTTTTAGTTCCATTCATGTGGGCCCTAGACTGTGTGAGGGGATGGACATCGACCTGTCTTACTCAGGACATTGACCAGGTGTGGTCAGGCCCCAGAGAAGGTAGAGGCCGACATTAAAAACGTACTAGATCCAGGCCTCTCTGGTGGTGCAGGCGGTTGAGCACAGCGCTGTGAAGCTGTCCGCAGCCTCTGCAGTGCCGGTTCGATCCCCACCGGCCACGGAGATACCCACATGGTGGGACAGACCTCTCCTGTCTTGCCCGCTGCTCCCCTCAGCAGTGCATTTCAGTCAGTCTGCCTGTTCTGTTCCCCAATCTGTGTCTGGTGAATCCTCTCACCCTTCCACACATCTGACCTGACCCCGGTTCTTGTATAAATAAATAAATCTTTAAAAAAAAAACTTACTAGATCCAACCTCATCCCCAACTCCCTGCCCCTTGCCTATCTCTACTAAAAAGACAGTGGAAAAGTAAGAAAATTGTTTTCTTAGTCTATGACTACTGCAGGACATGGCTCTAGTTGAGGAAATGTCAGTGAAAGTCTACCATGGTTTTCTAGGAAAGCTTTGCTTTCTACCCTTCTCCTACTTCTGACCTTGGAAATATATGTGATGCCTGGAATGTAGCAGCTGTTTTGTGACCATGAGGTGATAAGCACAAAGAAAAGCACAAAAATATCAGCCATCACTGTTGAGCTGCTGAAGCTGTGACAATAATCAGTGCCTCCCCTCATTGTCCTGTTTATGTTTAAAAAACAACCACCTTTTTATTTAAACAAATGAAACAAAACAAAAAATCTGGAACCCTCAAAGGCAGTTTGAGAGTGGAGGCACCAGGAAAACAATGGTTTTTAAGCAATTTTGTGTGAAGAATACCAGACTGACAATCCTAGGAAGGTTCTCTGAGGATTTTGGATGGGAGGATCTGAAGCCTGGAGAAGGTCAACTTGCAGAGATGACTCAGCTCTGTGGGAAAAGTCAGCGAGAGCTTTCCTGCTGTCAGGGATGACACAGTCATTGCATTCATGGGCTGTGCCCACTGCCTGGGCAGAGGGAAGAGTCCAGAATGCTGGGCCCTGTGTCCCTAGACACTATTCAGCCTCAGTAGCCCTTCCTCAGGCGGACACCCTTCTAACAGCTCAAGCACATGTGACATACCAGAAGCAGAATCTTGGACACCCGTAAAGGTATTCCCTCCTTGATCAGTTGTTGGAGAGGGAATGAGACAGAGCATTCCCTCAGAAGTGGAGCAGAGACTGAGAGGGCACCTCTGGTGCTGCCTTGTGTGGACTCTGCCAGATATCACCAGGAGTGGGTGGGGTGGAGGGACATGAGCCTTGTGCCATGTTTGCCTTCTTAGATCTGGTCCTCCCCCATGAGAAGTTTTCTTTCTTTTCATCATGAATACCACTGGTTGGAATCTCTTTAATCCAGTTTTACAACTCCTTTTGCCCATTATCCTGAGCAAGTTAATCCAAAAGGCCCAGAGCCAAGAATGTTCCTTAGAAGACCAGAGAGAGAAAGACTGGGGTGAGGGTGGCATTAACACTGCTGTCTGTGTGCATGATACCTGTGCCTAGAGGAAATGACCAAAAGGTTGACAGGATTCACCTCTGGTCATGGGCATCACCAGTGATTTTGAAAATCTTTGTGGCTTAAAAATTATCTGTGTTGGGGCCTCCACTGGTGGTGCAGCGGTTGAGCGCTGGGCTGCGAAGCTGCCCGCAGCCTCTGCAGCGCCGGTTCCATCCCCGGCTGCCTGCAAGGGGCCCACATGGCACACAGACCTCTCCTGCCGCCCACTGCTCCCCTCAGCAGTGTACTTTGTCACTCTGCCTGTTCTGTTCCCTGCTCTGGCGAATTCTCTCACCCTCCCGCACTTCTGACTGTACCCAGTGCTTGTATAAATTAATAAATAAATCTTAAAAAAAAAAAAAGACAAAAAAACTCCAAAAAAAAAAAAAATTTATTTGTGTTGGGCCTCCCCGGTGGTGCAGCGGTTGAGCACTGGGTTGCGAAGCTGCCCGCAGCCTCTGCAGCGCCGGTTCGATCCCCGGCCACCAGGCGAGGGTCCCACATGGCGTGCAGACCTCTCCTGCCGCCCGCTGCTCCCCTCAGCATGTACTTTGTCAGTCTGCCTGCTCTGCTCTCCCCTCTGGCTCTGGTGAATTCTCTCACCCTCCCATGCTTCTGACCGTACCCAGTGCTTGTATAAATAAATAAATAAATCTTTAAAAAAAATTATCTTTTTCTTTAAAATAGTTTTGTAATTAATTTTGAAAATTAATTTTGAAAAAGAAATCAAGCAGGACTCTCCCCTACCTAAAGGGATCCATTTCACGTGCATGGGGGATGCGGAGGGTGACAACTGTTGCTATGATGGAGTTCTGTCAGAGCATGTTTCAGGAAAGGGGTGAGGAGGGCCCCTCCAGTGACCTTGTTTGGGTCCCAGGCAGGAATCCATGGCCACGAGATCCAGAGTTTGGAAATGATCAAGGAGGAGGAGCAGGTCACCTGTCTTCCTCTCCCTATTTGCATCCTCCTCACTCTTTAGTGTGGGTATAAATGCTGCCGCCGTTGTGAAGCCTTCTGAATCTCGGCAGAGATGCCTTCATCTTCCAGCTGTCTTTCATCATACCAGCATTTTGCTTATGGGTTATATTATATCTGCTACAAAACAAATTACCACAAGGTCAATTGTTGAATGCTGTATACATTTATTGTTAGCTGTGTTTCTGAGCTGGCAGTCCAGGCATGGCTTGGCTGGGTCCTCTGCCCACCACCTCACAGGCTGTGATCAAGTTGACATCTGGGCTGTGCTTTCATCTGGGAGCTTGGCTGGGGAAGAATCTACCTGCAACTCACTTGTTTGCTGGCAGAACTCATTTCCTGTCGCTCTATGACTGAGGGCCCTGACTTTTTGCTAGATGTTGTCTGAAGGCCACTCTCAACCCTAGAAGTTGTATGACATTTCTATCAGCTGCCCATAGTTCCCTGTGACATGGGCTCTTCAACACAGCTGCTTGCTTTGTCAAGCCAGCCAGGAAAATCTCTCTCTAACACGCAAAATGAATCCTACATAATGCAGCCTGATCAAAGGGGTGATGTCCCATCACTTTTGCCATATTCTCTGCATTAGAAGCAAGTCACAGTCCAGGTCCACACTCAGAGGGACGGGGTGGCACAGGAAGTGGAAATCACTGGGGTCACCTCAGGGCACATGACAAACTTCACACTTCTACAATAGCACACATAGCAGTCATTTTTCTGGAATTATAAGCATCTGTTTATCGCCAACTTGCGGTCAGAAATTCTACAAACTCAAAAAAAAAAAAAAAAGAATTCCTACAAACTCCCAGAGGGTAGAGACCATTATCTCCCTCATCTCTGGCATCCGCCCAGCATCTAGTGCCATGTATTGCAAATGGTCATATCCTAGTTATTGTTTTCCCCTCCCCCACTCACCTCCACCTTTCTCTGCTCTGAGCCCCAAGAGGCTGACCCACACGAAGACTGCTGCCCTCTGGCTTCAGGCTGGATCATCCATTGAGAAGCACAGGAAAGAGACTGGAGGGTGGAATGAGAGAAAGCCTGGGTATTGGCTCGCCTCCCCACGCCTGGCTCACAGTTCGTGTCCTGGTGGTTTTCTCCTTTCAGCCTCAACTCCTGCCAGGGTCTCCCTGGGTTCCTGTAACTATAGCCTCCCTCCGCCTACCTTTGCTCCCTCAGGCTCCCCTCTGTTGCCACGTGCTGAGCATTCATCATTCCCTCAACTGTGCCGCTGCTCTGCCCACAGTGCCCTCAGGAAAACCTCTTTGATCACCTTTTTGGAGAGTAACAGGAATGTGACAGAGACTCAAAAAATTATCACTGAATGAGCGAATGTGTGCATGCATGATAAAGATGAGGAAAGCTAGAGGAACTGTTACAAAACATCTGCTGTGTTCAAGGGGCCACACTGAGCTTGTTGAACAGGCTCACCGCAGCCCTGTGAAGAGCGTATTACTTCCATGAAGACAAGGACTGTGGGGCTGAAACATCACATTCTGAGGCTCAAAAAACTTATAAGTGGTGGGACCAAAGTTTTTTCACTCCACATTTCCCCCCCAAAGACACAGGTGCTTTGTCTGCTCCACACCAGGGCTCCGGGAAGAGGGACAGAGGGGAGGAATGGCTGGCTTTGGGGGTGACATGGGAGGTCTTGAGGCATTCCCCCCCTGCTCTGTCTGCGGGAATCCCTCGTGGGACAGATGCCATACCAGAGCGAAACGCTTCACTGGCTGAATGGTACCAATGAGACAGGGTGGGACATGAGAGCAGAGGTGGAGCAACAGGAGGGCCAGGCTGGTCTCCTCCTAGGCTGCCCCTTTGCCACTCTCCTCCCCCACAGAAACACCACAGAACTCTCTTCTGAGCTTGGTTCTTATGCCTCCTGGGATTTTCCCACCCAGACCTCTGTGGGTCCTCGGAGGCTTCTTTGAAAGGCTACTGGAAGCTTCCACTGCTCTACCAGCGGGAACCTCAAGGGGGAGACCATTCACCAGGGGCGAGGAGATGCAGTTGGGGGACTGGTGGTGCTGGCCTCGCCCCCACCCCTGAAGGTTGTCAGGTCTACTTGGACACAAAGGTTCTATTTCCTCCTGGCAGCCCAAGCACCCAGCCCTCAGGAGGTGTTCAGCAAGTGTCCCTGGGGTGACTGGTTATTGGATGGATAGCTTTTGGTCAGATGTAGGCTGAAAACTTGCATTCATCTTTTCTTCTTTTGAGAACTCCACTAAAATGGCAAGAAATGCATTTTTAAGAGCTCCAAATCTGGGCCTCACTGGTGGTGCAAAGGGTTAAACACAACACTATAAAGCTATCCGCAGCCTCAGCAACAAGAGTTCGATCCCTGGCCTGCCAGGGAGCAACCCACATGGCGAAGCAGACCTCTCCTGTCTTGTCCTCTGCTCCCCTCAGCAGTGTATTTCAGTGGATCTGCCACTTCTGCTCCCCACTCTGTCTCTCTCTGGTAAATCCTCTCACCCGCCTCCTGCACTTCTGGCCTGTACCCCAGTTCTTGTATGCATATATAAATAAATCTTTAAAAAAAAAAAAAAAAAGCTCCAAATCCACAGCAACCAAGAGAAAGAAGATAGATTGTGAGAAGTTCTGATGAAAATTTGGAAAACAAGGCAAATGGACAAGCAGTCATGTCTTCAAGACATGCAGAAGGTTCAAACCTAAATATTTCAAGGAGGCCCCAAGGGGTTGGGCCTGACAGGGGGGCCTGTTCCTGCCACAGAACTCCAAGGGCTCAGAAGGTAGGTGCAGAAGGTGCCCTGAAGGCTGGGGTGTAGGAAAAGTGGGGCAGAAATAGGAGGACTAGTTTGTGGGGAGCAGCAGCTGGCTCCCCAAATGCTCCCTGATAGGTAACAGAATGGGATCTTTAAGTTCTAATCTCCCGGACCTCCTAGCCGAAGGTAATTCTGGAGAATTGGACAGAGGCACCTTAACCTCTAGGCATAGGTCAGAAAGAGAGAAGGGCCACTCTGAAAACGGGGGTGCAAAGGGCAAGTCTGCATATGAAGAGTGCAACCTGCTCCCCCCACACACATATAAACACACACCCACACACAATTCTTCCCATGCTTGGCTCCTACAACAGCAACAACCAGCAGAGAAACCCGGTATGGGTGCCAAATGGCTTGGTTCCAGCCAAGGATCACCAGGCATTCAAGGGAAGCCTCTGACTTGACAGAGCGCCCACAACAAACAAACAGAAAGCCTTGGATTCTACACCGTAAGGGGAACCTTGAAGAGGTTACATCATCTTTGCAGAGAAAAGCATCCAGGAAGCCAGTCCAGCACATCTGGGCCCCCAGACATCCTGCCCCTTCATCCCACACCAGCCCCAACCTCTCATGCCCTAGAAGCATGCTCCACTGCCCATGCCACCCTATGAATGGGATGGGACTCCTAGAAATGAAAGCAGCTGAATTCCCCTGGGGATATGTTGGTAAATATAGCAACTGGCTCTCTGGAAAGAAACCCCAATCTGTAGGCACTTGCTGGTTCCCTCGGTGTCAGTACCTCCAGCGTGGCTGATTTCAAGGCACCAGCATGAAAGGCTGATGGTGGAGCCTGGAGGAGGTGGCAGCAGTCGGCCCCCACAGCCAGGCTGAGCAGGCTCCAGCACACCACTGCACTCGCCCCCAGGGGGTGATGATCACTCAGCCCCCCCCCCCCCCAACTCTGGGCCAAGTCCCCTCTGCCTTCATTCCCCTTCTCCGTGAACTGTGGCTGGTAAGACAACTAACCTGAGCACCAGCTCTTGGGGACCAGAGGACAGACTTGGGGTGGGGAATCCCCCACCAACAAACCACAAGTCAGAAGAGGCAGTTTTATGGAAAACAAAGGAGGGTGGAAAGGAGGCTCCCTGGAGACTGGGCCACTCCCTGCATCACCTCCTTATTCTCCTGTGGCTGCTCTAGCCCCAAGTGACTGCAGGGAAGTGGGGACCGTCAATAGGTCCTTCCAAGTCTTCAGATTCTGCTGATATAACCATGCTGTACAACACCCCTCTGGGGGCCTCTCTGGTGGCTCAAGGGGTTAAGACACAGCACTATGAAGCTATCCGCAGGCACTGCAGCATGAGTTCAATCCCCGGTCAAGGAGCTGTCCCCATGGCTCAGCAGACCTCTCATGACTCGCCTGCTTCTCCCCTCAGCAGTATATTTTCCATCAATCTGCCAGTTCTTTTCCCCACTCTGTCTCTGGGGAATCTTCTCACCCCCACACCTCTGGCCTGTACCCCAGTTCTTGATGCATAAATAAATAAATATTAAAAAAAAAAAACACGCCTCTGGTCTCACTTTGCCCACCTCCAACTTCCCACTCAGATACCAGAGAAAGGAAGGATAAACTTTAATTGTGGCTGAGAAGAGAGACCTCCCTTTGTCATTGTTGACACCGGGCATGGCACAGCTGTCCCAGCCCAGATGGGGCTGCCCCTTCTGGAGAGAGCAACCCTTCCCCTCTGGGACCGGGGATCATGGGGGTGCAGGAAAGGGCCGGGTCTTCTGACTGGCCCAGGCCTATTTGTGCCACAAGATCTGGTTGGTGGGAGGTATGTCAAAGCGCTTGCGCGTGTGGTCAGTGTCCCTGCAGTACAGGTAGCCACAGGTGGGCTTCTGCAAAGTGTAGAAGGGGTTCAGGGAGTTGGAGTACTGGGAGGTGTAGAAATTGAACCTGAGCTTTTCGGGATTCAGCCCTCTGGCATCCACCACCACCGGCACGTAGGCTGCAGCCAGCGTCTGCTCACAGTCTTGCCTCCATGCCCGGGACAGGGGGACATGCGGAGTCTTCACCTTCTTGCCTGATGGTATTGTCTGCCCTTGGTTGGGTGCTGAGGGTTCTTTTGAGTCCTGGAAGGACAGGAGGGGAGAGCTGGGGATTGGGCACTGGGGCTTGGACTGCTGAGGCCAAGCAGAACGAAGGGGAAGGGCCCTCTGGTCAGAAACTCCCAGGGCCACCCCGGGGCACAGCTTCAATGTCCTTGACCTGACCCCTAATGCAGACCTTGGCCTACTTCTTGGGGGATCTGCCAGCTCAGAGGCTGGGTCCCTGAGGGTCATCTCAAACATCCTCCCCTTCTCTCCACATCCAGTCTATCCATCTCTGGCCTCTACATCGTGTCCTCTGGCCTCCTCTCCCTGCCTTTTGCCACTGCCCCCTCACGCCTCCTCCTCTCTCTCCTGCAGGCTACTCCGACTTTCTACCCAGTCTTCCTGCCTCCTAATCTCTCGTATTTTTAGCCTGCATTTCACACCCACACCAAATTAATTTTTCAGTACTAACGTTTTTTCCAAGCATCTTTTGCTGTCTTCTACTAGAAAATAAAGCCCAAGTCCCCTCGCCCTGAAGGCCAGACCTTTAAGGATGGGGCTCCCACCGTGGGTTGTGGCCATGCCATCTGCCTATCATTCCCTGCTCCAGCCTGCACTCCCAGGCCTCCATGCCTTTGCTCAGGCTTTTCCCCCAGCCTAGCATGCCCTCCCTCCTGCTCATCAGGGAAATGCCGCCTTCCCCTTTGGCCTGTGAGCCCCCGAAGGCAGTGCTCTCTTACCCTGACCCTTGACATAACAGCCTCCCAAGTCCTATTCTTTATTTTACTTCAGACCAAGACATTTAGTGGGTTTTCAATAAATATTGGTTTATTGGAACAGGATTCTAGTAAGGGGTAGTTCCCCTTCTGGCCTGTCAGCCCATTCTATTTTAGAACATGTCTCATTATTACAAGTCATGTTCTATTTGGAACATATCTCCACCCAACAATGGCTGCTCTGCACAACCACCACTCTTGGTTGATGGGGTGTTGAGGTCTACCTTCTCTCTAGGAATCCCTGGTCGCCACACTGTCACCTTGTACTGACATCACTGTCACTACCCCCTTAACTGCCCTGTGACCCCACCCCCCTTAACTGAGCAAAAACCAAAGGTGTCTTGATCTCCTTGGAACAAACCCACGCACCATCTCTAAGGGCCCGGATGCCTTTTGACAAGGCACTTTCATTGCCCAGACAGTCCTACCCAAAGGATGAGATGCCCGTAAGTGACCACCTGCTTTGTCTGTGTGTGGGGCTGGCTCTGTCCTGGCCCCCCAGGTTACAATCCTCAGGGAAAACCCACTTGTGCACTGGCCAGCCTCATAGCCCCCCAGTCTCTGGAAACTACCAGGGAACCCCTAACTGCAGTCACTGGAAAGTGAGTCCCTGCCATCTTATTCAAGTCATAATGTGCTCCTTTGCATTTAATTCACGAACTATTTGCCCAATTCCAACCTTTTCTCCAGGCAGCCTTTTCTCCAGGCATATGTGTGCCATCAGCTTTGTTTTGCAAAATACTTCTATCCAGGCCTCCCTGGTGGCCTACGGGGTTAAGTATCAGTGCTATCACCACTAAGGCCTGAGTTCAATCAGGGGAGCTACCCCACATGGCACAGCAGACCTCTCCTGTCTCACCCGCTGCCCCCACCCCCAGCAGTGTATTTCAGTAGATCCATCTGTTCTGCTTCCCACTCTGTCTCTGGTGAATCCTCTCATCCTGCCCCCGCCCCCACCCCGTACACCTCTGGCCAGTTGTTCTACACACACAAAATAAATACATTGCACTTTAAAAAATTTAAAAAAACTAACCTCTCACCCCCTTTCACCCTCCCACCCTTGACACCTCCTTCAGGAACTGTTTCTGGCAACCCCTTCTCTCAACCTTCCTCTGTGCCTTCAGGCACTCTCTGGGGATGTGGTTGCTTACTGGCCTAGGACTGGGGTGAGGCCACTGCGTAAATTTCAAGGAGGTACAAGCACACTGGGCGTGCTTCCTTAACATTTTGCACCCTAGGTGCTGGGCTTGCCTCATACTAACCCCAAATCCTGCTCCTTCTGGGCTCCTGCTAATGTCCCAACAGCCTGTGGTTAGGATACATCCTATTCACCTCCATGTCCCTGCCAGGCACAGCCCAGGGCTGGCACACAGCCAAGCTAGAGAGAGGGGTGAGCAGTGTTCAGAGGCCTTCCCAGACACGGTCAGGACTTGTCCCTGGAACTGGGAATTACAAGCAGCAGGGCAAGCATCAGAAATTTATAGTGGGCATCACACACCATTTTCTTTCCGCCACTGCCTACCAGCGCAGCACCAAACTCTTGAAGCGTATCACCACTTTCAATCCTCATTGCCCTTAACCCTTGAAGAAAGCTATGATTATTAGCCTCATTCATTATTGAGAAAATTGAAGTAAAGAGGTTAGTCCCCTGTTCAGGCTCATGTGGCTGGTAAGGTGCCAGCCTGGATTTTAATCCATGTCTAGCCCCCCCCAGAGCCCACACCCCAGACCCGGGATGTGTCACTGGGCAGGGACTTGAGATTCACTTCTGCCCCCTTCCGTCAACTTGCTGCGCTTTTGCCAGGGTTCTGGGCAGCAACCAAGGCAGCCCCAGGCTCACTGGAGAGAGGGCAGAGCCATTTCCCGGCTGGGCAGAAAGACAGTGGGGTTTTGAACGCTGGGCTTTGGTTCTGTATGGACAAGACAACACATCAGCTCGTAGAGCTGAGCACATGACCTTAGTTGTTCCATTCACTCATTCAAACCCTGGCCCCTCTTACAGGCCAGGCTCTGGGTGCGCCAGTCATAGACTTCACACTGTGGACACAGTGTGAAGCTGGTGGTGCGGGGCTTCTCGGCTCCCCCACCACTGACCTTGGGGCAGGATGATTCTGAGTGGTGGGGAATGTCCTGTGTGTGGCAGGACATTTCAAAGTAGCCCTACCCACTCTACCCCTCCTGGTAGTGAAAGCCAAATTGTCTCTCAGCATCGCCAATGCCTCGTGGGAGCCGTGAGAATCACAATAGAGTCCACGATGACTGTTTTATCCCAAGGTTAAGGCTGAGAGCCTGGCCCCACAGAATTCTCCCTTTCCTGGGCCACCGAAGTGGCTTGTGTTTCTCTGTGGTAAGCATGATTCTGATGGTGTGGGGTTCTGGTCTTCCAGATTTGGCAGAAGGGTTCAGCCTGTGGCCCTTGAGATGAGAGACCTGCAGAGGCCCAGCCCCTGATGGCCCCTTCTCCCCAGCTTACTACCATCAGTCCCTTGCACCCTGCACCTTAGGCCGGAGGGCCTAAGCACGTAGGCTGCTTTCGAAATGGCTGGGAGAGTCTGACTAGAGACCCACAGAGGGAAGGGTGACCCTTTTTGCAGAGGGGAGTGTGACACTTTTTGCAAATAGAATTGAGCATCTACGCAGTGCTCAGGAGTCACTCATCTCAGGAACACTTTTTAGCGCCATTTAAGATGTTATCCCATTTGCAAATGTGGAACCAAGGATAGGAGGTGTCTATGCATTTGTCTAGTTCATGCATTTAGTGAGGTGTCATGTAAGAACCCTGCAGAAGCCCCAAGACTCATGACTAGTTAGCGTGGGAACCAGGATTTGGACACTCCCTCCCTCTGCCCCAGGCCAGGCCCTGGCTTGGCCCCCTGCCCTGGTTACCTGTCAGCTATGTCCTGGCGGCAGCGGCCCCTACAACACTCGGGACCCTGGTGGGGAGATCCAGGGCCCCCAGCACATCCAGGAACTAGGCCATCATAGAAACTGGGGCAGAGGGACAGACCCAGGGAGGAGGAAGAGAGAAAGGAGGAAGAGAAGATATCAACAAAGAGCAGGAGGAGGAAGCCCAGGCAGCCCTAGCCTTGCCCTGCCCTTCCAGGGGCCCCTGCCAGGCTCCAAGTGACTAACTTCAGAGGGTTGAGAACACCCCATCCCCTCCCCAGGGCCCAGCACCACCAGCCAGCATGGAAGGAGGGTGGGGCCGGCTGCATACTTTCCAGGTTAACATCTGGTTTCATTTAACCATTTCCTCCCCTCTCAGATCCTCCCTGTCAAGTGCACTGTGTGTGTGTGTGTGTGTGTGTGTCTGACTGTAGAAAAATGGTTCACAACAAGGGGTGTTCCCCTCACCCCAGGGGACATTTAGCAATGCCTGGAGTCATTTTTGGTTGTCATAACTGGGGGAAGTGACAACTGGGAGTGTCTGGTGGGTTGGCAGAGGCCAGAGACAATGCTGAACATCCTATTATCCAGAACAGGCCCCCACTGCTAAGCATGATTGCACACAGTGTCAAAGTGCCAAGGGTGAGAAGCCCTGGTTTAGGGGGAGCCCCTCATCTACCTTCCTGCTTTCTGCAGCCCTGGCTTAAGCCTCCATTCCACAAGTGCAGTGAAGCAGAAAGGGCAAGTAGAGGGCTCCCCCGCCACCCACAGTACCCTATTTTCACTTGGGTTTCTGACCTGGAGCCAGAAGGAATCTGAATAGGACTCTCCCTCCATGAACCCCAGCCCCTCAGAGGAGTTAAACTGCAGGTCCTTGAATAACATTGTTTAGTTATAACATTAATGTCAAAAAAAATCCCAGTCAATGGCTTGAAGACGTTACTTAAGGACCCGCTTCCCTTCACTGTAAGGGCTTTACATTGTTTCCCTTGAAGTCACAGTTTCCAAGAACCTACGGACAAAGTTCGGTGAGGACCTACTACATATCCGTATATGCTTGCGCCTTACCCTGGGAGTTAGAAGGCGGGAGGAGGTGGGGCTTTCTGAGTAGCGCAAGAAGACCTGATGATATTTACTACTGCAGGTCTTCTAGGAAGCATTGCTCTCCTGGCCCTGCAGGCCCACCACACATCCGCTAGCCTGGCCCACGCCTGACATTCCACCGCAGCAGCTCACTCTTTGATGGAAGGGAAGGCCGGTGCCGTGCTGTTGAAAGGCAAATGGTGCTGGGCGAGGCAGTCAGTTAAGCCTCCTGGGGTGTCTGGGACTGTGGAATGTGCCTGGGTTTTGGGATTTGAAGGTCTGAGCTCTGGGCCGACTCTGCCCCTACAGGTCAGGCCACCTTGGGCAAGTCCCTGAACCTCTTTGAGCTTCAGTTGCCTCATCTGGGAAATGGGGATAATCAAGGTAATCTTCACCACTTTGGTGTGGGGAGCGATGAGTTGTGGGAACTGTAAAGGCACGATACAAACAGCAATTATCGTCGGCCTAGTCCCACAGTTACATCTGGCTCTTGCCCTCGCTCACCTGGCCCTTTATGAGAGCATGTTTGGCCTGTGGTTGGGGAAAGGGGCTTGGGAGTCTGTGCAAGGTGGAGCCAAGCCTGGGCCTCAGCTTCCCTGTGAGGCTATGCGTCATTGGGGCCTGGGGTTCGTATTTCAGCTCCTCCACCCACTGAGTACCTGAACTTTTGGTGATTTGTACTACCTGGTCCTCTTACCTATGAAGTGGGAATGACAAACAAATCTATCTTGCAGAGTTACCATGGGGATTTAGTGAGATAGTCCACGTAAAGAGCCTAGATTTTTGCGGTGGCGACCTACTTCCTGCCCTGCACCCTAGGAGGAGAGGGTGGCTCCATGTTAGCCAAATAAGAGTTGGGAAGTGGCCCTGGCACCTAAGCGTTTTGTGAGAGTCCCCTAGGGGCTGGCCAGACAGATGGGCCTGGCTGTGGCCTTCATACTCTTTCCTGTCAATCAAATGTCTTGTGACCAGGGCTGCGCTGATCCATTCCTGTGATGCCATCCCACCTGAAACATCTTTGAGCAGGGCCTCCTTGATGGTAAGAGGGCACTTCTGGTGGTTAGAGCTTCAGAGGTTCCCAGGGACTCTGGGGAGTGTTCGGGTGGGGAGAACTGTGGGGGGGCATTGTGATGCTTCTTTAACAATACAATTCCTCTGTCCTCCTAGGAGATGCAGGGGGCAGGACTCAGGTGAATTCCCAGGACAAGTGACCTGCAGGTAGTGGGGTGAGTGGAGAGGAGGAAATCATTCTGGTTATTTCAGGTACCTCCAGAAATCCTAATACCATAGGAAACATGTCATAGAAAGTCCTGGCAGGGAGGAAGTGTATCAAGCCAATGCCCCTCCAAATTACAGAGATGATGGGTGGATGTATGGAGCAGGGATGGGTGGATGGACAGAGCCGTGGGAGAACAGGTAGACAGACAGGAGTGTGAATAGACACATGGCAGGCATACCTTCCTTATTTGGGCCGTCTTCATCCCATCTCTTGTTTCTTTTCTCATTTTATGTTTTTTCTCATTTTATGCCACAGCTAATTTCGTTTACATGCCCTGTTCTCTCCCCTCTGAGCCTTTGCACATGCTGCTTCCTGGCCCTCTTCAAACAAGAGGTTAGGAGATAAAGAGATGGAGTCTAGGTGGATAGACAAGTGGCTAGGTGGGGTCACTATGGGTGACTGGATGGACAAAATGGCCAGATGGATGGAGGCTTAGGGTTGTGCCATGGAGGATGGGGTTGCAGGCCCTGGAATGAGACTCCTTGAGCTCGAATCCTGGCTCTACCATTTTACTAGTTGTGTGGTCTTAGACAAGTAATCGACATCTCCATATGTCTATTGGCTCCTCTGCAAAGTATGTGGACTAAAGGTTCCTACCTAATGAGGCTGTGCAAAGCACTTAGGACAAGCCTGGCCCAGAGTAAGCACTCAATAATATTGGCTATTATTATGTATGGGTGGGTAATTGGATTGTTGGTGAGTGACTGAACGGGCTGTCCTGTCTCCATCTTTAAAACCTGGACACTTCCCCCCTCCCTAAGAGCCCATCTCCCCAACACCAGTCTTGGTGGGCACCTTCCAGGACCACACATCAGAAATCTCACATGTAGGGGTGACCTGTGCTTCTCCCTGGTGATGGGGAGGGAAGCAGCAAGGGGGAGAGAGAAAGCTGGCGACTTCTTTCCCTCTGCTGCAGAGGTTGGGCTGGGCCCAAGACTTGTTTCCTTTATGGCACTGTGTCAGCACTGACAGTTGGTTGTGGGGTGGACTTTGGGGCCCACAGATCGGAAGTTGAGGTGTTGATGACTTGTGTGCTCTGCTCAGATCTCACACCCAGATGTAATGACCTCTAATTTCTGAGGAGGTTGGCAGGGAAGAGGGAGAAGGAGGAGCAGCAATCAGGGCTTGCCCTACCGGAGACTCTAATCCCCTGATCTCTAAGCACTCCGGGACGATGCTATCTTGCTTGGGAGAGGGAAGGAAGGTGGGAACATGGATTCTGGATGGAGAGGCCAGAATCTCTGACTCTGGGGAAAATGACCTAGCTCCCATTCTGGGTCCTAAAGGAGCTGTCAGGAGGGAGCCAGAATTGATGAGGGCTTGGGGAAGCAGGGCATCAAGACTTTGCATACATTACACTTTGTTTCAGGCAAGGGGGTGAGGTGCTGGCTGGTTGCCAGGCGATCCAGGGGACCTGACACAGTCCCATCTCCTCTCTGGGCCTCAGTCTCCTTGTGTGGGCAGCTGAGGCTATTGGGTCCCTCCATTTGAAGGAGGGAGAGTTGAATCACATCCTGAGGCCCTCAGCAGAGGTCCTTGATGGACCATAGGACTGGGCCCTGTCAGGAGTGTTCCCAGCCCAGGCTGTGCCACCTTCACTGTGGGAACCTCCAGAGGGCCAAGGCCTGAGAGACCTCTTTTAGGAAGGCCTAGCCAGTCAAGACATGTCTGTCTTGTTTCAGTTGTAAATTGGAAAAATGGTTCATATCATGGTCTTTCAACCCAACCTGCCTCGGTTCAAAGCCCAGCTCTGCTTTAACTATGTGATTTGCACAAGTTGCTAAACTTCTTTGTACCTTAATCCCTAAGTGATAACAGAAATTACCTGGAAGGCTCCTGGTGAGGACTAGGAGAGCCAAGAGCAGAGCCTGCTGCGGGGTAGATGCTATGAGTTATATTGTTATTATTTCTAAACTCCAGAGGATTCTGATTCAGACCTGCCTCCTGAAAGCCCCCCATTCTCTAAGTGCTTTGCCACAGTCCAGGAATGATCTCATGGTATATATCACCAAATTTCCTAGAAGGTAATGACAGTGATCTATACGCCAAAAAACTCAGTGGGTGTTTGGGGGTGAGTCTCCGGGCTGGTTTAGTGGCACAGGAAGATCCAGCAACCACCCCCATACCTCACACCACACATATACACAGCCTCCACCCTCCTGTCTTCTCTATTATTGAAATGTGCAGCACATGGTTTCAAGTGTCCTGCTACCATCTTGCCATAAGGCCTGTTATTTGAACATCATTTCCACCCTCTTACCTGCTGTGTGACTTGAACAAATTCCTTAACCTCTCTGATCCTTACTTTTTCCTTTGTTGGACTTCAAGTACACAAGGCTGTCTTATTCACATACCTGGTTTCATGATGCATTATCTTCATTGGTCATGAAGGCCTCCTCTCTTGTATTAATCTCGCCCCTTTATCTGTATTTCTCCAACCACATCCACCACCCACCCCAGCCAGAGGCAACCATTCTACTGTGTATAATGAGTATCTTGTTCATATGTGTTCTTGCAAAATATATATTGTTGTTTTGTATGCAGGTAGTTTTTATTTGCATAAGTGGCATTGTGTGTGCTAGATCTCATTCTGTTGTTTGCTTTGATTGCTCCCTGATGTCTTTAAAAACCGTGTTGCCATACAAGCCTCTAGCTCCTTGCTTCTGATTGCTGTGTAATGCACACACATCTAACCTCCCTACTCCCCCAGGGGTAGAACCCCAGGTGCCTCCAATCCCTTTCCCCACAAACCACACTGCAATAACATCACTTCCATGGTCTCTTAAATGAACAAACTGAGAGTCAGGAAGGTGGTAGCTCTATCAAGTTCAGACCCTTGATAAGCAGTAGAATCAGGATACAAAACTACTACCCTGCAAGGATCTTTCCCATGATGCCAGGGTCCCATCAACAGAGCCAATGGCTACAAAAGGAAAGGAGTCTCTTCCCAGCACCCTAAACATACCACCCCCCACCCAGGGCTGGACCTGAGATCTCCCACTCTCAGGCATCAGGTAATACCCTTCTCTAAGCCCCCCTCAGGGTGTAGGAGTCCTTATTAGCCAGACTCCTCTTGGCCCCACTATATCCCCTGGTACCCACCCAACCCAGAGGACTACAGAGAAGCAAGCCCACTCTCCTGCAGCCCAACAAAGTTTCAGGAACTATTCTGGCCTAAAGCGTCTCCCCTGAAACAAGAGGTCAGGCAAAATGATCTGCCGCTCAATATCACATGGGGCTATGTTGACATTGGGTGACTTTTGCTCCTAGAGAACTAGCTGCAGCTATCTGGGGTGGGATGAAGGTGACGCGAGACTTCTCAGCTGCCCTACCAGGTTTAGAGCGTGCCCTCCCAGCCAGGAGGGTGTGGCTTTGTCGGAGAGAACACCACAAACTTGACAAAGGGCTGGCTGGATCTCTGGGGTGACTGCAATTTCCGGGCCCCAATTTTATCCCACATTCCAGAACAGGCCAGTAAAGTTGGCTTTTGGCTCATGGAGGTTACTAAGTAATGACTGAGCCAAGATTTAATTACAGGTATGGGCTTTTGACTGTTTTGAGAGGAACCTATTATTTAGCTGTTTCTTTTACTGGGGGAGAGGGGTAAGGTGTTGTTAGATGGAGAGGGGGTCAGGCAGCAATACTATGGGGTGCTGAGCTGGAGAGAGAATTAGGTTTTGACCCTGACCCAGGGAATCCCATCTCAGAAGCTGCCAGGCTGCCAGAGAGAAACTGGGGGTGGGGGTGGGAGCGCTGCTCACTGCTAAACCTGGGCCTTGCAGAGACTCCCCCTATGCCCACCCCCAACATGGGGGGTGAAACTGAGGTAAAATGGATGGTCAAAAGGCAGGGATATCCCGACATCTAGACTCTACAATGTCAGCACTTCTGGTATCCATGGGTCACCCATATCAACTTTTTTCCAACCAAAACCCCAAAGTTGGGCCTCCCCTGGTGGCTCAGCAATTGAGCGCTGGGCTGCGAAGCTGCCCACAGCCTCTGCAGCACTGGTTCGATCCCGGCTGGCTGCCACATAGCAGGGTCCCACATGGCGCGCAGACAGACCTCTCCTGCTGCCCACTGCTCCCCTCAGCAGTATATTTTGTCAGTCTGCCTGCTCTGCTCTCCCCTCTGGCTCTGGTGAATTCTCTCACCCTCCAGCGCTTCTGACTGTACCCAGTGCTTGTATAAATAAATAAATAAATCTTTTAAAAAAATTTAAAAATTCAAAACCCCAAAATTAAGGGGACTGATGAGTGAGGGAGGGGAGAAATGAACAAACACCCAAGCCTGCCTCTGTTTGCCAGTCCTTGTGCTGGGCACTTCCCATCCATTATCTGATCTTCGTAACTACCCTAGGAGAGGGTACTGTTAACTACCCACTTGCTACAGGGGAGGAAACTGGCTCAGAGTATTTTTACTTCCTCTGGATGCAAGCTGTTTGCCAAGCCTTTCCTTTCTTCCTAAGAAGTGTCCATAAACTAACAAATTTGCTCTTTCTATTTCTTTTTTAAAAAAGATGTATTTATTTATGCATACAAGAACTGGGGTACAGGCCAGAGGTGTGGGGGTGAGAGGATTCACCAGAAAGAGATTGGGGAACAGAACAGGTGAATTGACTGAAACACACTGTTGAGGGGAGCAGCAGGTGGGACAGGAGAGGTCTGCTGCACCATGTGGGTAGCTCCCTGGCTGGGGCTCGAACTCATGCTGCAGTGGCTGCAGATAGCTTCATAGGTTGCATCTTAACCCCTTGCGCCACCAGGGAGGCCCTGCTTTTTCTATTTCTACCACCAGTGTACAAGCCTTGCTCCATCCCCTCCTGTTTGCATCATTATCAAATTGATTAAGCAGTTGGCCTATGGATTAAGTGGCTTCCCTTAGCCAGCCAGTCTGCACTTTCTCTTTCCCATCTGCCCTGCATCCAGCTGTTAGATGACCATCCTTGAAACGCAGCTGTTACCAGTCGCCCTGCCCTACCGTCACTGGTGCCTGCTCCTAGTGGTTCTGACTAGGCCAGAGTGTTTCAAACCTTAACGTGCACCTGAGTCACTTGGGGATCTCTTCAAACACAGATGCTCTGCTCGGCACCTTAACCCATCAGCTCACTGAATTTTATAACGAACTTAAGTTAACAGTTTGTTTTACAGACTAACAAACAGAGGCCCAAGAGGATGTCTAGCATCTGGATGGTACCAGAAATTCTGTATATCTAGTAAGAACCCAGGGGATACAGATACCTCTGTTTCATGGACCATATTTCTAGACTAAATTCCCTGCCTCGTTACTTTTTCTTCAACTTTCAAACAGCAAATTCACTTATTTACATGGTTGAAAATTAAAAAGTCATTCAGTGAAAAATCTCCCTCCACTCCTATGCTCCTATTTGCACAGTTCCCCCACCTTCACCCCCAGTAACCACTTTTATTAGTTTCTTATATGTCTTTCCAAAGTTTCTTTGTGGCAATACAAGCAAGGTCACACTTTCCCTGCCTTCTCCCCACCCCCAACCCAAATGTTAGCACACAACACACCCCAGTTCCGTCAAGAGCTTATCTTGGACATGATTCTCCTCTGAATTTGCCCGCACTCTCTCTCAAGAGTGTGCTTTCACATACAATAAAGCTTCATTTCTAACTCACTTAAAAAAAAAGAGGAGGGCCTCCCTGGTGGCGCAAGGGGTTAAGTCTCAGCACTGTGAGGCTATCAGCAGCCTCTGCAGCATGAGTTCGATCCCCAGCCAGCAGCAGACCTCTCCTGTCTTGCCCACTGCTCCCCTCAGCAATGTATTTCACTAGACCCACTGTTCTGCTCCCCACTCTGTCTCTGGTGAATCCTCTCACCCCCCTGTGCCTCTGGCTTACACCCCAGCTTTTGTATGCATAAATAAATAAATCTTTTTTTAAAAAGAGTTTATCTTGGGGGGGTGGAGGAGTGAGAGGGAAGAGCACAATGGACTATGGCAGAGGACCGTGGGTGAGTTGGTGGTGCACTGCGGTGGCAATGCTGATGGGGGTGTCCAAAAATGACCTCAATTAAAAAGAAATAAAAATGAAATGAGTTTATCTTAGAGATAACTGGACAGAGTTGGCTGACTCATGCCATCATCTGTTCAACCAGTCATCTCCAGGTGGACAATTTGGGTTTCTCATCTCATTAGCCCGCCACACCCTGGGCGGCCTTCCTGCAACCTCTCTCCAACCCCCCCAATTCCCAGCTTCACCATTCTGAGCCCCTGAATTGGCTTTCATACCTCCTTTGGGCCCTCCACAGATCCTCTGGCCAACCTTGATGGTCCTTCCTGAATCTGTCCCATCTCCTACTCCTCATTTACCTCCCCACTCTTCATCTCTCCCTGGCTCCCCAAACAGACTAAAGCACTAGAATCAGGATCCATGTCTTTGACTTCTCTGAGCCTTCAAGTCCAGGGTTAGGCACAGAGCAGTTCTCAGAATATTGGCTAGAGAGTAGATATTGCAGGTGAGGGGCCTCCTGGTGGTGCAGAGGTTAAAGTATCAGAGCTATCAAGTTATCACCAGCCACTGTGGCCTGAGTTTGATCCCTGGCCAGGGAGGTGACCCACATGGCTCAGCAGACCTCTCCTGTCTCACCTGCTGCTCCCCTCAGCAGTGTATTTCAGTAGATCTGCTTGTTCTGCTCCCCACTCTTGTCTCTGGTGAATCCTCTCACCCCCTGCACCTCTGGCTTGCACCCTAGTTCTTGTATGTATAAATAAATTTTAAAAATCTAAAAAAATAAAAATAAATTGCAGGTGAATGGAGCCCCTCAGTGATGGTTCTACTGGGTCTTGTTCTGGGTGTAAGAGCTCAAGACTTCCCAAGGTGGGAGGGACTGCAGCCTTGGAGGTCTCCAGGGAAGATGCCCTTATCTCTGCCTCATACCTGAACATCTGCTGCCCGTGACCCAGGGTATGATGGCATCTGAGGGTTCTCTGTGTTTTTCCCAGGTGAACAGTGGGAGGAGGACCATGATATGGAAACAGGGTAGGTGGAGGGGTGGATGGTGTGGTATGTGCACATGCCCTAAAATGGGCTCCTTCCCTTCCCTATGAACCTCTTTGTCATCCATCATGGGCCAGCTCAAGTTTTAATTCTTCCAAGAAGCCTTCCTGGACTTCTCCAACCCACACTAACCTCCCTTCCTCCGAATTCCTGCTGTGCCTATTAGTGAACAGCAATCACTGTTCTATACTTAGTCATCGCTTTGACTCATACAAACCTTATCTCCCCAATGAGACCCCATGATCCTGTATGGCAGAAACAAGAAACAATAAATTTTTTATAGTCCCCAAGTACCCAAACTCTCAGCACAGCTCTGGAGGAAACTCCACACACAAATATTCCTTGAATGAAGAGGAATTATTGGTTCCAGGAAGACCTTGGGAGCAGGTAGCCTTGGAGGTGGGACAGAGTGGGTCACAGTTGTATCTCCAATGAGAAGAATTTGGGGAACACAGTTTTTTTTAAGAAGTTTTCTCTCCATCCCCCATTAGTCCTCCAGTCCTCCCCTCCTGGCAGGAAAACTATGACCTCACAGCCACCAGCCCTGAAAGTCCACTCAACTTGACCCATGAAGCTGGGACAAATAAAGAGGACTTTTCAAAAAACATCAATGCCATGAAAAACAAACAAAAAGCAGGACACAGTATCAAATTAAAGATTAAAGGGGCATGACAAGCAAATGTGATGTGTGAATCTTGATTGGAAAAATAAACTAAAATGACATTTTGGGGGATAATTGGGAAAATGTTAAAATGAAGTATGTATATCAGATGATAATAATACGTTGATATTAAATATCTTGAGTGTGGTAACTATATTGTGGTCATTTAAGAGAAGGTCTTAGGCGGTGGATATGGGAGTATTAAAGTGTGTCTGAAAAGAGGGAGCAGGAGCTTGCAATGTGACAACATGTTAACAATTGGTGAATCAAGGAGAAGGGGGTATACCCGGGTCATTTTATTAGTGTTAAATTTTTCAAAATGAAAAGCTGGGGGAAATGCCTTGGGCACAAAGTGAGATACACTGGCAACTATGGGAGAAAGAGAAGGGGAATTATGGCTAAGGCTGCCCCTTCAGATCACCCCTGTACCCGCCTTTCATTCCTACTGCCCAGAAATATCAAAATCGGACCCCTTGGCCTGGCCCTCTCCCACCAGCATCCAGGTTCTCATCTGATGGGGTCTTCTGGTCACCCCCAGATGAGTTCGGAGGGGCCTCTGATGGAGTGAATGGAATCTTAAGTGGGCTCCGCCCATCTGAGTTTTTAAAAATCATATTTATTTCACTTTACAGGGGAAAAAGGATTTGATGAATCAAAAGAGGCCGAGATTTGGTCATCCTATTTCTCTTTGGAACTCGTCAATTAATTTCCACTTTTGTCATCAGATGGGTATCCCAGCTTGTTATCCCTTCCCGCCTCTACCGTTTTTTGTCTATGGACATCTCTTGATATCCATTGAAGACCCCTGGCCCACATTCTTTAGGGGCCCACCGCGCGCTCCAACTGGCTTGGCCCAGCCATTCCCCAGCGAGGGGCGCAGGCGGCGATCCCCCAGTTCCCACATTGCCCTGGTCATGAACCGCCTTCGAAGTAGGGAGCTCGCCGGCCTCCTCCCTTCGCGGGGAGAAGCGGGGTGCAGGAGGAGGGCCCGGAGGAGACCCGGAGCGGGGTTGGGGGCGTGGGGGGGCTGGTCTTCCAGGCTGGGCGTGGGCTGGGCGAGGTCCCCAGCCCACCGGCCGTGCCAACAATGGCCTGTTGTGGAAGGAGGCAGGCAGGAATGCGGCCGGGGGAGTTGGGCGGCGGGGCGGCAGCGGCTGTGGCGGCCGCGGGGCGGGGCCGGGGCTCAGCGGCAGCCTCTTACCTGTCCAGGTAGCTCGCACTTCCCGGCGAGCGGCGGCGCCCGCAGCACCTGTTGGCCGGTGCGCGGGCGGGGAGCACTGGGGGGCATGGCCTGGTAGAGCCCCCGGGAGACCGTGTGGAGTTCAGTCCGGGACACAGAGGGCGAGGGTCGAAAAGCCCTCGGTCGGCGCCCGCGGGCCTGCGGCAGCATGAAAAAGAACCAGACGGTGCAGGGCACCTTCAGCAAACTCTTCGGCAAGAAGCATGCCAACCCTGCCACCACCTCCCTCTACGCCACCAACCCCCCGTGGATTTTCACCCAAGAGGCCCCGGAGGAGGGGAGCAGGGATTTCGGTAAGTGCGCGTGGGGCAGAAGAGGGGGCGCTAGGCGGCCGGGCTGGGCTCCCGCCCCCGCGCCCGGGGGAGGCTCCCTCCCGGACTCGGGCGGTTGCGCGCCGCTGGGCAGGCGGGAGACCCGGCAAGGCGCGCAGGGGAAGGAACACGTTGGAACCTGCGAGCTGGCCGGCGGGGAGCTGCCGGGAAGGGGAGGCGGAGCCGCACCTGGGAGTCGCTGGCAAAGGGGGAGTGGGGTGGGGTGCGTGGAGGTAGGGGGAGGTGCAGGGAAGCAGGAGACCCTCCCCAAAACCAGATCCGAGAATCTGGCGGGGCCCTCCCGCGCCTGACCCTGGTTCCTGTATCGAGTTGTGTTTATTTTCCCTCCCCCGTGGAAGTTATGTTTGTGTTATTGTTGCCAGAAAAATCTTCCTGATATTTGCAGTACCCCCGCCCCTCCAGTCCTGTTCGGTCAGAGTGAGAAGTGCTCCCTGCAACTGAGGGATTGAGGGTGGTCCCTCCAACTTTCTCCCTCACCACTCTCCGCTGCCTGTTCTCCCTAGTCCTAGGTCCCTGGCCTCTCCTGGCCCTGTGTCTTCACACGGCAGTTTCATAGGCAAAGAGAGGGGACTCCTTTCTCTCTGGGTGCCCACACACTTGATTCTACACAGGTGAGACCCAGGAAAATTCAACAGGAGCCACTACTAGCAGGATCCAACCTGTGCCAGACACCAAGTCACATATGGGGGTCACAAGCCCTTACCAGGTCTGTGAACTCTGTGTCTATGGGTTCAGACCCAGGAGCCCAATATGAGATAGTGGAGTCCAGGGTAGTCTCTCTTGACCTCTAGCTGCTGCCTGCCTCTGGGTCAGGGTGGTCTATCTCTACAGGCATCTGAAAACCCTATGGGTGATATAACTGCATCTTTTACCCCCTACAGCTGGGGGATGGAGGCCAGGACAGGAATTCACTTTTTGTGTATGATCTGAGGTTCTGGGTCCAAGGAGGGTCACCCATCATGGATTAGCTTGCCTGCCTTCATCGTCAGCATACTACCCTTATGAACCTTTATAGCCACTGTGCTAGGACCCTAGATGATGTTATAACCTTGGCCCCTGCTGTTGGGTTCATGTTGGCACCAAAGTTGTCAGCCTTTGGGATACAAGGCCCCTGGACAGGAGCAGGATGAACAAGCTGGTACCTCTCCCAGGCCCAAGGGTCACTGACCAGGGGGTGAACAGAGATAACTGTATGCCATTGAGCCTTTTCTGAACCTTTGCTATAAAAGATGGAATGTATAAGGAGCAGAGAAGAGAGCATATTTCTGAGTGAATCAGAGCATGCTTTTACTGAGAGGAAAGATTATTCCTGGCTAAGCCCACACCAAAAGCATAGTCTGGAGGCACAGGATAGTTTGAAGGCATGGTTTAGGAATCTACAAACACACATGTGCCGTCGTATAACTGTAAGACCTGAACACCTCTCCTTGCCTTCGTAGCCAACACTTATTGACCCCTTCTTAGACGCAAGTTACCGTTCTCAAGTCTTCATGTTGAGTCATTGACTCCTTATCTAGCCTATAGATGCTATTACTATAGCCATTTCCACTTGGTTGATGAGGAGATGGAGGCACAGAGAGGGTGAGTAACATAGTCAAGGTCACACAGCTTTAAATGGCCAAACCAGGACTTTAAAAGTACACTTGAGTGAATTTTTAGTAGACATACAGAGTTGTGCAACATCACTATTTAGTTTTTTATATTCATTATCCAAAATTTCTGTCATGAGGCAGAGCTAATATTTAAACCCAGGCAGCTGAGCTCCAAAGACCACACTTTCATTAGCCAGCTTGCTGACTTGACAATGTGAAGGTGGTCCAAGGAGGAATTTGACTTGAGGGCCATCTGTTTTGAGACCATCCCTCCACCTCATCCCCACATACTTCTTCCCTAAGGGAAACTTCAGACATGCCTTAGACACTTCTCTGCATTTTTGCCTGGACTGACAGGTTGCTGTTGGAGCTCTGTCTGTCCAGTGAGGAAAATGGGGGGCTTGGTGCCCTGTCACCCTCAGTCAGCTGCTGCCTTCACCAGTCTGGGCAAGGCTGAAGCCCTGGAGGAAGCTCTCCCCAGTCCCCAGGACAGGGCTGGTCCTTCAGCTGACTCAGCCTGGTTGCACCCTGCACAATGTGCACCTGGCAGGATGGCTTCCAGTGTTTCCGGGGTGTTCCCCAAAGTGCGAGTAGGTGTGGCCGAAGTCCTGCTCCCTGCTGAACAGGACATATGCTTGGAGTTAGGATGGGAGTGGCCAGTGTTAGGATTCTGTGATGTGAAGGAGACACTAGATTTGCCTTGGTGTCCTGCCTCTGTCAAAAATGTGAGAGCTTGGCCACACACTGGGCCTTATTTTCTTCTTCCGTTAAATGGGGATGGTGTCCAGACTGCCTACAGGATGACTACTGGAGGTTTGTGTACAGCAGAGGTGTAAAGAGTACTAAAAAGAAAAATTCTAAAGTAAAGATTAAAGATGCAAATAATTAGCAAATTGTGATCCTGGCTCAAATCTGGCCCATGGTCTGTTTTTGTAAATAAAGTTTTATTAGATCACATTTCAGCCACGCCCATCATTTACATCAGGTACATATCTGACTGTTCTCCTGCTACACTAGCAGAGTAACTGCAGCAGAGATTGTGTAGCCCAGAAAGCTAAAAATATTTACTAGTTGTTTTTTTTTTTTAAGATGTATTTGTTTATGCATACAAGAACTGCAGTTACAGGCCAGAGGTGTGGGGGGGTGAGAGGATTCACCAGAGACAGAGTGGGGAACAGAACAGGCAGATTGACTGAAATACACTGCTGAGGGGAGCAGCGGGCAAGAGAGGAGAGGTCTGCTGCGCCATGTGGGTATCTCCCTGGCCGGCCAGGGATTGAACTCATGCTCCAGTGGCTGCTGATAGTTTCACAGTGCTGTGCTTAACCCCTTGCGCCACCAGGGAGGCCCTGCTAGTTTTGGTTCTTTATAGAAAAAAAAAATTGTCAAAAGTCTACGTCGTTATAATTATTGTTATTGTTGGCTCGTGTCTAGCACTTCTGCTCTTACCTGCCTCAGTTCCTTTCCCTAACATTGCTGTAGATCAGAGAAATGAAGGCAAGAAGAGGCCATGTTAATGTCTCCAGGGGTGGGAGCTGGAGTCCCATGGGTCCCTGAGTCTGACACTCTTTGAGGAGCTACAGGGGGGAGAATCCATGTAGAGACATAGAAGGGAGTGAAGACTAACCCCTCCCTCTCTGCCTGCAGTCATGTCAAAATCTGTTTGCACAGGGTAGGCCGGGTGCAGCAGGTAAAAAGCAAATAGTCACAGGAAGGTGGTGAAGGGTAAGTTTTTCTTTAAAGAATTTCCCAAAGATTTATTCCAGTAACTATTAAGAGGGCTTCATGTAATGTAATTGCAATTGTAATTAAGCCTTATGGCTCCCCCCATCCCACGCAAGGGTCTCAAAGGCCACAGGATTGTTTTTTAAATGCATGAGAAAGCTGAGATGTGGATCTTTGCAAATCCTGAGATAAGGGACCTGGCTGCCTCAGACAAAGCTGCCAGTCCTCTGGATTCTTCCCTTGCCTCTTGGATTAATTGAGCCAGGTTTTTTTCTCTACTGCCACCCCACCCCACCCCAGCAATGGAACTCCCTGTTTCCTGGGAAACTCTCTTGCCTTATTTTTCCAAATGTGGATCACATTTGCCACAAGCACATTTATTTAAAATGCATATTCCTGGGGGCCCAACCCCAGTACTCAAAGTCGGAATCCCTAGGCTGGAGCTGGGAGAGCCTGTGTTTTCACCAAGTCCTGGGCCATTCTTTTGTGCAGGGAAATTTGAGAATGCTGGGGTTTCCTTCCCCAGATGCACCTCCTTCCCCTTAGGACTTCCTTTGCATTCTAAATAAACATTAGGGAATGGGTCAGCTCCTAAAGTGGAACTCCAAAGCTCCCTAGGGTGGTGCTGGTTCCCTGCTCCTGGGTCCCCTGACCTAATGTCTCAGGCCAGGTTAAAGGGTAGAAGCCGTGGAACTGATCACTTATTTCTGGCCAGATCCGGGCTCCACTGACCTGTGCTTTGCAGGGGTGTGAAGGAGACTTTTGTTTACTCCAGTCCCCTGGAGCTGTGCTGTGATTTGCTGGTTATTCAGTACACACACACTCAGTACACACACACACACACACACACACACACACACACACACACACACACACACCCTTGTTGCCTCATTATATAAGCTCCTCTTGTTTCTGTAGTTCAAATGCAGAAAGCCAGACCTTCCCTTGACCACTGCAGACAGGCTATGGGATGCCGCCTCTTTTCTAGTCAGTAAATTAATAGCAATAATAATAATAACAACATCATCATCATTAGTAGTTATTAATCGAACCAGGCACTATGCTAGATATCACATACGACTCAAGTCAGTTGAAAGACTCAGTCATTTCAGCTCATACATTAAAGTGCCTACAATCACTTTGGCCTTCTTGAGCTCACAGTAAGATGCGGAAGGTTTGCAATGGCGGGAGACTGCCCTTCAGACAACTTCCCAGGCAGGTCCTCCTGTGGGTCTGAGGCCACTCCCTGAGTCACCTCCTAGCTAGGAGGCACAAAGCCCCGCTGGCTCCGCTCTTCCCTTCCTGCCCCCACCCCTGCGGTGCCTCCCTCCGTGTTCCCTCCTCCTCTACTCTGTGTTCCAGCCCAGTCCAACCTTCAGTGTCCCCTCTGTCCTTGGACAAAGGCCTCTCTCTGGTACTCCTGTCAGGCCTGCTGGGGCTTGTTGGGACAGACTGGCCTTTTCAGGTTCCTGTCATGTGGACCTGCTAATTAGCAAGGGAGGAACTCATTAAAGCCATTTGTGGGTTACATTCACATTACAGCCACCCCACCTTCCCTGAAAGGCTGGGGTTCCTCTAGTAGCGAAGGATTGGGTGCCCCAAGTCAGTGGGGTAGAGGTGAGGGAGGTGTCTGTTTTTGGGTTC